AGGAGGATGGGAGGTGGGAGGTGGGGGCGGGGGCTTTTATGGCCTCGGGGATTTAGTTAAATGTAGTTTCAGGTGGGGGGGATATGGGGATGGGCTACTTTATTGACTTTTTACTACCTTATCTTTTTCTCACTTTTTTACTCTTTTCTTTAGTCTTACGGGGGTAATGGTCTACTGACTTGGGTAGTAGTAGTTGCGGTAGTCGTTTGTTTAAAATCACTATGAATCTGCCCTAATCAGTTGCGCGTGCGCTGCTTTGGCTGGTATGGTTGGTGGGGTGGGATGGGATGGGAATATTGGGGGCACGTGGATGAGTGGGAGGGGCGAGTGAGCGCTTGTGATTTGATGTAGCGTGGGCGGGTGATCATTGACCTATAGCTAGGTAAGGTTAGAGATTAAGTAGTAGTCAGTATGGCCGTTGCTTCGTTACGCTGGTCGGATTCAGGCCCTTGCTAGAATTAGTGCGCCGCTTTCTGTCACTCCTTGGGTTGGGTGTTTATGGTCTCTAGCTCTTCGCTGCCCTGGGCGGGATCTTAGGCCTGGTTAATAGTTGCCTAGCTATAGCTCTAGGTACATGTACGTAGCTGAAGCAATAGTGGCCATGGAGTAAGGCGTAGAAGTCTCCTACATTAGTGAAAACTTAGGTTCGACCATGTAGGGTGAAAGTCACCTCCTACAGTGTACGGAGGTCTAGTCGCAGGCCTGCGAAGTGTCGGCGCGGGGCTGGAGTGCTTTTACATGGTAAAGGTCTCCTCTGCATGCTCTGGGGTGGGCGGCGTCGTATCTGGGTGCTGGGTAGTTGTAACTAGCTGGTGGCTTTGTGTTCTGTTGTGGTGGCTGGGGTTTCGACCGGGGCCGGCCGGGAAAAACGCAATTAAAGTCTTGTTTGTCTACGGTGTTATGGCAGAGATAGATAATGGGTTATATATGGGAGGATACATGTAGTGCTGATCGAGGGGGATAGTGTTTAGATTTGGCGGGGTAGAGGTTTGGGCGTTTGAAGCAGACATAATCAGCGCAGCATTCTCGGCATCCCGTCCCTAGGTTCTAACAGTGCGGCACATAAGTACACTGAAATCTGTCAAACTGCAAAGCAATGCCTCTCCACGGTGAGATTTATGAGGCAGAGGGTTGGTATATATATCACGGGGGCGAATTATGGATATGGAGCTAGAATGCTGTATGAGTCAAGGCCGGCCGAGTGTCAATGATCTCTGCGAATTGAAGCCGCGTGCTCTTGAAGGGGTGTCGTTGGTATATTATATGGTAGCTGATTTGCCCTAATGTAGTTGGCGGAGTTTGTCTCGTTTTGGTCGTGCTTTCTCGATTTTGACCCCATATGTACGTACCTGGCTAGGTCTAGGTATATACATGTATGTAGCTGAGGAAAGTGAGTGTATCTCTGTACGAAGAATTCATTGAGACAAGGACAGAGCCAAAGGCCCGCCAGATATCCCTAACATCCTACGTATATATATAAGGTGAACCTGCAGGGCCTCCTAATGCCCACTCTCTACGTCGGCGGGCCGGGGCTCAAAAACCTGCTTTACTGCACCCTACCTAGTGCACATCTGGCCTTTCCGGCCCTGGGTGAATGTCGCCGTCTTTCTAATATCGAAATATCGAAACCCATAGAGCTAGATATATCACTGCTTACCGTTCTACAGGAGCGGAGGAAGAGGGGTCGAGGCTTACATACATTTGCGGTCTATAGCTAGCTAGAGTATTGTCGTAGAGCACCGGAGCACCGTTGGATGCCAAACTGGCCAGAGAGGGGTTCGGGTTGGGGTCAACATCAAGATATATTTCTGGCACGATCTAGGGCTTACGCACCCATTACTCGAGTGCAAAGAGAGTATCCATAATTACAATGCTACTACTTCCAACCCAGAACAAATTAGCCTTACTCCCCCTGGGGTATTGTATATGTGCTTATATTATGGGTCTTGACGTCAGGGTGAGTGACGTAGTGGTCGCGTTGGTGCTTGTATTTGTTTGCTTGCTTACATCAATACTACTCAATAATTTGTAGAACTAGAAAACCGCTATATGCCTCGGGAGGTGTAGAAAACAGAATCCTCTGCAGTTGCCGCCTGTTTAGAGGTGGATGGCATCGGTATCTCTGAAGTGTCTGGCCGGGCCGGACTAGTGGTGGGTAGTCGTGTGCCGTGGATTAGAGACTCGGCCCGGTCATACATGCAGTTTAGAGGATGTAAGGACAGATCATAAGCGTTATGTACACGCATATTGGTAACACTGTAAACTTCATACCGGTGACTAGAGGGCAATGTCTTCGTAGCTAGAGAGAGCACTTAGCAACATATCTAGATATAGAAGGAGGACAGATATACCAGACTAGCTGGTATATCTTCTCGGCTAGCTATAGGAGACCTTTTCCTCCAACCTTCAATTCGTGAAAGGTGCGACAGAGCACACAGATGGTTTGTGAGCAGTTGATATCTTAACAACTTTATCTTCTCCTCATGACCGCCGTTACCCCTCACACGTGTTACGATTGACGTTGTTGTGTCGCCCCAAACTCTAACCAGATCCCTCTCCCCGCCACAAAGTCTAACGGACACTGCATCACGGAAGGTCACTCGTTCCCAAAAGAGCTACTAATTTGGGCTAGTATTACGTAATGGGGCTCCTCCTTCGCTGCCTAGCGGACCGACCCGTAACGTCGTATGTCAATTTTGTACCAAAGGCAGCAGCAGCAGCGACATCAACCTCAGGGATATGACAGCGCTGGGGTCAGGGCCTCAGTGATACATAACCACATGACTGCATGATTTCCGGACATGGCCAACCAATCCTTGCGGGAAACGATAGATAAAGTACGTACACTAGCCAGCCCAAGGGCTATTCGTGGAGTGGAATTGGAGGATGTACTGTGTGGGCAGCTTGCTTAAGGTTTGACATTGAAGGTTCAGCTGGGTGCTGGGTAGATGCGTCGGTGACGCAATCTGCGGCAGTGTGAAGGTTTCCCCCGGTCGAGTCTTCATGAGAAGGGCAATGAAGATGTCGCTCCAGTTATATACATAGGCGTTTGTTTGATGAGCCTCCAAAGCCGCGTACTATACAACAGAAACTTGTCCGAAAATACCTGGCTAGAGTCGATGGGAAGGGGGCGCTCAGAATCAGAGCTTCATATTATTGCAATCACCCATGTTTCATGAAACGAAGCAGAAGAAGATTGAAAAGCTATTTATATACCATCTTCACCAGGTCCGGCGAACGAAAATAACCGTGCAGTGGCCGAAACTATTCTAGAGGGGATCAACGCTCCCTCCTTTCCACCCCTTTCCGTAAGTAGGCCGTATTGCAATCCTTATCCAGACTCAGCACCGGTCTCTCCGTTTCTTGCTGCGAGTGGGTGACTGACTGGGTGTATCTTCTTCTGAACAGCCAAGAATAATAATAAAAAAAGATTATACTTACGCACTAGCTAATATACAAAACGTGTCTCACATGGGATGGATGGATGGGATGGATGGGGTGGGAGGGATGGGATGGGATGGAGGGAGGGGGAATCTAAATAAGTATGAAGCGAATCCAACCCAGGCAGACAGCCCCGCCTACCTCCATCCCCTTCTAGGCCAATGATTACTGTGCAAGAAAAAAGCCTCTTCACTCCCCCCACGAGCAGAACGGCATAATGATTTGTTGCTAGAGATAAGAGTGACATGAGAGATTCACTCGACCCTTGGCACAAACATCTCTTTTGGCTCGGAAATGAACGCTATGTTGGCTTCTTTTGGTGAGGGGGGCAACGTATCAAAAGCGGAAGCATGGGGGGGGGGCAGCTGGTTTCTGGCGCCCGGTCTTGCACAAAAAGAATATTTGCCCTACATGGGCCTACCGTGTGTACCGGTGGCAACCACTTGATTCGAGTCTGTCGTTTGGAGCCTGCACTGTAACTAAGCTACTGGCTGGAAAGACATCACGGTCCTTCGACAAATCTACTGGTGAACCTGGCTCAAACAAACATGGCAGGGTTTTGGTGTGTTTGTATTTAGGTTCATGTTGCGGTTGATTGTCGGGGGAGCATGATCGATTGAGATCAGTACTCTAGGGGGATCATTATATATGTTTACAAACCTTCGTGACAGGTAGATACCCCTCCTTGAAGATGGCTCGTTTCAGGAGGCATCAGGGTCCTGAGGCTCTTTTCGTTGAGAAACGCTGCAGATCCCCTTTCGTAGCACGGTGCTCTTTCGCCCATACACCCGCCTAAAAGGCGTTAGGATGGGCTTAGTAAAAGGGCCGACACGGAACCCCCTCCTCTCCACGAAGAAGGGCAGCGCGAGGAAGCAGAAGCAGCATTGTAGCAGCAGCAGCGGCAGTAGAGTAGTCGAGTAGCAGAGGCCGCTCCCCCACAATCGAACCTTCTCTCCGCCCCCCCCCCCCCCCCCCCCCCCCGAAGGCCAGGGCGACCGTTTCTCCTTTTGTGTACCTCTCTCCTGGCCCATTCCCGCCGCCACGGTCGGTTGCAGCAGCTTTCCAGCTTTCCCTGCAACAGTGCTCGCTCTCTCCTCTCCCACTTGACTCTCTCTGCTACCCCCCAGCCCTTTCTATCCCGTCAACCCCTCCTCCTTCCTCACTCACTCCCTCCTTCTTTTCCCGTCCCACCATTCTCCCTTTCCATCCCCCATCATCAACAGCATCTCCCCCCCCTTCCAAGCCTCCGTTAGCAGCTCTTCACTGTTCTGCCACTGGTTGTCCTTGCCACTACTTGCTCTACTTACCTCTCTCTCCATCTACTTCACCTCAATTCCCTCCCTTCTCCTTTATCAACCATCATTACGACTCTACATCACCTCCGTAGACCCTCCCTCTGTCGTTAACCCGTCCTCGTCGTCGTCGTTGTTGTTCTTCCTCGTCAACCATCTCACCATCGATACTTAGATAAACGTAGCTTTGCTGCTGCTACTACTGTCAACTCTTTCCATCCCCCCAAACTAAACCCCCCCCCTACAATCAAAATTTCATTCATCAATATGTCGTCCTGGAAGCTACCAAAATCTCTAAAACGTGAATAAACAATCTCTCCTCGTCCTCCTTCTCATCCGCTGAATCTTGATGTCACCCCCCCTACCCACTATCACCCCCCTCACCCCCTTTGATTTGATATACATATACATATACTTCTTTGCATATCATATATCATCCCCTTTCTTGAGCCTCACACCCCCCCCCCCCCCGGGCGTAAAACTACAATTTCGAGCTGAACAACCCTCAGCGGAGCTTGCTAACAATGTCCCCCCATCACCACAGAGCTCAAGGAGACCCACCTCGGAACCCCCTCATCCAAAGAGTCGCGGTCCTCCTCCACCTCCACCATCACCCCCAACACTAACGCCCAAGCCTCAACCGCCACGCTTGTCGCCAGTGACGGCACAGTCCCCACCTCAACCTCCACCAACCCCGGCGATGCCCACCCCACATCGACCGTCAAGCCCGGGCTGCTAATCGTCACTCTCCATGAAGCCAAGTCCCTCTCACTTCCGCCCTCGCACCAACAGTACAACACGCAACGGCCGTCCTCGTCCTCCTCGCACAGCGGACCCGGCTCGCGCCCCACAACGGCCAACAACTCGTCCGCCGCCCACACGCACGGCCACCAGAGGAACATCTCAAAGCTCTTCCGTACCTACTGCGTCATCGAATTCGACAAGACCCAGGTCATCGTCAATGCAAACTCGGGCACCCTCGACTCGCCAATGTTCTCGGGATACAGCACCCAGTACAAGTTCGATGTCAGCCGCGACACCGAGCTCAGTCTCGGCATATATATGCGCAACCCGGGCTCGGGCGGCCGCGACGAGGACCTCTTCCTCGGTAGCTGCCGCGTAAACCCGAGGTTTGAGGAGCCTGCGCCGCCGTCGTCGAAGAAGAGCCGTGAGCCGCCGGCCCCCGGGTTTAGTGGCACGGATTGGGTGGCTTTGAGTAATTCGACGGGGAGCGTCAAGCTGGGGGTTGAGTATAGGCGTAACCAGGATATGCCCTTGACTATTGATGATTTCGACCTGTTGAAGGTGGTCGGGAAGGGCAGTTTTGGAAAGGTCATGCAGGTCAAGTATGTTATCAATTTTGGATATTTTTATTTTTTATTATTTATTATTTCCCTTACTAATATTGATGATTTTATTATAGGAAACGTGACACCCAGCGAGTATACGCGCTCAAGACCATCCGCAAAGCCCACATCATCTCACGCTCCGAGGTCAACCACACGCTCGCCGAGCGCACCGTGCTCGCCCAGATCAACAACCCGTTCATCGTGCCGCTCAAGTTTTCGTTCCAGTCGCCCGAGAAGCTCTACCTCGTTCTTGCGTTCGTTAATGGCGGTGAGCTGTTCCATCACCTCCAGCGCGAGGGCAAGTTCGACATCAACCGCTCGCGCTTCTACACGGCCGAGCTGCTCTGCGCCCTCGAGTGCCTGCACGGCTTCAATGTCATCTACAGGGATCTCAAGCCCGAGAACATCCTCCTCGACTACACCGGTCACATCGCCTTGTGCGATTTCGGCCTGTGCAAGCTGAACATGAAGGAAGAGGACAGAACCAACAGTATGCCCCCCCCCCCCTTTTTTTTTCTTCTTCCAAACACCACTCGCAATAAAGCGTAATTCCTTACTAACACATCTACCCACCCCCCCAGCGTTCTGCGGAACCCCCGAATACCTCGCCCCCGAGCTCCTCCTCGGCCAAGGCTACACCAAGACCGTGGATTGGTGGACCCTTGGTGTGCTCCTCTACGAGATGTTGACAGGCCTGCCGCCCTTCTACGACGAAAACACAAACGAGATGTACCGCAAGATCCTGCAGGACCCGCTCCAGTTCCCCACCGACATTGACCGCGACGCAAAGTCGCTCCTCACTCGCCTGCTCGACCGCGACCCCGCACGCCGTCTCGGCGCCGGCGGTGCCTCAGAGATCAAGGCTCACAGGTTCTTTGAGACTGTCGACTGGAAGCGTCTGCTGCAGAAGAAGATCCAGCCTACCTTTAGGCCCAATGTGGTGTGTACCCCCCATCTACTCTTCGAGCTCTCAAACATGAATGTTAACATATGATGCCTTAGGTGAACGCCATGGACACGGCCAACTTCGACAAGGAATTCACAAGTGAGGTGCCCACCGACTCAGTCGTCGACGGCGACTTCCTCAGCCAGTCGGTGCAGCAGCAGTTCACAGGATGGAGCTACAACCGCCCCGGCCAGCTGGCCACCGGCGAGCCCGGCAGCGTCAGGGATCCCGGCCCCGGAAGTGTCATCGATAGGTAGAAGATCAAGAAGAAGATCAATAGAGAGAAGGAAAAGAGAGAGAAGGAAAAAAATGGGAGTGTGATTTTGTGGTTTGGAAAAAAAGGAGAGTCGCGGAGGCCGGACGTTGTGGCAGGAGGGAGGGCGGTGGAAAGGGTGGATGGGGAGAGGGGGAGGGAGGGCTTTCTTTTTCCAAATCATATCTTTTTATTCCTATTATTTCTTTTCTCTTGTTTTTTTTCTTTTACTCTTTCTCTTGTGTTGTTTTTTTTATATCTCGTGGATATTTTTCATTTTCTCCAGCCCCTTTTTTCTACCGTCGTGCCAAATCAATTGTTATTTTTCCTGCGGTCATTTTTTTTGTTGGTTTTTTCCACCTGTCGGGGTTTTTTTCACGTTACTTTTTCTCTTGTTTCTTCGAGCTTCTTTCGGAGGGATTACACAAAAAGCAATTGGGTGGGTGGGTGGGTAGGTGATGGTTCAGTCAACACGAAAGGTACAGTAGGTAGGTTGGAGTAGAGAGGAAGAGAGGAGAGAGGAGGAGAGAGGAGGAGAGAGCGCGCGCACGCACGTCGTGACGTACGTGTAAAGGTTTTTGAAAGAGGGGGGGGAGGTGCAATATGTGGTGTTCCGCTTGTCATTTTCTCTTTTTTTTTCTTTTTCTTTTTCATGTTTTTATCACAGAATTCAAATTTGATATAAGAATCCAGCCACAACACATATATATATCTACCACAGCACACTGGAAAAAGTCACGATAATTAAGTGTAGAGTGGCGATGTCGATGGCGTGAGGTTGAGATTGAGTTTTTTTCGAAAGAGGTTAGAGGCGTCCAGCCAAGGAGGTTCCTTGAGGTTGCAAGTGACATAGGTCTAGAGTAAGGTGGCCCCTTTGATTCTGAGGTGGTGACCGCCGCATAACCGCGTTCGTTGGTTGTACAGACAGCAACAAAGAGAGCTACCTATCAGCTATCTGTCCGCATATCAAAAAAAAAGACCCTTGCCTCCCTCCCTACCCGCTGTCTTTCACCCCACAACCTCACCTCACCCTGTCCTTGTCAGCATAGGCACAAGAATCCATATCGTCATCCTTATCTCTAGCTAGTGTAGCTCTCTCTCTTTCTCACTCGCAATGCGTTTACGCCCATTCATCTTTCCACTCCTTCTGTCCGCAGCCCACGGCGTGCGCAGTTCCAAAGACACCACCGAAGACACCGATTACGTCTATGCAGACCGCATCGAAGTCTCCTGCCTCAGTCGCTCCATGTATGTTAATTGCTGCTCAATTCTACTTCTGATGTTTCGCATTTTAACGTGAGCGCAAAAAAAGTGACACTGGCGACCATATCCAAGATCCCACCACCGGCGCGCTGCAGTACAGCCCGTTCGCAACATGTAACGAGACCAACACGCCGCTGGCATTCGGCTTCAATCGCGACCACAGGGAGCTCAACTGCACGATCCCGTTCCTGTCGGACGAGATGTTCCACCTGCTGGAGTTCTATGTGCACCATGACTCACCGCTCGCGTGTCGTATTCCGGCGCGGCCGCTGGGCGGCGGGTTTGATGTGGGGCGTGTTGGCGTTGGGGGTTCGGTCGAGGGGGCCGAGTGGGTCCCGTTGGGTATGTGTGCTTCCTGGTGGTGGTTGTTTATTAGTGGGGGGAAGGTTTGATAACTGTTGGTTGGGTAGTGGTGCTAATGTGAGGGATTGGTGGTGGGCAGTTTTCTCTCTCGCTGGGAAACTCGAGTTCTCGCATCTCCATATCGCAAACCGTATGAATGTGATTCTCCACCTCTCCGCGCCAGGAGTGATTGATTCTGCGACAGCATATAGCACGAGCCCGCTGCTGGAGTCGACGAGGATCATTATTGGAGATCCACTGACGCTGAGGTTTGCGGTGAGGTGGTATGCGTCGACTGAGTTGCCATCGTTGCGCTCTGGGAAAATTGAGGATGACGAAGGGAATTTGCTTGTGTGGGTCTTGGTGATAGTTATTTTAATGGGGTTGGTCGGAGTGGGGGGAGTGATGTTGAGGAAACGAAGGCGCGGTGGTGGAGGTAGAGGAGGTATTATCGGGAATGGGGTTGGCGTGAGGGGGGTTAGTGGGGCGAGTACAGGTGGTGCGGGTTATGGAGAAGGAGGGTATGGCGGGTTCAAGGGAGTTACTAGGAGTGGGGGGTACGGATATGGCGGGTTTTCAGGGAAAAGGAAGGATTGAGGTGGAACGAGGTGAGATGACAGTATGTGTAGCTGACCATAGTCCTACTTTTTTTTTTTTGGCGGATCTTGTTTATGTTAACTTGGCCACGGGATGCTTTTGGTGTTGGTGAATGTGTGATGCGTGATGTGTGATGTGAGTATGTCGAAACGAGCGGTATAATCTGTACTTCTTTCCTTCCATTTCTTATGTCCAGGATAGCATAGGTAGTAGTTAGCATACATAGCTAAGTAGTTAGTTAGAGGATACATGCATTCATCGGTAGAAAATAAACGGAGGATTGGTTGGCTGGCTGGTACGTAGGGGATAAACGTTATATTGATGGCCGTAGAATAAATCTCCTCTCTTCATGCCTGCGGGAGTGCTATAGCCACCTACGGGGCTTTGTGGAAAGGAATGATCCATGAAAGCCAAGTCTATGGCGGATAGCCAGTATATATAAAGCATGGAGACGTCTGGTTCACTGCACCGGTACCGGTACCGGTAGTAATGTGTCATTGCGGGAGCACCGAATCCGTTCCGGTATGCCGCCATCCGTCGATATATGTTGGAAGTCCTTTCCTCAACAGAACGGCTCTTCAACTCAAGCTCCAAGAGACAGAGGCGAGAAATGTCGATAGGTCCCGAAGTTGCGGGATAGCAAAGCTCGAGAACATAGAAGCTTGTAGTGTTGGTGAGAAGAGTATCAGGTTGGGCCCCTTTGGGGGACGAGACGAGATATGAAGAAGCCAGTTACTGCTACATAGCTCCATGTGTGTGGGAGCTTGAGGGTTCTAACTTAAGAAATGGACCGGCCAAAAGACAGGTTGACAGGTGGCTACCAAACAACGGTAAAGCTTAAGACGACATGACAGCTGTCTTCGATATATTATGGGTCACGCCAGACATTTCTGACCTCAAGGTAAGTTCCGATCGAGTCCGATGCTGAACAAGGCGATGTTGGTATACTGATTGGAGATTGGAAAGATCCAAAGACGACTTCCTCGAGATTAGGATTGGAAATTGATCTGGTTCTCCTTTGCCCTAACCCTGAGAGCTTCGATGTCGTCAAGTCAGGAACTAGAGCCTACGGAAGCTTGGGAACAGGAGGGAGGTGTCCTTTGAGAGTGGACGGTAGGTTGAGGTTGACGATCTCGGGATAGCAGGGAGATTTTTGAGTATTTGCTTGTAAGTGTTAGCACTAGTTGTGGAATGAATGTAAGGGAAACTCCTCCTTACTACTTGTGTACCTCCCGGGCTCCTAAACATGTTTTTTCCGTAGGTTGTTTTTATGGCCCAGGCTATCCTGAGTAATCGATAGCTTTTAGAATCTCGAGTTTGAGCTGTGCTGGAGGTTTCTTGTGCTGTACTGGTCTTCTCCGTGTAGAGATAGAAAGATACTGATATCTAGTTGATGCTTGCGCTAGAAGGAGCCAAAAAAATTCGTTTGAGACATACGTCCAGAGCTAATATTTCTTCCGAATTACCTGTACGTCCATACGCCTCTCCAAATCCCCTCGAAGGTCCTTACATGTCCCACCTAGTAGTCCGAGCCAACCTCCCCAGAACCACAACCCTAACCCACACGTTCCTTCAGGTGTCAACACTTCTGCAATCACCACCATACTGAGCCACAGAAGTAACGTGATCCCCACGACCACTCAATGGAAACTAAAAAGATGTTCTTAGCAAGTTGTCATCCATTGGCTATATGTAGCTTGCTCATCCTTGGCTCGATGTATTAGGCCTCGATACTGGCCATGGATGTGGAATTGTAATCACTGAGAAAGGAAGCTTTCCATGTAGATCAATGACCGCTTAGCCAATGGGCGTAGTAATAATCCCTGGACGGAGATACCAAATTCCTGGTACTACTGGCTATGGCCTGGGTGAGCAATGATACTGGTCCAATAGGGTATATTGGTATTAAAAGAAAAATTACCGACCCTTTCGTAGGCTTGTGGCCGGCCATATGGTACATACTGTACGAACCCGGGGAGAGACCGGGAGAAGATGAAATTTTTTCCTAGAGGGAGGTGATTTCCTTGCGATCCACCTACGGGCTGAATGCTGAGTTACAATGAAACTGAAATGACGATATACTAAACGGGATGATCCCCCGACCCCGGCTGGTAGACAGATAATGTGAGAATCCCTTAATTACATATACATAGTTCCCCCCGAGCGAGTCTCTCAGATGTAGAAATAAATCTCTCCATATAGTGCTCGCTACGGGTTAAAGAGCCCAACGTGACGTTCCGATTCGAAGCTGAGCGGCGTCGACATCGTATGTACTTCATCTAGCCCCCTGCCGTTCCTTGGCTACTAGCTGCAGGGCAAAGAAGGTAAATATAATATCGATTCCTACAACATGTACAAGCATGGATATATATCACTTTCCGGTTTTTTTTTTTACTTTCCCCATGTTGATATTAATCCTCACGCCATGAAACCCGGCACATGGCTGGCGTGCATGTGCATATATCTATATCTTCTAGCTGCGGTGAACTTTAACCTTCTCACCGATGATTAGCTTAAGTTAGTACCTTTTCAATTTTTTGACACCAGACGTAACGGTGGAAAGAAAGTCTTGGTATTCTGATCGACTGACGTCAAGGTACGTACATACACTCATGACTGCGTGCCTCATCTATCATATCATATTAATCAATATTTCAATGATCTTCATACTGCACAGTAGGGTGGGTACAGAGTGGGGCTAGTTGACGTGTAGAGGTGCTCGCGCGCGCGGTGATTCTATACAACATAACATACATTGCAATCATTGACTCTTTTCCGAACGGAAGTGATTTTCAGAAAACGATATCCAGTACCCCCACAACCACCCATTGAAATCTCCAAGTCGGCTGGGAGAAGACGGTAAACGGAGAAAGGTTCGAATAGAGTAGAATAAAAATGGCTCATTACTAGTTACCGACCGGCGCTACAGCACACACTGCATAGATACTGCATATACATAGAGTACATGCAGTCTGATCTAGTACTTGACCGTGTCAGGGTTAGGGTTTCACAATGGAAAAGTGCTTCACTAAAGATCACTCGGAAGCTATCCACTAGCTCAGCTCAACGTCGACGTTCCCCCAATTCGCAAATCTTGAAAAAAAGATTATGGTTACTCGCAGCAGCAGCACCTCATGCAGGATGTACCCTGCCCCGGTAGGTTAATCCTTTCTTTGCTTTTTCTTTCTCACTAATCGACTCTCCCTCCTATTTTGATTCCTCCCATTAATATCCTCTTTCCCCCTATACCCTACTATAGGCCCTGGCCGCCCAGGGAGAGGGATCGACCCCAAGAACGACACAGCTAGGATGATGTGCCGTCCCGTAAGATCTTCTCGATCTGAATCTTACCCGCGATCTACTACACCTGAGAGGAGGAAGAGCCAGAGTAGTGAGGTTGGGGGGGTGTCAAATTACCTTGCTCCCGGGCCATTGCATGAACCGGGTTGGATTTTCGGTGATCCACAATGTGTAAAGCAATTTATCGCACGTGGCGAAACCGTCAGGCAGGCCGCATGCATATAAGTGGCCCCAGGCATTTTTTGTTCACTGCCGGTCGGATCTGGTAGAAGATATTTCTTTTTAGCATTGATGTATGTAGCTCGAGTACATGTGTAGCTTAGAGGAAATTTCGAAAGGTTCTGAACCTTGGTTTTGGAATTTTGAGATGTTTTTTGTTTACTTTTTAGGCCATATGGGTCTAGCGGAGTATAATTTGTTTTCTTACCATCTGAGTGGATACGTAAGTTTTATGTACGTAGGTGATTCAACCCAATTTTTGGCGTTTCCTGCTCACATTCGAAGATGAGCTATAACTTTGAATAACGCACCATCCCGAAGAGTCAAACCTGTGATATATCGTCAGTATATCCTTTCCTTGTTGATTTAGTAATTTATGCCAATAAAATGTTTGTACGGAGACTTACATGCGCTCATGCAGGCCTTACTCAATGTTAAGGTCTAATGATCCGCGAGCAACTGACGAAACGTCTGATGCTTCAGGAACTCTATCAATTGAACATAAATATCCTTTTAGACTGTTCATAGTATAAACTAAAAACGGCACACCACGTTTCATGGATTTTGAATCCTACCGCTTGAGGTGTGGAAGAACTAGCGCAACTGTTACTAGTCCCTCTCGGGCGGCTCCAGTTCCCATTTAAAAGTGGATAAATGGGCACGCTATGTAGCTAAAATTCTTACGGCGGGAAATACGTGCTGCTCTCGGTTTCGGAGTAGTTTTTCCGAAACACATACAGTATTGTATTTACATATGTTATTGAAATTCGTTGACATAGCCACTAGATGTAAGATTTTATTGGTCGGTGCTCTTGCATAAATTAAACTAGGTGGCGCTGGGCGCGGGTACTTGCCGCATTGGAGCGGCAAATGGCATAACATGGCTGCGCTGTTAACCGGTAAAGCAGGTGTGCCTCCATATTTGAGAGGGAAAAAATGAAAACGCATTTCTACTTACCTAGTTTGCTTTAACTGATTCCTTACCCCACGTTTGATCTAGTTTAAGTTCTCCCAAGCATATATACATTATCCCTTAAACCGTCAGGCTGAATTGCAACGAGACACTTAAACCCTTTATGGTAATCGTGATATAAGCAGCGCTGGATCTTGCAACCTGTCACGCATAATGAAGACTACAACTTCAAGTCTCTAGGCGTTGATCCTATCATGTTTCCGAAAAGGGTTTAAGTGTCTCCCATTGTAATTCGGCCTGACGGTTTAAGGGATAAGGATCAAATCTCACCGAGAATTTGAAAAACTCTAGATTCGTCAGTTAACAGTCAACGAAAGAATAAGAATAAGAAAAATCCACGTTTCACTTTTTACTCGATTTGGCCAAGGCCTGAAGTCCTCGGCAATTGAAGAACTCCAGCGCCTGGTTTACCAATCAGCCTTTTTCTCTTCGTGACAGTTCACACATATCGATTATAACGGTTTGGTGCTCGTCGTGTACACACTGCAACTTGAGTGCTGGCATGAATCTTTCTAGAGTACCTTTTTTTTTTTTTTAGTTGGCCCAAGGAAAAAGGGTCAATAATATCCTTATTAGCTAGGTCGAGCACCAGACACCAACACGAAGCCGACTAGCGCGAGGAGTGAAAACCAACAGTTTTTTCAAGTATCGAAGGCTATGCAGGTAACCTAGAGTACAAGTGACAAGTGTACTGTTTGTTTCAATTTCAGGTTAATTTGATATTGGACCGAGTTTAAGCCAATAATTCTTATAAATTAGTTCAGTATAAAATATTGGATATATACACGTATTAACCTGTAAAGTCCGAGTGATCATCGATGACTACAGAAGTGATGATAGCGTCTAACTCGGCTAGAAAGGCTGCAGAAACTATCGTGGGATATTTTTACGTACTTGATTCAGTTCATTGGATTATTTTCATAAAATCGCTTAGTTTTCACCGGTGAAAAACGCCGACAGCCTTCGAACCTACTAAGCTGAACCCTGTTTTTCTCCTCCCTCAGGCTATCGTATACAAAGCCGAAAGTCTTGCCGGTCATTTCTTTAGAAATAGAAGTTAGTATAGGTCTAAGTGACGACTAGCAGTGAGGCTTTAGACCAGACGAGGTTAAGTTCTATTGTGGGTTCTTACAATAGTTATGTGGGGAGTGTCGTGACCGGCTCATCACTCCCATGCATGTATGTACCAGATAATTATACACGTATGCAGGAGGAAATATCTCCAGGAAGCCTGGGATTAGACTAGGTAAGTGTCTTCCCTCTGCTTTAGTGTTTTCTTTTGAAATTCCGATCCAACCATTGGTGGGACACATATTGTGATATACTAATACGCCAATCAAAGTATACCTTTAGCGTATGAGAGTGGTCCGTGTTGTACCCAACGTCAAGGACGTTGGGTTGCATACCAGTAATATTCCTTGCCAAGATGCACGATCCGGCATTGCGGATGCTAGTGCGTCTTCCGCGAGGGTGAAGAGTTCGATCTGGAGGAGCATGACAGCTTGACCGCCTCATGAGGGGGACCACGTCAAAAGGGGTTATAAAACGTGGAAATTCGCCGAATGTCACAATCAATCTGCACTCGCGATACTTAACAAGACAGAAAATACCGGCAAGATCAGCAACCGGCGAGATCTAAATCATCTGTTTGTAGATATTAAGGGAGGCATCGTCAACATAGCGTAATTGAGGATCGATGCATATCTGTACCACGGTATCACCGGGGCTAGGCGTTAAGAGTTTTTCATCATTAGTTTTCTTCTGATAATAAAGGCTTGCTAAGATATGACAAGCGGTTTCATATCGCTGAATAGTGATTTTAGACATTTCTGTGGGGTATATGGTCGAGTGTATATTTTACAAGTTACAAAATAATCAGGAGGTCGATTGGAAAACGTGGTTGTAAGAACTATCAGGCATGCTATTCACAAACGAGACATGTGGACTCACTCAATTCTTTTCGTTGGATAGAAGATCTAGCCACGAAAAAAAAATCCAGACTTGTAGCAGTACTCTACAACTCCACCACGCAGATTGTATGTCAGCCTCAAGTTTTCTGCCTCCCGACATGTACGATCAGTTGTAATGGCCTCCTATGGGGATGACGGCAGGTCTTGCTCTAGTAGTTCCCCCCATCTGCCCACAATTGTTTGTTGTAGTTTTCGGTTAGCCTTTCATCGTTTCCATATCTAGGATTCTTAATTAGTATTCTGGTTTATCTCTGAACCCCAGATTTCATGTGAATATACTTTTCCTGCCACTCGACAAAACCCCCAGTGAGTACATAGACCTCTTGTTTTTTTACTTTTCCATCCTCATCCCTTTCATTTGGCTTTCCATCATCATCAATATTCCCAGCTGTGACCCTTATTGTCGAGTCTGCTCCGAACAATCTTTCACGCTCACGGAGGTATTTCACAGCGGCACTAGGACCGCGAACCTGTGAGAGGGCACAGTGAAAGACAACCTTCTCAGCCCCTTGGAGCTGACGTGCAAGGTCTGGTGCACTGTAATCTAGTGTTTCTGAAGGAACATGACGTGAGGATTTGATATGACCACCGATGTGATCTGTTGATTAAACCCCACTAATCAGCATTTTAACAACCGCAGGGATTGAAACTCATTATTGAATAATAATAAAAAAGTCTGCAAAAACTTACCTGAATCTCTCACATCAACAACAACAACTTTCTGATCAGTTGGCTCTGTCAAGAGCAGCGCACTGAGCCTCTCACGGGAGATTCTATTCAATGATGGAAAAGCACTTGACATTTTCAAAATGATGAGTTGATGAATTGGTTTGCTCCTAAGTCGAAAGTTGGATTGGTGTGGGCGGAAGGATGGTGGGATGGCGGGGCTAACGCGGGGTTGAGGCGATCTGTAGTAGTAGAAATAAGTATAATTATCCTTGGAATAACACAAAATTTGACCTTCTATTTTATTTGTTTAGATCGGAGTTACCTAACTTCAAAATGATGTCCACACTATCTACGTGCAAGCACAAGCTAATTCTTGTTGGTCGGTAGCTGCGTAAGGTTTGAACTTCCTTGCTACTCCAACTGGCCTTGCCCAGTCCTATTATGCGTGTAGATCTGGGCACGGTAGTTTAAATACGGTTGCCACGGGACGACCTTTTACTAGTGAACACCTGAGTAGCCAGGTGAAATACTCTGCCATGCCATCGATTACCAACCTACATGTAACCAACCCAATTGCATAAAACCCCTGAATTTTATGCTGACATTATTTAAGAGGCTTTATTGGTAGGTACTTACAATTGGGGCGGAGGCCGGATGGGGGGTACAGTTTTACAAGACGGGAACAGATACTATAAACAGATCAAGTAAGTGCTTGGGCGCTCGTGACACGGCCTGGGTGATAAGTAAACCAACGACCCAGTCCACTGATCACGAATTAACCCGTCTTTCAATGCGAGATTGGAGATCAACGACAAAATCAGTAAAGTGGAATATCAACCAAATAAACTTTAGTAACATTACCAACCAACGAGAGTACAGTATATTGCCTGTGTTCAACTTCCACGGAACATGCTAGGTGTTTAGAAAAAGGTTCGGATGCCTGTTATAATGAATTCAATGCTATGATGATAGGGGCAAATTAATTCGGCAGCCTATGTCAGAAATTTGGAAAGTCATGCTCTTCTAGTAAGTATATCCGATAAATATAAACCAGACGTACCCGAAATGATCCGAGTTGGAAGATATCCCCATGGATAGGTAGAACTAGAGACACCAAGTAGAATTATTGATTCTTGAAATACATGTTTTTTGATATAACTACATGTACATGTAGTTAATACGAAGGTCATACACATATGGTACCTGAGGATATATGCGCTGGTTTTAAACTTGTCTGCTCGACTTTTCTCACCACGAAACAAGCAAACTAGAGTAGCTAACTCAGGTTTAACATTAATATCTCACGTTCTATATGTACATGTGTGTTATCTCTGGTCACTTTTATGAAAAGCTTCTGAGTCGAGAAGCCCCCACTTGACCCCCAAGTTCTCAAAGCAAGAAATAGTGGAGTTATTAAGCCGCAGCCAATAGCCAGTCAGGAGAGTATGTGCGGGGTAGGATCATGCAGATATAATGCAGGTTCCCGTCTGATGGTACCTGAGCACAAGAGTCGTCAAGTTGTTATAGATGATAGAATGCTATGACAGTGTTGGAGCGTTAATTTTTACCTAGTAATTAACAGATGTTCAATCTCAGCCAATAGAATACAGAATTGAGAAATCATGAGCACTGAATGATAAGATAAGGTCTGTGCATATAATCTCTATAGTGATGAACTTTTGAAGAAGATCTAGACTTTGCGTAGATATCCGAGTATCAGGTTGTGGAAAACCTTATATTCACAGCGAACATACAGTGTCCGAATCCCGCCAAACACACAATATTAATTTCATACTATGGTCATATTTGAAAAAATTTCGTAAATAATAAGATCTTGTGATAGTCAGACAGCAGAACATGAAATATACTATCTCGTAAGATAGTTATTTCCATGTAGAGCATATGTAGTTTTGGTAATCCACGCTCGAGTGGATAAAATTTCACTAGAGAGCTGGCCGAAAACCCACTAACCCGGAGATCAAAGCACCGGATTTCCCTTTGAAGATATTGTATCCTCGACTGCGGCTTTTATTAATTAAACATTTATCCAATGGATCTAAAGGCGTCGCAAACTTATAAAAACACTCATAAATAAACCACGTGATAACCCCCGCGTACCCCGCGTCTCTCATTGCCATTGAGGGCCGAATATCGAATTTGCCCCAGCTGGTTGGCAAGATGGGAGTGGGTATGATTAACATTTGAAGCGACTAGCCAGGAACCAGATCAGCAGCAACGTGCCGTATATCACGGGCTTTGTGTAGGTATTTATGCCACCTAAAGGCATGGACAGCCCCTGCATGCAGCAGGAAAGCTATGTGAACTTTACTTTTTGTGTATTATATCCTAGGGTTGGTTTCCCGCTTCCTAGACTAGGCACTCTGAAGCTTACTGGAGAACCTAGCTGCCGAGAATCATATGGTTAGTTTAGAATAACTTTACATGTGCTTGATATTCCTCAACTGAAGAAGAAAAAACTTGACATTATCTCGTTCTTGGAGAAACATTGTAAACATGTATGTACTCGCGTAGAGTATAAGGTGTATCCATGTCGATAAGACTTGCCCTCTACGCGGCTCGATCCAACAAATGCCTTCTAGAACTTTAATTGCAATTCCATATATCGATGACTGGGCTTTCGGTCGAGTTGATGGCGATCAGTTGCGTAGTATCACAATGAATGTCGGTGTTAAACACCTACCATACTGCTGCGGTGAAAGCCCTCAAATTGATTGTTACTGAGATGCCGTCATAACTGCCGTCATCAAGCGCACAGGACCATCTAGCTAATCCTGCAGATATGATTGTGCAGAAATGCTTATCCGGTACCTTTGAATTATGGAGAAATTCTCCATCGGCCTCCAGGTTCAGTGTGGTTCGTCCTCCCAATACCCTATATCTGGATGCGTATGATCAGCTAGTTGCAAAGTAACCCCCACAGAGATTTGGTTATCAATTGATACTTACATAACCCTACCAACCTCTTGAAGTGATCGACACTTTGAAAGGACGCGGAAAGCAAAAACAAAAGAAAAAGGCCAACTATACCAAAATCGTTTCTTATAGATAGAGTGTAGAAAACATTATGCGGACCTCTTGCATGGCCCCTTGCTCCAGTCTCGCGGAATATTGACTACAAGTGTACCCTGCAAGCCCGGCTCAGTTGTGAAGGGCGAAACAGGATGTACAACGTGGAATGCAGGAAGTGCCTTGCTACGCTTAGAACGGAACAAAATACAGCAAAGAACCATTGTATACGTAGGTATTAAATGGGGAAGAAGGTACGTACATGTAGGTGTACTCACTCTGTCTAAACAGGCCAGAAATGGATAATTACCCAAGCTTATACTCGGGCATTAATTAAGTCCTGAGAAATTTTGTGAGGTCGTTGCTACTAAGAATTCTCAGGACTTAATTATATAAGCTATATTTGTTGTAGGCAAATTGCAAGGACAAAAAGCTTATGCTGGTCAATTGGGACATTCATGAATGTAGAAGTCAGCGCAGAGTACTAATCCTGGGAAAGACCCCAGAGTGTCAACGTTAGCAATTTATCAGAACACGAGATGGTAAACACGCGTACGCACAATATAATGTTTATATACATGCATTTAGAATTCGACAGATTGAGAACTGCGCCAAGGAATGCGGTGAGGTGGATGCAGAGTCTCAGAGTACTGTCCTGAGCTCACGGAACTCGATGTTAGGCGCATACATGTAACCTATACATATGTACTCAATAACTCGCTTTAATATATACGGTTGTAGAGTACCGGTGCTCTTATTGCAAGTACATGTAAGTAAGGCGTAAGTCGCGGGATCCGGAGGGCATCATTGAAAGCTGCCGCGATGACTTTTCTTTAGAGATTACATAGGGGGTACATGAATGTACATGTACATAGATAGTATGTATACCTTATTCGAAGTACCTACAAGCTGGTTGCTGCAGTGCCGGTTGGACTGAACCCTGTGTGTTTTTGTTCGAGTGAGAATGATCAAGTCCGGTGCATCAGTTGCATTGGCTGTATTGTACTAGCTACTAGTCGTTGGCTACCATGCCTCGCGTTTTCGCGATTTGCTAATATCCGAAAGGATCAAGGGCGTTTCTTTGGACAGACAAAGCGGATGGCATCCTCCGCGTTTCTATTTTCCTTGATCAATTAATCACTTCGTCTTCTTCTTCTGCTTCTCTTCTTTTTCTCTCCTCCTACTACTTACCTCACCTCACAAATCGAAAATCCAGTAACATCCTTTCAGGAAGGAAAAAACCCTCCCCGCTTTTTTTGTTTTCGCTTTTATATAAACTACCCATCATCCACCCCCCACCCCCCGCGCTAAATTCTATCACACAAATTCATTCAAGTCGACCTGGCTTCTGTCTATCTAAAGAAATCTTTGCATTCAATTGCATCACTCACTCGAGTCAACCAAACCTCCAGGGCTCTTTGTTCAAACTTTCAGATAAAAGCTTTCACCTCGTACAGCGCAAGAATGGCCGTGGAAAAGAAAATCATTAAGGATGGTGACGGTGTGAACAAGCCAAAAAAAGGGGACACAGTCACAATGCACTATACTGGCACTCTTCCCATCGGAACCAAACTCGCCGATGGAACCACCTGTGAAGAGCCAAAAAAGTATTATATATCCAACCCAACCTCACGAGACACTACTAACCCACAATATCTTCAGATTCGATTCTTCTGTTGACCGTGGGGAGCCCTTCGTTACCAAGATTGGTGTTGGGAAGGTTATCAGAGGTGAGCCCATGCCCGCCGTCATCTTCACATTCAGAGAACCCCCCACTGGTACCTGCTACGATCTGTTTCCGTCGCCACCTTCTTTCTTTGGGACGCAAGCAGCTAGGGGGTTTTCGGACTGTTTTTGACATATTTGGTAGGCTGGGACGAGGGAGTTCCCACGATGTCGTTGGGAGAGAAGGCGAAATTAACTATTACTGGGTAAACCATCCCTATTGGCATATTTTCATCCGAGCTTTGTCCCTCCGCCACTTGATAGGAACCGTTTTTTTGGCTAACCGCATATATAATTACTCGCATGTGTTTAGTGACTACGCCTATGGAGAGCGGTATGTACCATGAATTGCGACACCTCATCTACATTTACTTACAGGGATTATCCTTACGTCACAGCGGTTTCCCCAACTTGATCCCCCGAATGCTACTTTGGTCTTGTAAGTGCTTTCCGTGTGTGCATAGTCGATGTGGTTGATGTCGATATCGATACCAACATGCACATTATTCGAAACAATACTGACTTTGTGAAAACAGTGATGTTGAGCTCCTTGCTATTAACGATAAGAAGTGCGACGATAAACCGACTGACGGCAAACCGAACGCTTGATTCCAATTACTTTCTCTAAAAGCATCATCAAATCGGATTCCACATATGGGGTTAAACGGCCGGGGGAAATTGGTGTTTTGTTTTCGGTTTCAGAGAAGGTTTTTTTCTTGATGGATTTTTCTGGGTATGTTTCGTTCGACCTTATTGGCTAGTTTTGTAGCCAGTACGTGGGCATAGGAGTCATTGTAGCGGTTAGATGTTGGGATGATTGGGGGTGGTGATAAATGGAAGAAAATTTTCGAAACTTTTTGGTGCTGCCGTTTTCTTCATGAACTTCTGCCGAATCCCACGTGTGAATTAACCAATGACTTCTTTCAGATCATGAGCACCCATGCACAAGTAGGTAACGTTTTCGACCCAGTACTGTGTCAGACCTAGAAGTGTGTCGCATGGCAACGGCACCAAAACCAGACACAAAGCCCCCAAAAAGAAAGAAGACCCCATAACACCATAATAGAGGATAATCCATCTGGAAACCATCCTAATCCGTGTGCTTTTAAAATGGAATTCATTTGTTAAATATCTGGCAGTAAATATCTCAAGAGATGGAGATAGCTTTGGCAACAGAAATCCCCATACAAATTTGTATGGGATTGACATTCTTCTAGGTCTGACACGGTACCCGGTCTAAAACGTTACCGCCATAACTCGAAAAATTGGCTAGCTTCCAGAGATCAAAATTACTTGTATGGGAAACTTCTGATGCAGATCGATGCCATTCAACCAATCACTCGAGTGATAATCCCTAGCCGGAGATAGCCAATTTTTCGAGTTTTGGCGGTACTCTACATACATGCAGGCAGTGGTAAATCTGAGTTGAGGCTCGGTGTATGGATTCCAAGCGAAGTAAAAAGAAAAGAGCCAATTTTTCGTGCGCTGCAGATCAGATTTGGATCTGTGTTCTTTGACGATCACATTTCAATTGCCCGCATATATATAGCACTGGCTAGCCCAATCGGATCCTTCTAGTTTGCAGAAACGACAACGAAGCCGTTGATCCTACGTCTCGAACCACCCCTCGGCTACGAATTCGGCCTTCTCCACGCCAAATAGTATGGGGGTCTTGTAAACGGGTCTGCCTCGAATCCATGGTATGTATTTACATATCCGCAGATATGTAAGTAATGATAGACTGACCTGACATTGGCGAACATCGATCCACCCCAGCCAAATCTGTGATAAACATCTAGCGTCATCAGCCGAGGGGTTAACTAGAACCACATGGTTCACATCTGAGTACTAATCGTTGCACAGGGCGATTCATGAGAGAAATAGTACTCCCAGTATTATATCACAGGTCAACACGCATTATAAATGGCTAGAGGAGAATATGGGAGTCTTACCATCACCCAACTGAGCTCGAATCGACCAGCCTTCTCTTGGGTTCTGGAATCTCCCTATTTGTATCTACCGCCGTACTACAGGGTTGCGCAGGTCTAGGATCGATCCGGGTTTCTGCCAACAAAACGAAAAAGAGGAAGGTGATTGTAAAGAGTCGAAGATATTGTCACCGACTCTCTATAATACAAGGCTTTTGCCGACAAGAACTAGACTTCTTTGAACATGGATATACCAAACCAGACTGGCATTTGACAGGACATTATGCACGTAGGTACATGTATGTACTTTGATACTACATACGCCATACAACATATCACTCTAGTGGCCAGTAAGGGTACCAATGAAGCCTGCGCGATGTGGATGAAAGGGGAAAAGAGTTTATGGAAAAGGGGATTCTGTGTTATCAGATCTATGCAACCACTGCATTAGTTGAGGAAGGTTAAACGCGGGTTGAACTGGCTACTATGCAGCTAGGCATGTCTAGAGCATGTAGGCAGGGCGGGGGTGATCGGGGGAAAAATTGTAAGAAACATTCATATCATTATTTGAAACTATCCCTTGAGACGTGTTGAAACTGTCTAGCTACTCACTCATACAGACAGCTTGTGGGCTCTGATATTGACCTCCAGTCCTGATGCGTGTAAGCTCTCTTCATTATACTCTTTCTTTGGGCCATGCATGAGCGCAAGCTTAAGACCGGCCGGCGCTGGGCTTCGAACTACATGCAATTACAATTCCTCGATACTAGATCGACCACTGCCATATTGTTTTCGAATCTCCCACTGTTCGACCGGCGGGGCAATGGAACATCCTACATACACATATACACATTATACATATAGGAGTAAAGTGTGTCATCTTAAACCCGAAGGCGCATCATCATCGCCATTATCAATTGCTACTACATATACATACGTACATGTACGTATACGTATGTGAGAAAGTTTTCAGGCCAGTGATCATGATCGTCTCCGAGCAGAGACCTACTCCTTTCATGTACTCATGAGGTACCCCACGAGGGGGGAGCAATGTGGCCACCTGCTTAGATGTTTAAGATGCAGGTGAACAGAGCCAACCATACACCGTGTTTGACAGCGGCATATATGGCGACAACGGAGTTTCCCAAAACCTGCATACGGGAATTACTTTCCAAGGATGTCTATGAACCGAATCGTAGCGCCCACATAGATACTCAATTGAAATATGATTATGAGCGATTGAAATGAAGCTAGCGAACTGGCAATTCTTCAGATAATTTCTGCCTTATATTTTATATTTCCACACCTGATGCAGTAGTACACTTGTTTACATTTCCTGCAACATATGCAGCACACCCACCCACATACATCTCGCCCTATATCTAACCCTAGATAGTTTTATCAGGCTTTATAATTTATAAATTTATCACATAGATGTGCGCGTGCCGGTGTGTTGTTTAATTATTCTAGCTTAGTCACCTTACCTTTTTCTTGACAGGTAAATCCCACACTATTTTAAACCCACCTTCACAACTATACTTACATGTTTCCGGGGTATGTGGATATATATATCGCAAACCCTGTATCCGGTATACGTAATTATGTCGAAAAATGACAGAGTCGAAGAGATAATTCCTAGCAGATATCTCTCAACGATCATAGGAAATCAGTACATGTAGGTAAATACAGCAACAACATGGCAAAGACCTGTGCCTCTCTGATCGCCTCAATTCAATTAGCGCGAATTATTCCGACATCAAAAGAATACGATCCTTCGTAATTAAGAGGCAAGCTTGAGATTTGCAATTCTGATTGGGCGCACTACTCTCAAGACGGAGGGTAAGTCTCCTGACTTCCGCGACACAGTATACTCATAGTAGTACACTGCAGGGCCGACATTGGGGCGGACAAGCGTCTTGATATGCTAGTCCTATGGGGCCCCTAGCCTTTTCCCTCCTCCTCCACCTCCTCCTCCTCCTCTTCTTCCCCACCCAGAACCCTCAAACACCATCAATGTAGGTCGATCTGTTGAGCTCAAGAATGAGGGAGGAAAAACCCCTGTTAATATAAACTTACGTCATATTAACGCCAAATTCGCAACTATAACTGCGCAAGCAAATTCATAGACTAATTATATAATCGATCGATCGACACATATTCCATCATCCCTTCCGTGATCATTTTGCGTCGGAAATTTGCCTCCAGACTTTTGAGAGATATGAAGTCAAAAAAGGTGTATATAAGTTAACTGCCGTGTTTTTATCTATCGGCCCAGAAAGGAACGCAATCCTAAAAGTAGAACTAATCGGCGATGCATGCCTATTTGCAGGAGCAGTAACAACTACACATGATTTATCCAGAACTCCCATGGTCAGTACTGCTCTGCCGAGACGAGAATGAAATAGGGAGAGCTCGAGATTTACTCACGATTTTGACATACAGTCTCTTTTTACGGCATGTACTAGCTCCTGATACACTATCATACAAAAAAGTATAGTTATAAAACTGATTCCCGATTACATACCTGCGGCAATATGTGCAAGGAACATACTATGCAGTTACATGTATACAGGGGTAATATATACCGTACCATTGTCTGTGGTTTCATTCTCGATTTTTCACGGTTAAGGGTCTACAACACTAGACGTCATACCAGGCTATGCAGAATGTCGAAAAGTGTAAAGCATTCTTCATGTGTCGCATGGAAAATCAATAAGGTTTGTGGCTACATATTCTACTAGGGAGCCACAGCCAGAAGATGTCGGCACATGGCCATGGGAGAAGTAGAGTACTATATTATATGTACGTACTTTAATTTACATCTAGTAGGGACCACGTTTTACGGCCCGCTATTGTGGCCTGGCCAGCTGGGTACATGATCTTTGATTCGTGAAATGGCAAGGTGACCCGAGATTCCCACTTTATACAGGGTATATAGCGGGCAGTTTGTATTCCGGCCGACGGCCGGGCCTATCAAAACTCTGAATTAATATAAAACGGCACAGTCTTCTCGAAAACTAGAGGGGCATAAGCAGAATTTTAGGCATGGTCCAGGTTTTGTAGACATGAAGCGTACATACATTCGATATCCCCCGAGGTTGGCAGGGCTAAATAAACCAGGTTGAACCTAGTTATCCATATACATTAAAATCGTTTAATTCAATCTTGGGAAACCCAATTGTTTGTTTGGTATTTTGAAACCAATCGGAATTCAAGACACAAGCGACGTACATACATTAAGATTTCTACCTGGTGGTTAATATAAACTTCAACGAACCGGGTTTTATAAAAGACCAGATTGAGATTTATATATATAATATACATACGTCTTTTTAGCAAGCGTCATTAATAGCCAGTTTTGGTTTCCATAGCCACAATAAGATACGACGTGTACAGTTGCGCTACATACAGTTAATGGCGCAAGAAAGAGGCCGAGAAATTGACAGGCATTATTCCAGTAGAGTGCTTGTTAACTTGCTTCCATACATGTGGGTTACAAGAGAAAGGCGATAGGACACGTATAACAATAGATAGCTGCATGTACCGCCGCACCCTGGATGTTCTTACCTAAGGTAACCGGGTGATATCGTATGATTCACTATCCCAGTTCTAGCTTGTGTGATTTTCGTACAGTTGAGGCAGCAGTACATACTTGCGATGAAGACAGAGGTCAAAATCAACCAGGTGCTTAAATAGACTGAGATACGTATGTGACTATATTAATTTTGATGTTGACAATTGCAAGCGCGCACCATAGCCAGCGGCTCAGGGTGCTACTAGTTAATCGTCTTACAGCCTACACACAACATAAGTACACATATACGTACATATTACGTAGGGTTACAGTCGAATCTCGCCAAGACATGTAAAATGTGACAAGTCTAGATCGAAGCATGTTCTTTCAAACCAAATGTCTAGACCTAATCTTGCTCTAAACCTTTTAGATATATATGTACGCGTCCAGGTTTTAAATTTATATGGGGCTACTAACTCATGTGGTCACGCAATATTCTTTTCATCGGATTAATACGATTATCGAGACTTAAACAGCTATAATCTACATGCCTTGATGATAGAGTCCCATAGGTAGAAAAATCATTCACAGTAAACATCATGAGCTGTCACTCGAGAAGGCTCATAGGACGAGCCCCGTCCCGTTTTTTTTCTTTTTTTCTTGTTTAATTCATTAATTACATAGCCCCGTCCCGTAAATGCGACGACAAGCGCTGCCCACACCCTAGACTGACGCCGAGTATGCCCATGGGAAATACTACATATTCCATCCCCTATTAATACCCTCCTGTGCGCCTTGGTGCGTCTAGTTAACGCTTCCTGTTATTCGTAGTGATCGATTTAGACAACCTCTAAGCGCCTAGTATAATTTATAGTGAACTTTAAGCATAAGCTAGTGCGAGGGCGCCAGTAAACGAGTAGCTTAAGAGACCTATCCTCAACATAGATGTTAATCCAGACCCGAGTGGTCTTAAATTAACTTAGTTTCTAAATTAAACCCAAACGGCATCTTTATGATAACCGCAGTCTTGTGTTTTCGGGCACAGCTAGCTATTAATCCCAACATGTAAGTACAGCATGTATTGATCATCAAGAACTTACAATTGATTTACAGAATCGTTTATGACTTTATGTAGTTATACGCGCACAGTAAAGAATATCCTGGAAGGTGCCATGAAGGACATTAATTGCACGATACCGTTTTCGAGTAGGTTATACACTGAGACAAGCATGGGTGAGGTCTGAATACTTGAACTCAAAGTTGTTAGCAGTCTTTTCACTCGTATATTCAGTTCCAGCAAGTTAATTATTCCCCTGTCTAAACTATATAGTCTTCCTCATCGTCACCAGAAACGTCTCCCATTGGTTGCGCACTATTTCTAATATTGATTGCATATCATTCGACAAAGAACTACTCCCGAGATGGAAGGGAACTGGCATTAAAAGGCGTGTAGCTGTTGCAATTGATATAAAAGAACAAACACTGACAGAACTACAGCTATATTTTTATACTAGTGAGGAGCGGCCTCCGGCCGCATATGAAATTAACCATCAGTTCGAGGAACTGCTGATAACTAAAGGAATTTGTATGCATATATGTATAAGATCCGGCCCTGTTCAATGGCTCGGATATGCGTGAGATTCGATGTAATGGTGGAAATAAACATCGATATGTAATTCACGTACGCATTCGGCGCCATCTGCCGCTGCGCGGCAGGCTGGGCCCCTCCTTGCTCGCGTGAGGTTGTAATTTTGGAAGAGTAGAGTCGATATTGATCTTGGACGGAAGACTATTATATATCATGACGGTAGTGCTTAGGGTTTGCCATTTAAAGAAGAGTTGAAAACATGCATGTCTCCCTTAAAGCACCCCATTCTTTGTCTATTGACAGCTGTAACCCGCTAGACCACAGAAACTAGAGGCATCTAAGCATCCAATTGAAACCTTTCGTGATGACAGAGATACCTGACTATTCTATTTAGATATGAAGGTCGAATTTCCCTGATACCGTTTTTTCGTGAACTACGTGTACATACTAACGCTACTCATTGGATGACTTAGGGTGCATACTAGAGCTAATATATCACAGATTACATATAAGGAGAGATGGAGATGAGGTTAAGTGCGTGCCTGTACGTTTGGATGACCCAATAATCCAGAATGACAGCAATAATCTAAGAAATTACTATCGCAGTACCGCCCGCACCTTCATTTCCTCACTACATTTGGGCGGCCGAAGGTCGCACTCCGCTTGTATTATAATAGGGATCTATGAGATTCATAATTCAGGGCTTGGCAAAGCAGTTATGTGCATTTCAAAATAAACCTTCCAGCTTGTTCTATCTTTGTTTCTGAATATCTGTCTATGAGCCAGTGTACGCGTGGTGAATTTGTCTTGCTTTCAGGAAACAAAATTGATATCACCCGCAGCCGCGGTACCGATACTAGCTAGCACTGATCATGACCAAAAGGTATATCCACTCTACACTGCCCTTTTACCACTAGCCGCTGATATACGTAGACTCACTGCTCCCCGCAGTATGGGCTTAAGCTTTTATCTTAGTCTGTATACGTACAAACTGGCGCGCAGTCAATGTTATACCCACCCGCCGTAATCACCTATAATAACCCGAATGCACGAGTTATAATAGACCCAGAACGTCCTTTATATCGCGGAAAATTCTTCCTTCTTATGTACGTAGGCTTGGAATAGTGTCGAACAAAACTGTTCATCTAATAAATATCTAAGGCATGCGTGGTGTGGTGAGTGCATTCTCAGGCCCTTGTTGTTTTGGAGTCATCAGCTATCACTCGCTTCACTATAGTGAGCGCTAGGTCCTAATTTAGTTACTCCCAATTTAAAATTGATTGTTTCCTCCTTTTCTTGACTTTGAATCGCCATAAAAATCTTGTCTGAACCTATCCCCTATTACGTCTTCAAGCAACTTACGTACATACTCCCAATCCACCAATCCGTCAAACCACCAACCCACCGCTATAACTACATAGCGCTATCAAACAAAATATCCACCCCCGCACCATTACAAAGACCAAACCACAATATGTATAACCACTAACAATCAAGAGTGAAAGAGATGACTGAAGAAAAAAAGAATGAAAAAAGAGTACTGAAGATCAACTCAAAGTAATAACTTGAAAAAATGTTATATAAGTTCCCTAACATTTCATCTCTTCATCGAAATTCCCCGACAAACCTGACGGTTCTTTTTTTCATTTTCTTTTTCTTTCTTTTCTCAAGGTGGTATAATAAGATGCGAAGGACAGTAAAAAAACAATCGAGCGATAGAATAGGAGTAAAAAAAAAAAAAAAAAACTAGCTAAATTCAACAAATCCTCCTACTTGACATCATCAAAAAAATACAAAATTTCCCCCAAACCCCAAAATCCCAAATTGCATTAATTTTAATACGATACCTCCCGTGGGTGTGAGGAGTAAAGAAGCGAAGTAAAGTTGTGTTCCAGCGCAGCCAGGCAATGTGTAGGTAAGTAGGTAGGTATAAAACATTCTGATACCCAACAAACGCCGTAAGAATAAGAAGCATAAAAAAACAGAAGAAAAAAACAGGAGTTGTCAAATATGTAAAGCTGAAACGAAAAAAAACGGAGAAAACGCAAGCTCGGGTATAGATACAAGTTACGCACAGGGGTAAGAAAACAATAAGGTACTTTATGACATTGAAAATTATCTAAATTTTTGGCTGAATCGGTTGGTTGGGTGAATGGTACGAGAGGGTATAAACTATAGGAATGTCTGAAAATAGAAAGGGTTAAGTTGGCTAGAGTGTTGATCCTTCTTCCGCTCCTTACTCCGACACTGTTTCCTCCCCTCCTCCTCCTCCAACTTTCCTCCCAGCGCACCAGCGCACACAAAGAACTCTTAGCACTCCTAACAAAATTAATTCCAACCCAGCGAATTCTCAGCCATCATCGGCGCCGAGATTTGCGCTGTCCTAGCACTGGCCCTTCCTCCACTTCCCCTGCTTCCCCTGTGGTCGAACCTAGCCGCACCGTGCATAACCGCGCCCCCACTAGTCATCAATCCACTCGCCGGGTTGCTCCCAGGCGAAACACTCCTGTTAATGGAGTTGCTTCTTCCGTGTCGTCCGGCCCTTCTCTGCCTGTACCTCCTGGCCACCAAGAACATCGCCGCACCATACGCTGCAGCGCCCGCAACAATACCGACACTCAAACCGATGGTCTTGCCGGATACGGTTGTGTTAGAGGATGTACTTCCCATAGGCGCAGCATCTCCGTTGTCGGAGGATCCGTCTCCATTGCTTCCGTCCCCCCAGGTTCCACCTGTTCCCATGGCGCCGTTGCCGTCACCAGTCTGGTCATCCATTGACGCGAGTAATGGAATTGATGGGTCGAGAAGGTTTATCATCTGAGAGACAGGCGCGTCTGGGTTTTGGAAGAGGCGTGCGGCGGGCGTGTGACGGTCTAGATCGAGCTTGTTGACAAGATCCTTGGGGACGTAAGCAAATGCGAGTGTTGTGACGTAGCCGCGGGTCTTGGTGGTGTCATAGGGCTGGAGAGTATGCATAATCACATCTGAGGAGTCGATTTGGAGTCCATAACAGAGACCGTGAGGGAGATATTCGAAGATTTGAGCGACAGCTACTGGGTTCTCGACGACAAAGGGGTAGTTGAGGGCGTGTAGGAAACCAAAGCGGACAAGGGTGTAGTTGTCGGGCTGTTCAGGCATGCCACCGGCTGGAGTGATTACCTTGGGGAGGTTTGATGGGATACCGGTCTGAATTGAGGTGGTCGTAGTGGTGGTTTCATCACCCGTTGCAGTTGCAGTAGTGGTCGAAGTGGTGTCGGGTGCTACTGTAAGCGCAGAAGAGAACCATTGGGTGGTAGATGTGGTCGTGGGCTTTGTGGTCAAAGTCGTACTGGGGAGCTCGGTGGTTACAGTTGATGTCTCCGAGGCCGAGGAGGTCGTATTACCAGCGGCCGGGATGGAGGTGATCTTGCTAGTGGGTTCAGTGGTTGACGTCGCGAACGTGGTCGATACTGTTCCAGTGGATGTATGAGAAGATGTCCCAGTGGATGTATGAGAAGATGCCCCAGTAGATGCTTCCGAAGACGTGGAAACGGTACCTGAGGAAGGCTCCGCCGTTGAAGTGCCATTGACAGACGGTGGGAATAAAGTAGTAGAATCATATGGCAGTGAAGTAGGAACCGACTCTGTCCCATTGTTTGTGGGTGCAGGCCCTAAAATACTAGACAACATTGATGAAGGATCCATGGTCGTGATTGTTGGAGTAGTAATAACACTGCTGTTGCCGCCGTCCGTCAAGATCCCAGTAGGAAGCACAGTGAGTAAAGAAGTGAGTGAAGTCGCAATAATGGTTCCATTGGTCTGGATGGGAAGTGGGATATCGCTAGTGATAGATGGGAGGTTGGTGGCGCTTGAGAGCAGGCTCGAAATATCGATAGTTGGGACAGTGACATTAATAGCGTAATCCGAGGTGTGAATAGGCAATACACTTGAAGCCACTGAGGACACGTCAATGATCGATGTCACAGGAGAAAGAGTGTCTACAAACACGGTTACGTTAGCTTTCGGAGATGGTTGAAAAGTAATAAACAGGAGGGTAATAGTAGTGAGTTACCATTCAAGTTACTTGGTAGGTTAGATGGGAGAACGCTTTGAATGACTGAGGTAGGTAAAATGCTTTGGGCAATTGATGTGTCGGGCAGGGTCGAGTTTGCGATATCGGTAACCTGGGAGACAGCCGAAGAAGCTACATTGCTGGCAACAGAAGAGACACCGGCTACAACAGAAGTGGCCTCTGAGACAATCCCGCTGGCAACTGACGTAACACCAGATACACCTGAATTGAGAACTGAAGTGGCACCTGAGGCGACTGAAGAAATGCCAGAAGCGACAGAATCGACGGCTGAAGTGACTCCTGAGACGGCCGAAGAAACGTCTGAAGCTGCGGAACCAACAGTTGAAGTAACACCTGAGGCCATGCTGTTGGCAACAGAAGTAACATCACTTACAAGAGAAGATGCTCCCGAAGTTACCTGTGAGAGTGCACTACTAACAACGGCGGTGGCACCAGATTCGATGGACGAGACCGCAGACCCAGCACTAGAAGTGATTGCTGCAACACCTGAACTTACATCTGAAGCAACAGAGCCAGCGGCAGAAGTAACATCACTGACAACAGAAGAAACACCAGAGACTGCGGAACCAACAGCCGTAGAAACACCTGAAGCTACACTATCGGCAGCGGAAGTAACATCGCTGATGAGAGAAGATGCCCCCGAAGTTACAGCACCGGCAGCAGAAGTCACTTCCGAGAGTGCGCTACTAACAACTGCGGTAGCATCAGATGCAATAGACGAGACCGCAGACCCGGCACCGGAGGTAATTGCTGCAACATCAGAAGTTACGCCCGAAGCAGCAGAACCAATTGTAGAAGTAACATCGCCGACAATTGAAGTTGCTCCTGAAACAATAGCACTGCCAACAGACGTGGCATCAGATGCAATAACTGAGACCGCAGACCCAGCAACGGAAGTGATACTTGCAACACCAGAAGTAAGACCTGATGCAGCAGAGTCCACGGCAGAGGTAACATCGCCAACTACAGAAGTCGCTCCTGAGACAACAGCACTGGCAACAGACGTGGCATCAGATACTACAGAGCCTACTTTGGAGGTCGCTTCAGAAGCAACAGAGCTAACGGCAGAAGTAACATCGGAGGCCACAGAGCCGACTGCAGAAGTTACATCCGATACTACACTGGAAGCGGCAGAACCGGCCGCAGAAGTAACTTCAGAGGCCACAGAGCCAACCACAGAGGTGGCATCTGATACCGCACTGGAGGCAGCAGAGCCGACCGCAGAAGTAACCCCAGAAGCTACGGAGCCGACCGCAGAAGTTGCATCTGATACCACACTGGAAACCGCAGAACCGGCTGCAGAAGTAACTTCGGAGGCCACAGAGCCAACCACAGAGGTGGCATCTGATACCGCACTGGAGGCAGCAGAGCCGACCGCAGAAGTAACCCCAGAAGCTACGGAGCCGACCGCAGAAGTTGCATCCGATACCACACTGGAAACCGCAGAGCCGGCCGCAGAAGTAACTTCGGAGGCCACAGAGCCAACCACAGAGGTGGCATCTGACACCGCACTGGAGACAACAGAGCCAGCTGCAGAGGTAACGCCTGAAGCCACAGTATCAACCACAGAAGTGACATCCGCAACTGCGCTGGATGCAACAGAAGTAACTCCAGGGACTATAGAATCAACCACAGAAGTAGCACCGCCAGCAGCAGATGTGACATCGGTGACTACTGATTGGACAACTGAAGTGGCGTCCGAAACCACAGAAGTGACCTGAGAAACCACCTCTTCCACCGCTGAAGTAACTTCCGACACTGCAGAAGTCACCTTAGAACCGACCTCCGACACAACGCTCGTAGCCTCCGAAACCACCGCGCTAACTTCAGAAACGACCGGCGAAACAGCCGCCGAAGTAACCTGAGAAACAACCGGCGCAACAACTCCTGAGGTAACCCCTGAGACAACCGAGCTTGGCGCCTCAACTACGCCGTCAACAATGTTAAGAATTCCACTTGACGAAGCGGTGGTGGAAGGAGCAGTAGACTCTGGGGTCGATACACTGGCGGTAGTTGTAACATCGGAGCTTAGAGGCGGAGCGGGTGGGGCTGAGGACGGAAAGAGCGACGAGAGGAATGCGCTGAGGTCGGTGCTAGATGCAGAGGATGCTGTTGTTGTTGATGATGATGATGAAGATACGGGTGGGGCTGGAGGCTCATTGGGGTCTGCGAGAATCGAGTTGTTAATAAAGTCGGTGACCGCTCGTTTGATATGTTTAGGGAAGTAGTGGGATGGTGTTGGCACTGTGGGTGGTGTTGGCACTGTGGGTGGTGCGTCTTGGGCGGTGGTTAAGCTGAGTGTTGAGAGGAGCGTGAGCGTGAAGATGATGTTGGGAGTCTTCATGATTGTGGTTGTACTATGAATTTGAACCTATGTGTGAATAAGACTTTTTTGTTTTGTTTTCTTATAATAGCCCACATAGGTCGTCGTCCTCCTACTAATAATTGGGTCAGGTTGGGTTAGATCTGCTTACCTGTAATGTGATGCTTAGAGTAGCTATAGTAGGTACAGCCAAGTTACTTTGCTTAACGAGCGTAATTGACAACCGCGTGCGTAGAAAAAAAACTGAATCAAATGAACGTGGGGCCTATGAAAGGGAAGAACCAAAGAAAAATCTCAAGGAAGGAATGTGTCAGCGCGCGTTGACTGTCATTCCACGAGGTGTAGGTAGGTTAGGTAGGAGTAGGTAGGGGAGGGTGAGGTAGGGAAAGGCATGGTGTTATAGATGGGTGTGTGGGTGGGTGTTGGTAAAAGGGGGTCAAAAGTAGGGGTGAAACTTACGGAAGGAAGAAAAAAAGCCTCCAAGCGAACCACCACCAACCCAAGACCCAAATTTTAACCGCGGAGTCTTTTTCTTTAAGAACCTCGCGCTGGCTGTCAAAGTATCTGGCTAGCTCTGAGACCCTCTTACCTTCAATAGTTGACTATGGCGGGGAGGGAATCAAATGCAGATATATGGGGTCTTGCTTGCGCTGCATGAAATTAGCGGGATTCTTTTTCGTTCCTGGTCTCTAAATCTGGCACCACTCGTATGTAGTGGAAATCTCACTTGTTACACACCCAGTCCCTACCCAAACAAAGAAACAAAAAATCACAACAATTGAATGGCGCGCGATAGAATGATAAGGCATAAAAACTCACAGTATTAATTAGCGTGCTTAGTTGTCACTTGATGGCAAAGTTGGGAGAAAGAGTCGATCCCTTGAAGTTGTCGGGAATGCGCTTTTGAGACAGTAACAGCGTCTCGTCTTTCCGTACGTACGTATACGTCAAGAAAGAAGTTGCAGGAAAGTAGCAGCAACGGATGAACGAGACAAACGAATGAAAGGGAGAGAGAAGGTGGGGTTGAGTGTACTTTCTCAAGGGAAGGGGGGTGGAATAGAATCAATGAGAGATCGGAGAGGGAAAGGGCAAAGTAGTGAGTGTGAGGGCAGTAAATTGCTCTGCAGGTGCCCAAAACGAGTGATGAGAGTAGGCGGCGAGGAGGGGGCTATTGACTGGGGAAAGTCAGCAATGTAGAGGCAGAGCAGGTTGGCCGTTAGAGTACAAGGGAGGGATGGATGAATGAGGAGGGTAGGATAATAGTAGTGGAAGGTCCGCTGGGGCACGGGGGAGCTGCGCAATTACTATACCTTTTCACCCACAGGCACCGGGAGTAACAAGCAAAATTGGGAGAGGACGTAAAAAAAGAGTGACAATGGAGTTGTACAGCCCCCAAAAAAGAGCTGTCAGAAAGAGGAAACAAGAGACCACAGAAAACAATGTAAGCAAAAGAGAGGGTAAAATGAAGGTGGTGAGGTAGGTAGGTACCGATCAAGGTACTCACTCTACTTCGTTGGTGGTGAGGATGCACTATCGACAAGAGATGAGCGTTCTAATGGGAAGCAAGAGAAAGCGATGAAAAGTAATGGCAACGCGAAGAGCATACCCGCTCGGGAAGCCGGTCAGCCAAACATTGCCCCCACCACACGATGCGTAATTAAATGCAGTGCTGCAGGGTATATATTATGGTACTTACAGTACATAGAGCACACATGTCGAATACGGCACTATACATACAACTAAAAGTACCACGGCCTTAACTATTGTAATAGTAGCTATAGCAATAATAGGTTAAGGGCTTTGGGGTTTTTCTAAGGCTGTAACCCGTTTTGCATCTAGCTAGTGTCCAACCAGCGAAGCGAACTGGGCTTCGTGACGTTAAAAAAATACAAAAACACGAATCAGGCCAGGAAGCTTTGTGTGCTTCCTATTTTGTCTGAGCTTCCACTTTCAGGACGCTTCGTTTCGGGTTCGCAAGCTGCGACAGGGGTAATCTTTCAGTTGGTTGGCTAACATAATCCATGTAACCCTCCTCCCCATAAAGTTAATAGATTAGAGACAAGGGTATTGAGCATGGCAGATTCGGAAGGGCCCCGCACCTTCCGACCATCATCCTCATCTCCGCCCTTAGGGTTACTGACTCTTTAGTAGGAGTTGCTCGATACATGTAGTATTCTATGCAACGATAACTCTATCTACTAAGGTTGTTAATATAATGTGTAGTAAAGATTAAACCACGACATTTCTATGTAGAATACGTAGCATTCCTGCTGACGTTTTCTTTTTTCTTTTTCTTCCCCTTCTACGGAGACTTCCTTTATCCAAGGATATGTAGTAAGTACATATATGTATATTGACGTGGGTGGGATAAAATTTGCATATATGTACCTATAGTACAGATATGTACATGTATGCGTGTGGGCCGTCTGTACGGCGCAGAAACATTTTGCGTCGGATCAGTCACAATATCATGGTAGAAGGTTTCCTTCCTATGGGTAAGAAAGCCATCTCTATGTCACGTCAGGTAGAATGGATCCCTTGAATGCACTTCTTAGTCTCATGTTTGCCATCTAGAAACGTGCTCGGAAGATTTGCGGAAGAACAAGATCTTAAGAAACGGCAGTCATTTGAGCTGTTTCAAGCCATACAGATTCAGGAACAGGAACAGATGCCGCCTCTCCCCTATGGGGAATGTATTTAAGCCTAAATTGGTAAGGTTAACTTTTACCGAGGGTGGCTTGCGCCCCTCAACGGGCAAACGTTAGTTCCTTGCTGTGTGCTTTTTTTAGATGAACACTGAGACAGCCCTAACCCTTCCATTGGGAAGTGTCGCTTTTGTTAGAATTCGATAGTTAGTGATATCCAAGAACAGAAAAGCGCTTACCTGTCTTTGCAGAAAGGAAAACAGCTCACTTCTCCGCACACGTATACGTACTCTAGAGTTAATACATTCAACTTTGATGACATTTCCCTCTGAATAGGCTCCATATGGATTTGCGGCCACCCAAAACCAGTCATATCCAGCTGGAATTGAATATCTACTTTGTCGTGCTATTGGTTTTACCCATTTTAAGTCTGGATGTGTCTGTTCGGGTTGATTTGCTGACATACAGCTATCGGTAGAATTATTGCGGAAATGTGGCGTTGGAAAATCGCCCTGCTCTCGGCGTGATCGTCGGTCCCTGTTTCCGCAATAATTCTACCGATAGGCACATACCTACATGTATTCAAGTAGAGTAATCACGTAGGTACTTGTGTAGGGACCTAGGTACCTAACTTGCCCGGGCCTAGGCACCCTAGAAGGAGCAAAAAAAAAAAAAGGTGGATCGTCTAAGCAGGTACAATAAGTGCCCCTACATCATGTCGATCAGTTCAACTACGCCCGATTCGCCCAATGATGTTTTTCTAGACATACACGCACTTAAGATTTCTCTTCTTGCGCCAATTTAAGGTTTTCTATACGTAAAAGGCCGGTAAGGGCCTTGTCAGAAAGCCTTAGCTTTATGTATCATCGTGAATAGATAAGTAAGGAATTGGCCTGGACACACAAGGAACCCACGTTGCAGTTGTCTGGTTCTAGGGATTTGTGCATGTGCCGTATCTTAGATTCCGCGGGCCAGGTGTATGGTCCCGAAGAAATTCGCTGCGCTACCGACTTTTCTTTTTTGTTTTCGAGAAAGATGAAGGGTGAACGAATACAAGGCTTTGTGGAGGGATGTGAGGTTAAAGTGAGGGGTTGACGACAATTTTCGCTGGTAATCCCGGTTCATTGGATCTCACTCGTTATTAACCAACCCTTACCTCTAGGATCGTGGCTTTCTCCCCTCGCTCGGCCTTTGGTCCTTAATTTGCCACTTCTTTTCGAACATTGAAGTGCCTACCGTATGTACGCTTCCACAAACTAGTCTGGGAAACTGATTAATACAAATGCTGTTAGAGCACATGTAAATATGTCAATTCGGTCATATGATGATGTAACGAATCCATCTAGATTTGGAGTATCTCGCTCTTCTCTAGAACATAATTGTCTAGTGATTGTTCGAATCGAAATTTTGTTTTGGATGAGGTTATCCATAAAAATAGAACATCCACGTTTAGTCCTAAGATGTTCCGGCTCAGTTATCGAAGACACCATAGGGCGCTTAGAATCAGAAGTGGCTCTGCGCCGGGTAGCTGCTTAAGCTTTTGAATATCTCACATAGGGCGGCTCTGTTTAGGGCATAGATGGTCGATGAGACATGAACCCCTGCGCGTGCTAACTTACGCTTCCGGCGAAAATCGATTGTTGGTAACTACATGTACATGTATTAGGGAAAGAAGCGAGGCAGTGGATGAAAGGTTTCACTAGCGACTGAAGCTTAGCTACCAAAGAGAACTGCCCAGCAATTCATACCATAATACCAAGCAAACCCTAAGTAAATAGACCGTGTGCACCTGTGTCGAGCATGTACCTGTGCCGAGCACCTTATAATAAAGGCAGCATTTTAGCCACCATTTGGAGCGGATCCCTAGAGATCAGATAAGATGCTCGGCACAGGTACATTCTCGGCACAGGTGCACACGGTCTACTTAGATCACTAAGTTCGACTCTAATCAGAATTTAGAATTAACAAAACCCCGAAATATCAGTATTTCTGTACACCTACATGTTTTCCGCATACCACAAAATTAACACAGCTTCGCTTACACTCCACCACAAATTAGCTAAATCCAATATCACGCAATATGTATTCAGAGAAAGATCGAAAGACAAGCCATATTAAATAGGCCAATCGGCATATTTGTAACACACGGAGGAGAAACATAGTGGAGGTGTGGTTGCGCAAAAGCCTTCATGCATATATCAGCGTAACTCCCATTTTGACAGTGACAATCCACATGTGACGTGCTGATAAAGGTAGGTAATATGCAGACTCACCAAAGTAGGTACGTAGTGGTTGGGTTCTTCCTTGTAACTCCAAGGCTCTACTCCATTTGCTTGACAAGCGTGATGCACTTTGAATTTCTATTTTTTTATCATTCGGAGGCGAAGGGTCTAGCTACCAGGCAAGACCCTTATTTGTTTTTGTCCTTAGGCGGGAGAAATGATTGTTATGTGGAACCTTCGCAAGCCCCGCAAACCTTTCCACGGTAGGTTACGCCCTTACCTAGAGTAGGTACATACACTGCCATCGGGCCGGGGATCGATTTTAAAAACGTGGCATGTACAGTAGTTCTTTCTCGAGAGTTTGTTCAAGTTATATTTGGACAGAATTTACTTTGCCTTGTATCCGGTGAGTGATACGAAGGTGCGATTTTTTATCCGTGCGTGATTACCTATCACGTCTCGCCTGTGCAGCTTAGTGATATTCGATGTGCACCAGTTCTCACTCGTGATGTGTACGTAGAGAGAAACCAGTAACCAGCCCATAAAAATGGAACTATGAGTGATAGATGGGTGTGTCCTATCACAGCTGGGGGAGGTCAGGCTCAAGAAGTGGTAGTCGTGGGATTGTTGTGCAATACATACATGTAGGCCTAGGTGCAATTGTAACTGCATACATTATATATACTCGTATTTCACTGACGTTTTTGAACTGGGCCATTATTGCATACACCCAAAATCATGAGCTTGGTGTATTTGTATGGCATGCAATATCAGTCGCGTCCACAAACGTCAGTGAAATACGAGTACATATGATGTACAGCCGCTCAGCATAAGTGTTCGTGATATAGTTTTAATGTCAGTGCGCAGTGTGGCGCACCCGTAATACTGATGTTATTAAAGTTGAGATTCAAAATAACGAAAAATATATAATATAGTTTGTGACTATATATAAAAAGAAGATAGGCCATTGATCTTATTCTTCGTTAATTTGGGCGCCATTGGTCACTGGGAAAGTCTTCTCTTGGGGGTTCTTGATGGTCCACCGCGGTTACATATGGAGAAATGTCTCACTCCGAAATCGGAATCACGAACACTTTTGCAGAGTGGCTGTATGTATGTATGTATAACCACCTTACTGCCGATTGTAGTACACATATGTACACATAACTGGACTCCAGATAAATGCGCATATATTTGTGTCCTCCGAGGGGTCGTAGTCGGGATGAAAGAAGTTTGTTTGAAGTGGCCGATATAAAGCGATCTCGATAGGATGGGAATTGATACATGTAGGTTTGGTAGACGTCGACTTCGCTGTCAGTTTATCAGTGTTGTTCTCAGCTGCTAAGTATATGTAAGCTCCGGAAACCTTTTTTATTTCTTTTTTTGTTTGTATACGTGTACACTAATTAAGCAAATACTTGAAATATCAAATGTTACCACGGTGTCATTCTGGGCTTTTATCTTCTAGGAGTTGGTATAGATGCAGATAGGCCTATAATAGGCACATATGTTGGTTAGAACATTAAAGTCGACCACTAAACCCAATCGCACATACGTTCGGGAAACCGGGCTCATTTGGTATTCGGCATAGAGAAATTTACTCCTTGCATGATGCGAGTAAGAGTGTGGTAGCGAACCTATACTCTGTTTGATTGGCACGAAGAGGACTTGAAGTTCCACAGAATTTCAGGTTATATGATCCAGTTACCCGTGAAGGCCGCGGGCTTGTGGCTTAATCTAGAGCTAAAAGGTATCGATTAACCGAAGGTCTTCGTTGATTGAACTTGATTTGCATCAACAGATGAATAGATACATATTTACTAATGCATATACATATATGGTAGACCCAGGCAATCGTGGAGAATGACGACCATGGAAAGGGGCCCGGGTCGGGCCCAGCAGTAATAGCTATATCGAAATAATGAATTGCCCTATATATATTAAGTTATAGGTTTATATCTTTCTTATTATTCCCTGACGACCGCGATCCCGCAACCCTTAATCAAAAGTGGCATGAGAGCCAGATGCACCACTAAATCGGCTTACGTCTGAATTTTTGGTTGGGTTTGTCCAACGCATTAATGTGCCGGAGTAATCCTTTTTGGATATTGGTAATTATAACAAGAGAAGGGATGAATGGAAATATATCTAACAAACCATCACCCTCCACCTGGGTACTTCCTAAAATTCTTAAAAGCACCAGTCTCAGATCGATCTGCTCCACATTCCGCGGAAGTTGAAATTGCACAGCTGCAGGCAGGGTCTTCTTGATGTTTTGAAATATGTGTTATGTTTGACAAGGTGAGTCCAGTGACAGCGTGATTTTAGCTTCAGAGTTTAATTACCAAATTCAGAAATCAGGAATTATTAATATCATAGATCGATCTAATAATTTTGTCTAGTATATCGTGCAGTTATATAGTCACAGGACATCACTCGACAGAAATCAACTCCATTTGCGACTTTATCTGATGAGTGTTTTACCAACTATTATGACGAACTTCAGAAGATATTTTAAATGACTAGGATACAAAATTTGAAATCCTGAAAAGGTGAGATACACGTTATAATAATAAAGGTGAAATAATATTTCTTCTCCACGCCACGATTTCAACCCTCTCGGGTTTTAATATAATAATCCCTACGCAACCTTTCTTCCTCGGCAGATGTATCTCTCAGGGGATCTATTCCCATATCGTCAAAGGCGTCATCGTCATCGTCGCTCCAGATTTCTTCTGTCTCAATCGCCTTTACCTTCCCCTTCCCCTTCACGTCTTTTGAGGGCTTCGTGGGAACATTTATGGGTTTGATAGGAGTTATAGGGTCTATAGACTTTCTGAGAGGTGCGATGATACGCGCGACCTTCTTGGGGGCCGGGTCATCTCGAGAAGTGGCGTCAGGCTCGAACCGCCTCTTAGGAGTGGGAACACGGGAACTAGAGGCAGTAGATGTCTCCACATGTTGAGGAGATGTATAACTCATTAGAGTACTGGAAGTCGCCGCCTGATATTGTCTTCTTGGAGAGGAAATCTGGGAGCTTGAGGCGATGTTTTCCTTCCAGTATCCGACGGGAGCCGGAGTTTCGATAACAGCGGGAGTCTCCACAGCAACAGGAGTCTCAGCAGCAGTAGGAGCCTGAGTCTCAACAGCAATGGTCTCATATTGTGTCTTGAGGATGTTACCGGGAATTTCAGGCCTTACTACTTCGTCGTCACTAATCGATGTGGGAGTTTCGTCAATGACAGCAGTGGTGACAGTGACAGACTCATGGTGTCTCTGAAATATGGGAGTGCTAGAACTGGAAGCAGTAGCTATCTTTGAGTGTTGATTTTCAGAGAGAGTCGGGGCACTTTCGGTAGTAACTTCTGATGCAAGGAGGAAAGCAGGAACGGTGGTAATAGTCGGTGTGGCGATTTGCACCGAGGTTACGGGCACTTGATCACCTGGAATGGCTGTAATAGCGGCCAGATTAGATACATCTGGAGCTAGAGCGGGCGCGAATTGGACTGTTGCAAGGTCGGGAACAAGAGGAATGGAATACGTAGTTGTAGGAGACGTGGCAGTATGAGTGATAGACCCACTAGTCGGGTCTGACACAACCTGACAAGCGGTGAGGGGATCGGACAAACCTGGAGCAAAAACTGGGGATGGTGCGAAGATAGATTCGAGAAGAATGTCGTGGATAGGAGTTGAAGGAAAATAGCAGACGGGGGCGACCATAAAAGGAGTAACAGAAAATGATTGGTGCTGAGAAGCCCCAATATTAAAGCTCTGGATGGAGATAACTTCCGGTCCTGTCTCCTCTATTTCCATCTCCTGGCCGGAGGTAGCTTCTAGTCCTATTTCCTCTATTTCCATCTCCTGGCTGGAAATAATCTCTAGCCTCGACTCTTCTATTTCCATCTCTTGAGATTCAGAATTCTCGGAGGTGTAAGAAATGTCGTCCATGGTATCCTCTTGAGCATTGTGGTCTTCGTAGAAAAGCTGAGCTTTATCTATCATCTGAAGATCCAATGGGGCCTCCTCCATTTCCTCATCTCCTACGGCCTGCACATCCCATCCATCTATCATTTCCTCGTCTTTGTCTCCTGTTACCTCTGGATCCAACTCTTCACACTGCTCCATTTCTTCAGTGGTATCTCCAAGGCTCTCATCCTCAACAATGTGAGTAGGCAAAAAAACATCTTGCATGTGAGTTACATGATCAACCCCAGTAACATAAAGGCTCCTAGATAATTCTGGGGTAAAGACAGACTCGAGTCCTTTTACAACGCCGCACACCCAGACAGGAGTAAGGACTTCGATGTTGGAAATGGGACTGGTGACTTCGACAATGGGGCACCCAGAGATTTCTATGACAGAATCTCTATCCAGAACCTCTGAGGTTGGGAGAGCAACAGTGGTCGCAGCTCCGGTAGCGGAAGTAACCTCTATAGAGGTAGAGCTTCCCGCGACAGTGTCTCTATCCAGAGCCTGGGAGACTGGTAGGGTAGAAGTGGTCGCAACTTCAGGGACGGTAGTGACTTCGACAGCGGTGGGGTGGTGGTCTTTGGAGATAGCAACGTCGGGGGCGGCGGTCCTAGGTCCCAGGACACCAGAAATGGGGCTATTGAAGACTACTGTGTTCCCCTCCGTCACAAACCCCCCGCCCTGGTTCACCTCTGTGCTGACCTTCTCAAGCTCGTTGATATGTATTATCAGGCACTCGATAAATTTAATTCCACCCTCAGCGATAATAGCCTTGTTGACTTGAGCCTGAGCAGTACTGTGCTTCTGGGTTTCAATTTTCTGGAGCCCCGTAGTACCCTTGATTTGGATGGGCACTTCTTCTTCTTTGGGGCGTGCCTGCTATACATCTGATTAGTAGGAGATAATGTGCTTTCAAGGTACAAGTACATGTTTCCATCGCTTTTGATGGAAATATATCGAGTAAAACAAGGCAATTATACCTCTACGGGATCTTCTGCCCTCTCCCCCCTTTCTTTCTTCACCCCAAGATCTTTTACTTCTCCCTCCTCTTTGTCCTGCGTGATAACTTTCTCTCGTGCGTGCTCAGCAGGCACGCATCCAATAGCTATATTATGAACAATGTGTAGTTTAACAGGTAACTATGTATGTTTGTTTAGCTAAGATAATTAAAAATCACCCAAGAGATACAAACTCACCCTCTCTACACCTTTAAGCGATTCTGTAGCCGCATCCTCAGTTTTTCCAGCCAACTCTTTCGGGGATTCCTGGACTGTTACTGGCTTCCCCATGCTTGCCATATTTTCTGTCTTTTTGATCATTGGCTTCGGTGTGACAACGTCAATGATCGGCTTGGCAGCCACAACAGCACAACTATCGACCGGTACTTTCTTCCTTCCCCTATCAGCTGGTACTGAGTCCCATATACTAGCTCTATTGACAACAGTTAAACAGTTCTTCGAGTCGTGCTGCTTGTAGTAGTCGGAGCTTTTGCGATAAAGCCTGGACCTTTGTCCCCCGCTAAAGCTCGACCTAGAAGATGACTTGAACGGACTGGGGCAGCGCGGAGGGGGACGCTCTTTGACTGGTGGTGGTCTGTGCATTTTCACCGGCGGGGGCGGCATAACACTCTCAATTACAACCTCGATCTTTGATTCGGCCTCGATGGGGGTCGCAGCTTCAACCGCCGCGGTAACTTCATCACTGATGAACTCTACTCTCACAACAACTGGGTATGAGATAAAATAATACAAAACGTGTAGGTGTGTGGTGTTACATACCGTTCTTCACAAACCACTCCCAGCTCGCTTTTATTCCCCTCCCCAGGTCCGCTTGCACCCACAACTTCTGGACATCCCGCGCCGCTTCGATAGCTGCGCTGCAAAATATATGCACCCCCAGGTGTATACGCCGGACGAGCGACTTGACGCCGCTGGTACAAATCTCGACTGTACGGAGCCCAACGTCGCGGCAGGAGACGATGAACTCGACCTCTTCCTCGTAGAGCTCGAGTGGGAAGAGAAACGAGAGGATGGTTGCGAGTGTAAATAGGATAGCGGGGTTGAAGGCGTAGAAGAGGAAGAGGGAGGCGACAACATCGTTGAAGGGTAAGAAGTGAAATGAGAGGGCAGTGAGGAGGACTTGGAGAGTGAGGGAGAGGGGGGTGAAGTGAGTGGTGAGAAAGAGGCGGAGGTGGGGGAGGAGAGGGAGAAAGACGTGATGGTAAAAATCTTGGTAGAGGGACGTGAGGAAGGTGGTGATCAGTGTCATTTTGAATGATGTGTGTGTGTGAGTTTAGAGTATGGAGTGCGGAAGTTGGGGAGGTATTTGTAGAAGTTTGAAGTTTAGAGTGTGGGATTTTGAGATTGATGATGATGATGTTGATGGGAAAACGGAGGGTTGGGTTCTGGTGGTTGAGGTGGGAGGATGGTTGTTGGGGGGGTGGATGGTTGTAGAAAGGTGGATGCACAAAGACGGGGGGTTTTTTTCTTCCGAGAATTGTCGTGGGAGGAAGTGTCGTCGAGGTTGGTTATGCTAAGACGCCCAAGCTTAAGTGGAAGGGGGCTTTGGGTTCTGGGTAGCTAGCTTCAACGTCGTTACTGGAGTTTATGCTTTACACTATCGGTCTAGCTATTGGCATCAACCTTCGAGCTAGCTGCAACAGCTGTTTGACGCAACAGGAGGAGGAAACCAGGCAGTAAAGCCCAATAACCTCCACCCCTCGTACTAGTAGCCACTCCCCATTTCTATTCACGACGGACCGTATGTACCACAACTCTTCGAACATTATCAACCGATCATAACTGCACTTGCAAAAACGCCAATTCTATGGTGGTGTAGCACGTTGTGCTCCCGCTAGTTCCATCAAATACGCAGCTAGATAAGATTGTTGTCAAGCATCACAGGGTATCACTCGGTTCGCAAGGTCGAAGGTCACATGAATTGATAATCGATATTCATATTGCGAAGGTCACATGAGCCTACATGTAGACAACAACAACATGTAGGGTTGACCAGCTTTTGGCCAGATCGGAGTTTCTTCTTGCCCTTGACCTCAGCACTAGTTCTTCTTGCTTAGGGCTCGGCACCTTTTGCGGAAGTGGGGTATATAAGCGCAAAGTCCCACATCTGAACTTTGGCTTTTTGTAACCTCCAATACCACAATTGTCTACAACGAAGCGGAACTCCTACAAACTGATACTCGTGGGGTAAGTCCCACCCGCCTATTTATACCTACTATCAGACTATCATTAATATAACCTCCAATCCCCAACCGCTCATCACTCACTGCTAGACACTCGAGGAGTCGGCCCCCATGTATGATCCGAGAACACCCCTCCTCTGTGGTAGAGGAGGGGTGTTCAGTATGTCCATACATGGGGGCTGCCTGCTGCGGATGTCTAGCAGAGCAGTGGGGTGAGGGGTATTTCGGGGTGTGTCGCTGGCGCAGTTGAAGCCTTTTCGGCAGCAGTGGGTTGGGCTAGGAGAGTGTGAGTCTTTCCAGCTCTGCAGTGGGCCTAGCATCAGATCAGATTCCCGGGGAGTCGGTTCTCATGTTGGAGATGAGAACACCCCCCCCCCCTCCTCCTCCTCCTCTGTGGCGGAGGAGGGTTGTTCACTCTTCTTACATGGGGGCTGCCTGCTGCGCGTTGTCTGGAAAGGCTTTTTGGCTTGCATCTACCGTTGCATCAGATACTCGGGGAGTCGGCATGGTTCTCATATATGATATGGCCCGAGAACAACCCTCCTCTGAGGAGGGGTGTTCGGTGTTGTTACATGAGGACTACCTACTACGGACGGGGAATTCCGGGCCTCCGCACGGAGCAGGCGCAGGACTCGAGCAGTACCTGCGGCGAGTCGGGCTTTTGAGACACGGGTTCGCTCGGCGGCTCTATGGCTCTTGGGATACTTAGACTTTGGGTTTGGGAAGTGTTTACTGAGCTGCTGGAGGTGGAGATGGAGTAAGTGGCCAGCTGCTTGTGGCGCTGTTTGGGGAGTGTTTTTACTGCAGCTGGTCGCGATAGTAGTACGGCATGGGATATCACTCGACGAGGCTTGCGCTGGGCTTGGGCGGTATGTTACTAGGTCGGAGTGGGGGTGGAGGTGGGGGTGGGGGCGGGGGTGGGGGTGGGGGTGGTGGGGTAGAATGGATCAGTAAATTACTTCTTCTGTATTTATTACTTTGCACCTTTGTGCGCTGTGGTGCGCGCACTGAAGGGTACAGATATGTAGTCGCCGATGGAGCGGCAACGTACATGTAAATACGTACCTGCCGGCGGGCGGGCCTCCGTGTGTTTGTCTCTTGGGTTTAATTTAGGTTTCAAGGTCTGGATCTTGGTCGGGTAGAGTAGATCAGTGGGAGGTGGTGGGATAAGTAGAGTAACATGTAAGTAAAGTATATCCTGTTCCTGGCTGGCTGGGCTGCTGCTTCCTGTGTATCTAGAGTAGGTACATGGGGGATGACTTTGCTATGGGTAAAGAAAAGTCAGAACGGTAAGGTACATGTACATAGAGAGGTATATGTAATTAGAGTTCAGCCTGGGTTAGGTACATGTAGTGATGATCTTGCGAAAGTATCGATTCCACGAGAGTTGATGCTGTGTCCTTATATTGCGAGACTACCGGTGTAAGGGCTAGTGTACTATACGTATTCATATCTAGAGAGAACAGATGTATCAGATTAGCTGGTATATCTTCGCAGTTAGAGGGCTCTTCCTCTTCCTCTTCTCCTTCCACCATCAATCAGTTCATCGACTAGAGTACATTGCATTGAGAGTCACTGTTCCTTAGAGTACTGCGACATGCAGCACGACAAAGAGGATACGACGATACATGCGTTTACTCGACCGCGACACTGGTAGCGGGAAGAACGAAAAGACATCCTCTCTTCTCTACCTAGAGTAAGTACTCTATTTCATCTACAGCTCCACCCGACGTCATCCAGCGCCACACGATCCACCGTCCAGACTCCACCACACCTTTCCCTGGACTGGACCCTGAGCTGCTGCAGACGCTAGAATCGAGCTGAGCTGAGCTAAGCCGGATCGTGTGATTTGCAGCAGACCCTTCGTTAGACCCTTCGACCCTTCGACCCTTCGCGCCCCCCGAGGATCATGTGCAGAAAGAAACCGGGCACAACAACAGACGCCTGCCCTGACAACCGAACCTCACCCGAAACCCAGCTTTTTTTTCTCTCTCCCGCTGTTCCGAAACCCACCACCACAACCACCACAACACCACAAACCCTGGTTCAGCTCTTTCCTTTCTTCTCTCCTGTCTGTCACTCCATTATTGCAATTATTTCAATTTTTTCATCGGCGCACAAGACAGCTCCATCACGGACGGGGAAATAAAAATAAAAAGATCATACCACCTTTCTTTAGCCCAACCAATAGTTAGCTCGGAACAATGCTCGCCACACAGCAACGGCTCCTTGCCCGCCGCCTCAGCTCAGTAGCCACAACAACAGCAACCCCGTCACGAGCGCTGCTACTCCTACGATGTAGTAGTAGTAAAAGAAGTGTTTTTGCTGTGGGCCCACAGAGAACACCGACGGCGGCGGTTGTATGTTTCCAGCCACGCCGCGGCATTGCAACGGGGCCAAATGGGCAGAGGAGGGGGATGATGTCGGCGATGGCTGAAGTGGAGGAGGAGACGGCCGACGATTTTGGGACTCAGGGTATCTATCCCCACACCTACCCCACCTACCCTGGGAGATAATGGGCGGCGGGAGCGGGAGCGGGAGAGGGATGGCTGACCGAGTGACAGGTGTGATCAAGGGCCCAATAGACCAATACCAGCGCTGGGTCTCAGAAGGAAAGCTACGAGACGATGAATACCAGAGAGGTACATACCTTTATACCCCCCCCCCCTTCTCCCCGCGAGCTCCAGAACTAACCCCACGCCCCCCTCCCAGGCATCGTAATGAACCTCCAAAAGCTCCACGACGACCTCCAAAGCTACCAGCCCCCCACCGTCGTCCGCCCCACCCTCGACTCCCTAACCCCGCCCCCACCCCGCTCCTTCCTCTCCTCCATCTTCTCCGGCCCCCCACCCCCACCCGCCACCACCGTGATCCCAGAAAACACGCCAAAGGGCCTCTACCTCTTCGGTGAAGTCGGCTCCGGCAAGACCATGCTCATGGACATGTTCTACCACACTCTCCCCGCACACATCACTTCCAAGACCCGCATCCACTTCCACGCATTCATGCAAAACATGCACAAGCGCCTGCACACCCTCAAAACCACCCACGGGGCCGACATGGACGCAATCCCCTTCGTCGCTGCCGACATCGCCGCCGCATCCAGCGTCCTCTGCTTCGACGAGTTCCAGTGCACGGACGTCGCAGACGCAATGATCCTCCGCCGCCTCCTCGAGGCCCTCCTCTCCCACGGCGTCGTCGTCGTCGCGACATCGAACCGCCATCCAGACGACCTCTACAAGAACGGCATCCAGCGAAATAGCTTCCTCCCTTGCATCGCTCTCCTAAACACAAAACTCACAGTCATAAATCTCACCTCCCCCACCGACTACCGAAAGCTCCCGCGGCCAGCGTCCGGCGTCTACCACCACCCGCTCGGGGCCGACGCAGTCGCGCATGCGAATAGGTGGTTCACGTACCTTGGCGACCCGGCGGACGCGCCGGGACCGCGTAGCCACACGATCTGGGGAAGGGAGGTGAGGGTGCCGATGGCGAGTGGGCGCGCGGCGAGGTTTAAGTTTGCAGAGCTGTGTGGGAGCGCCACGAGCGCGGCGGATTATCTGGAGCTCTGTAGGCATTATGGCGCGTTTGTGGTCGAGGACGTGCCGGCGATGGATCATAAGAGTAGGGATCTTGCGAGGAGGTTTATCACGTTTGTGGATGCGGTTTATGAGAATAAGGTACCTACATATTCGACCTATTACCCCCCATCTAGCTATCGGGCAAGTATCGGAGGATTGAGCTAATAGATTACTTGTACGATAGGCAAAATTGGTACTCACGACCACCACCCCGCTGCACCAGCTCTTTGTCTCGGAGGCGGAGATGAAGGCGGCGGCCGACGAGGAGGGCGCGGACCTCGACGGCGCGATGAGGAGCTTGATGGATGATCTAGGGCTGAGCATGAAGATGCTGAAGGACAGCTCCATCTTCAGCGGCGATGAGGAGCGGTTCGCGTTTGCGAGGGCGCTGAGCAGACTTAGCGAGATGGGGAGTGTGATGTGGATTGAGAGGGAGTAGTGGTGGTGGTGGGGTAGTGGGGTAGTGTGGTGGTGGGGTGTAGATAGAGGGAGAGATAGGGGGTTTGGGAAGCATGGGAAGGCGAGGCGGACTTTGTGTTTTTTTCTTTCTTGCTTTCTGGCAATGGAGTGGAATGGGATGGATTGGGGGCTTATCGGGAGTTTTAGTTTTTGATCATATATATATTTTTCTTTTCTTTTTTTCTTGCATCTTGCGGCTTTCTTTTCTTGCGTGGTGTGCGAGTGTGTTGAGCCTACAATCTTTTTTTCCCCTTTCTTTTTTTTTGGTGCAGCGGATAGATACAGATACCATCATCGTCCAGTAGGAATTAGAGAAATCCAAAAAAACAAACACTACACAAACGGCTGCTGGAGCCGCAATGGTTGCTGTCTCGGTGTGTGTGTGTGTCTCGGGATCAGAAATATCAGGAAGAATATCATAGACATAGGTATATTCGGAGCTCATATTTTTTTCGGGGTTCGGAGGCCATGCTCCCTCTCTCTCTCTCGAGAGAGAGAGAGTCTCCCCTGTCTATCTGTCTATCTACTCTATTCTGGGCCTATCTAGAGTAGGTCCAAGTTTACACAGCGTGGAGAGTGTCTTATCCGGCTGCCAAATCGGGTATCTAGAGTACAGCTCGGCTAGAGAGGATCCGGAGGTGATGACGATATCGCCATGATATCTGGTGTTTACTGCTGAACGGACTGTTTAGTTTTTGCGTTTTGTTTACTATTATAGAGTGATGAGTGAGTGAGTGTACCCCGGGCGATCAATCAGCCAGCGCGCGCGTGAATTGCACGGATAAAGAAGTTGGGCAGAGTAGCGGTCCTGGTTCCGTCTTGGAATGCTCTAGAGTAGCAAGCGGCACCTGCTGTAGCGGGGTGTGAAATCAATCCGTTTCCACAGCAACAGCAGCTGGAACGTTATGTGTATCTTATTTTATTTAGCCCCACTCAGCCTTGCGGGAAATACTAGCGCGTGTGTGTGGGGTGTGTGCGGTTGCGTTGCATTGCGTTTGTTGCCATAGCGACGACAGACAGGTTCATGGTTCTCAGGGGCAACAAACAACGGGGGATATGTCAAGAAGGAAGAAGAGATGATATGTATGCACGGCACAGACACACAACTACTTGAACCAACACGTCCCACCCACTCACCACCCACCTGCTTTTTTGCTTTGCTACAATACTACCTACGTCTAGGGTTTTCTGGATATCTCGCTTTTGCTCCCCTTTGAAATAAATCCTCTCCCTCATCTCATCTCACGAACGTGCCCGATTTACGACTAGCAGCAATTACAAGCAGCATAGGTACTGCCCTACCCTTACCCTGCTGCACACGCACGCGCACGCACGCGCGAGTAGAGTAGTTAGCTCCCCTCCCCTCCCCACCCTCCCCGTGTTCCTGGCTATTGGGGGAAAACCATATATATATTAGCAATTTGGGGGTGTTTGAAACACTTTTGTTTGGGGGTCAAGTGACGGACGAAACTAAAACATGGCGACTCCGTACGGCCAGTCAGGAGGGCATCCTGATTTTGCGAGTACTGGTGGGCCTGAGGGCTATGATAACGACCATGACGACAATGACGACCAGAGTGCCGTTGGGGCGCACGGATTACCCAGTGGGCAGCAGATGAGGCTGCTCGGAAGTCTTGGGGACGAGGAGGACGACGGTGGCTATGAGGCGTATGTGTTTAACCCCCCCCCCCCCCACTCACCCGCCCACCCGCCCGCCCGCAGCTCAATGGGAAAGTCAAACATTGCTGACTGGTGCTGTAACGTGATACAGTCCGAGTGAACCAAGCAGATCGTACCATCCCAATAACCAGCAGTACCAAGAGCTTGCCCGACAGCACACGCCGCCGCCGCAGGTCAGGAATGTCAATACTGCTATCGGGTATGAGTCGACTCAATCGCCAGCCCCGAGCTTTGGGGGAAGTCATACAGCGATTGGATATGATAACACACCGCTCTCGCCAGAGTCGCGGTATGGGACACCGGCTTCACACTCGCGCCTTACTCCTACTCCATCACGCCTTTCGGAAAACCGTTCATGGACGCCCTCGAATGTAGGAGAGTGGACAGCCAGCCAGCGGGGCGGAGGGCCAGGGAGCGCGCAGATGGAAAGATCTTCGACTAGAGGCGGCGGTGTCCCCATTAATAGGGCATGGACCCCGAGCCGGAATAGCGGTGTTAGGCAGCTTGATATTCGGCAGGTGGACTACTCGCGCCCGCCGCCCATGAATACGGAGCCTTACGTCCCAAGGAGCTTGAATGGGACACCGAGACCGGGTAGCATCATGAGTAGTTACTCAAAGCGAAGCAGAGACAGCCAGCAGACACTGCTTGAGAGTGATTACCCAAGCGGTCAAATGAGGAATTCGTATCAGAGCGAGGAGACAATGGTCCCCGTAGGCGATGATATCAGCGATTATCAGTATACAGATCTAGGCGACTCTCAGTACGGTCCGGGGGCTAGTAACGTGAGCGGCTACTCGGATGACCTGAAGCGCGAAATCACAAATTCGTCTTCTGGGGATGGAAGAACCTATACGATGGGCACCGAAAGTGATAGCGGAAAGCTTGCGGCGCAGACCAAGGGTGCGCATTTCGGTCCTGCACCTCATGCACCACAGACGAGGAGAGGTCTTAATCGGCAAGCGCTCATGACAAAGAAGCAAGTCAAGCTTATCAACGGAGAGCTTATTCTTGACTGTAAAATTCCAACAATTCTGTACAGTTTCTTGCCTAGACGGGATGCACAGGAGTTTACGCATATGAGGTATACTGCGGTTACCTGTGACCCGGATGAGTACGCGAATCGTGGGTATCTGTTGAGACAGAACATAGACCCGACTAGAAGAGAGACAGAGTTGTTTATCTGTGTCACGATGTATAACGAAAACGAAATCCTATTTACGAGGACCATGCACGGTGTCATGAGGAATATTGCGCATTTCTGTGCCAGAAGTAAGAGTAGAGTTTGGGGAAAGGATGGATGGAAGAAGATTGTGGTATGTATCGTCGCCGATGGGCGTAAGAAGGTACACCCGCGTGTACTCGATGCGTTAGCTGCGATGGGCGTGTATCAGGATGGTATTGCAAAGAATTCTGTCAACGGTAGAGAGGTCAAGGCGCACGTTTATGAGTACACAACTCAGGTGTCACTTGACTCAGATCTCAAGTTCAAGGGTGCCGAGAAGGGTATCGTACCAGTGCAAATGGTGTTCTGCCTCAAGGAGAAGAATGCAAAGAAGTTGAACTCCCATCGATGGTTCTTTAATGCTTTCGGAGCTACATTGTCCCCTAACGTTTGTATTCTTCTTGATGTTGGAACTCGGCCGGGGAATACCTCGTTATACCATCTATGGAAAGCCTTCGATACAGATTCCAACGTTGCTGGTGCGTGTGGCGAGATCAAGGCGATGAAAGGGAAAGGCTGGATGGGACTCTTCAATCCCCTCGTTGCGAGTCAAAATTTCGAGTACAAAATGAGTAATATCCTCGATAAACCTCTCGAGAGTGTTTTTGGATATATTACTGTGCTTCCCGGAGCCCTGTCGGCATATCGCTACCACGCACTTCAGAACGATGAGAATGGGCACGGCCCCCTATCACAATATTTCAAGGGAGAAACGCTCCATGGGAAAGATGCGGATGTTTTTACGGCAAACATGTATCTTGCTGAGGACCGTATTCTTTGTTGGGAGCTAGTCGCCAAACGCTCCGAACGATGGGTCCTGAAGTATGTGCGTGCCGCTACCGGAGAAACCGATGTTCCCGATTCTGTCCCTGAGTTCATCTCTCAACGTCGTCGATGGCTTAATGGAGCTTTCTTCGCAGCCATTTTCTCGCTGGCTCATTTCAAACAGATCTGGTCGACGGATCATACGTACCTCAGAAAGTTTTTGCTGCATATTGAGTTTTTGTACCAGTTCGCCTCGTTGGTGTTTACGTTCTTCTCTTTGGCGAACTTCTATCTCAGTTTCTACTTCATTGCAGGAAGTTTGGCAGACGCAACCATGGATCCATTTGGACATGGTTGGGGGGCAAGAATCTTTGTGTTCTTGAGGTTTGCATGTGTGTTGCTGATATGCACCCAGTTTATCGTGTGTATGGGGAACCGGCCGCAAGGGTAAGTAAATTATCTTTCCCTATATCTCTTGAATTATGTTTATACTAACCTTGTGGAATAGAGCAAAACGAATGTTCATGTCCTCAATGGTTGTGTACGCCGTAATCATGGCCTACACAACCTTCTGCGGAATGTATATTGTTATCAAATCCTTTACTGGCGGTGTCGGTGACCAGGTCACTGAAATCGTCCTTGGTGACAACATCTTCACGAACCTTATTGTCTCAGTTGGGTCCACGATGGGTGTTTATTTCCTCATGAGTTTCCTGTACTTGGACCCATGGCACATGTTCACCTCCTCCGCTCAGTACTTCATGATGTTGCCCAGCTACATTTGCACTCTCCAGGTCTATGCTTTCTGTAATACTCACGACGTATCTTGGGGTACCAAGGGTGACAACACAGTTTCTGTCGATCTTGGTGCTGCTGTCGCTTCAAAGGGCGACACTGTCGAGCTTGAAATGCCATCGGAGCAACTCGATATCGATTCTGGGTACGATGACGCACTTCGGAACCTCCGTGACCGCCTTGAAGTTCCTTCGGATCCTATTTCAGAGGGTCAGATCCAGGAAGATTACTATCGTGCAGTTAGGACATACGTGGTTGTTGTGTGGATGGTTGCCAATGCTGTTTTAGCGATGATTGTGACTGAGGCCTATCCCCTTAATGAAATGAGTGGGAACTTTTATCTGAAGTGTAAGTTCCACCCTTACCCCTCTTTCGTCCTTGAGTTGTTGACTAATTGTGTTTGTATAGTTCTTCTGTGGTCTGTTGCAGCCCTTGCCGTCTTCAGGGCTCTTGGATCAACGACATATCTGATCCTCCAGGGACTCCACCGATTCGTAGAAGGAAGGGTCAAGTTCGACCCTACCCTCATCACGGATAGATTCCAGCCAGCATGGAAACAGACGTCATCGTCAAAGGTCCAAATAAGCATGCCATGGACTAATAAAAAGTTGGTACTTCCAAGTGTAAGCAACCTTGGGAAATCCGTGTAAAGGAGACGAAATTTTCTTTTGTTATTTATGGCATGTGATAATGGGGTTTACGTCTTTCCTATGTCCTTTATGGTGTATATCTTCTTTATCTTTATGTATATTCTAGCGGGGCTGGGGTGCTCTTTTTTTTTTCTCTCCTTATTTTCTTCTCTTCTGGGTAGGAGGTTCTGCTTTTTTGTTTGGGAGGCACGATAAGTAGGCCTGTAGGATTTTGATACCATGACGAGAATGATGTGCGGAATGTATGTTCCTGTTTGTTGTGCTTTAATGTGTTTTGTTATGATACCTAGGTGTATGAAAAATTATTATTTTTCAAAGCAAGCGAGCAAATAGATTGCATATATGCTTACTGCGTTGGGTGTGGATTCCCGGAGAGTGAGAACCTGTGATTCCGGGAACTGATGCTTGTATGCCGCTTCTCTCCAAACCCCTGTCGTGCATGCTGCTACAATTGTGCAGGTACGCCTGAAGAGATTATTTGTTCGGGGCCCAGCCGGGCGGTCTCGGAATTCATGTATGCCCAAATTCCAATTGTCAAATCCCGGGCTTGCTAGATGCTGGATGCTGGATGATGTAGGTTGTCTGCTGCCCTGGTGACTTCTACAAAGCCAATGGAGCTCATGGGGGGAAGGCGGGCTGAGGGGTCATGAGGCCATTATATAGCACCTTGCTAGCGTGTCCTGTCATCTTGACACATGCAGGTATCTTTCACTCAGTGAATCTGCGAAACCGGGGCCTGGATAAGGTTCCACAGCGTTCTTTAAATATTCTACGAGAGGAAACTATATACTTCCTAGAGGAAATAACTACCGGCCACGAGCACGAGGGACTTTTAGTCTGTGTTCTAAGATCATGATAAGAGACTATATGGTGATGTAGTAGATACATGTACATATGTGGCTGATATTTGGGCTTGGATAGGTCTAGGCGCACTCTAGCTCTTCTAGCAGAGCTCCGCTACCAAGCCTTGAAAGTATTCATAATAATATAGGTATTTTTCTAAGGCGTATGATTACTTAAGGTACCAATTTATTCACAACAGAGTGATCATATTTAAAAGTTTCTCTCAAACGTAAAACCCTAAACCTGAAATGCAGAGGACCTGCATCCATCTGTGTCTTGGCGCGTAAATTGGGTTGCTGTCGAGCCCGTGTTCTTGTCTATCCCAACGCGTCGTCGCGAACACCTTTTTCCAAAGACAAACCCGAGTCCATTCCCGAGTCCACATACAAGCCCATTGTAGAAACCATTGAAGCCCCTTACTATAATACACGAAAAAATGGCACCTAGGAAGAGAGCCGCGCAAACGCTGAGCGCACATATCGATTCTAGCAGCGATGACGAGGCAGTAATTGAAGAAGGTTCGTGCAAATCCTAGAGCTTTGCTTTCATCAATTGGACGGAAGGCTAATGGTGGGTCATAGCCAAGGTTGTTTCAGTCTTGCAGAAGAGAGCCACGGGGAAGCGTGCCACTGCTACAAGGAAAGCATCAACCACTGCAGCCGAGAAGAAACCTGCCGCTCGCGGAAAAAGAAAGGCGGCAGCTACAGAAGATGAGGAAGAGATAGACGACCCCATCAAGGATGACGAAGCTTTGGATGACACAGTTATTGTCGTTGACGAAGGAAAGAAAAAAGGAGGAAAGGCGCCAGCTAAACCAGCAAAGAAGGAACCTGCTAAGAGAGCAAGAGGGAAAAAGGCTGCCACAGAGGAGCCAGAGCCAGAGCCAGAGGAAGATGAAGAACAAGCGGAGTTAGTTCAAGAAGAGAGCACGGTTAGCACAACGAAGAGGGGTAAGAAGGCTGCTGCTGAACCCGCTGCTCCGGCGCCAGAAAAGAAGAAGCGTATGTCGAAGAAAGATAAGGAAGCTGCGGATAAAGAGACTGCAGAGGCCCAATTCACACCGATGGAGCTCGATCTACCCTCTGGCAAAGAAACGGATAATAACCAGGAGCTAGATATCGCCGGAGTACATCAAGCCGGGATAAGGAAAGGCGGCGGCGGGAAAGGGGTTGTGCCGAAGGGGAAGGGAAAAGGAACGAAGTCTGATCACGAGATTGATACTGAGGAGGATGATCTTTCACAAGTTCCAATGAAAATAACAATCCCGATGCCACCCCCAGGGAGGGGTAAGGGAAAGAGGCAAATCTCCGCCGGAGATGAGAAAGCACTTAGAGATCTCCAAGAGGCATATGAAGAACTCCAAAGCAGATATGACAAACTTCAGGAAGCTAAAGAATCTGAACCTGAACGAGCTTTGAAAGAATTCCGGAAGAATATGAAGGAGAAAGATGAAGGTTTGCATATCTATCTCACATTTAGCCCAATTGCTTCAAAACACTAATAATGGCGTAAATAGAAAGAAATAAGGTCATCTCAAATCTACAGGGTGAACTGAAAGCTCAGCAGGCGCTTTTCGGGGAATCAAGAGCTGTCCAGAAGAAACTCATTGCCAAGGAGACGGAAGTTTCGAAATTGCAAGAAAAGGTTCAGGAATTGAGTAAAAGTCTCCATGATCAGCAGAATGAGAATCAAGTAATTTCAGCAAAGCTTGCGCAGGCTCAACATCAAATTGCGCAGGCACACACCCAGAAAAGCAACGCACAAGCCCCCGGAAGCGCTGTTAAGTCCGGTTATCGAGGACCGTTGGGTGCCCCGAAGGCCAATCTTAACATGGCGGCAGATGATGCTAAACTCAAGGAGGATCTATATGCAGATCTTTGTGGTCTGATCATCGTTAACGTCAAGAAGGAAAATGACTGTAATGTTTTTGAATGTCTGCAGACGGGCGTTGACGGATGTATGTTCTCCTCCTGAGTGGTATCGTTGATCATGGCTAATTTCAATTAGTGGCTATCCATTTCAAGCTGTCAGTTCCGACCCAAAGCACAAAACCGAAAAAGGCTTCTAATCATGAAAGCAAAACTCCCGGTGACATCGATGAGATTGACGACGACGAAGTCCTATTTATCCCGCTGATTGATCAAGTGAGAGACAAGTCCGTCATTGAAATATTACCTACATATCTTCGTGGTGAAATCTCTTTCCAGAAGGACCACATGACCAAGTTTTATCAAAAGATCAACACCTTGTTCATGATGAGTATTAGCACGCGCAAACCCCAATCAGATTCTACTGAAGAGGAGAGCGACGACGAAGAGGAGGAGGAAGATGAGGAGGAAGATGAGGATGAGACTGAAGAGGACGAGGAAGACGGCGACGAGAAGATGGAAGAAGCAAAGTAGAATTAAATTTTTGGAGTAGACTGCATAAAAGTGACACTTGCTCTAGCGAGCGAGCTGGCCCTTTTTCTTTTTTTCCCTCGATGCATGACGTCTTGGTACTCGCACATTGCGAGCCTGAGCATTAACTCGGAATTTTTGATTACATATGTAACATGTAGTTATTCCTGTAATCAGTCAGTACATGTACTTAGTTTAATTTCTCCAATTACCGCACCAACTCAATTGTATCATAGCATGCACAATACCCACATATACCTGGTAACTGTCTAACCGTACCTGCATATTTTCTGCGCACTTGTCCGGACTACAGATCCCACCTACGTAGTTGCATATAATATACACCCCAATTGCAAAGATGTTTCCTCCGCTCAGCGAAAGGTACGTGTGCAGATGTTTCACGTCTAGAATATGTAGCAGAATGACTTCATCCCGGTGACTGGGTCTTTACAAATTTGTCGCCTGCATAAACTCCACATTAGCCTATCATCATACGCCAGCTTTACGTGAGGCTCGCACTTTAGTTTTTTGCAACTGTCTCGAATTTGTCCAATACAACTTCGTCATTGGTTACTGATTTATATTTATGTATATACGTATGCAAACATCACAAAAGAACGGCTACATGTAGTACACACGCAAAAAGCGACGTATATGATGGTTACCATAGAGTTACGCAAGTAAAATACGATGAGGACAACGGTCGCCATAGGTCTGCCCTAAGCTACGTGTTCAACTATTGGCTCCTATTTAATATCTTAGTGGGGGCCGTTTCTTTTCTTCCTTCGTTATTCGCTTGTCTATTCAATACCCGCCGTCTGATATTCGCTTCTGCACATTTCTTCCAGAAGTACCAAACGTCTAGGATGCCACCACTCAGTTCCAAAGCTAGCGCAGGGAAGACATGGGAAGCCCTGTCTGCCATGAAATCTATAGGGAAAGAACTTAATGAAGACGAGGAAACTACTATAGTTGTGTGTATGAATTATTACCCCAGAAAACGGATATGAAATCTTACTAGTATAAAATATATAGAAGGAAAAATATGAGAAGCCTATAGAGAAAATGAAAGGGAGAGTCGAGCGATTGAAGAGGCGTGAGAAGAGAAACAAAAAATTAAGGGAAAAGCGACATCCGGCCTTCGGAGAGCATTTGCTACCCGACCCTTTGTTCGACATAATCGGCGCAGGAAAAACCATCTACGACACCGCGACAAATTGGGGTAGTCGAGCTTGGTCGATAGTTAGTACTTGGGCCCGTCTAGATCCACAACCGTATGCTGATACGGGATTTTACATGGATAACGAATTCTCAAAATCTACCGAATCCGTGTCCTCCCAAGATTCCTGGTTTGACGACTCCTGGTCAATATCTGAAACTAGGACCCCCTCAGTTTTCGGTGAGTTTGAGGATGGCAACGTTGATTCGTCGGGCGATTCAGCAGAAGACGGGCCCGAATGGTGGAGACGAAAGGCCACCACTATTGATTCGGAGAACCCGATGTCTCTCAACTCCCCAAAGTCGTCTTTCTTTGTGATGACGGAGTCCCAGGAAGTACCGACAGATATGTATGGTACTCAGGAGAGCCGTTTAGATCTGCTGAGCCCTAATCCGGCAAGGGACTTCACGAAGCCGGACTATACCTGGGAATCGTTATTATTGGGCAAAGAGTACCAGCTCTACAACCCGGTGGTCAGGGTCTTCAATGACCCGAAGGATATAATGTCGTCACCGCACGGATATAAGAAACGCTGGGGTATGTACATTCCGACTCCCTGGGTTCTTGCCCTAGCTCCTTGAAAATCGGTTTTTTTTTTCTTATTTTTTATTTTTTTACTGACATCATTTCTTACGTTCCCGTCGTGCAGCGGCAGATTTTGGAACGCCGTCAGTTAGTATCCACGATCCATTTAGTGGCACTTGGCTGCAGGTGTCAATGGTCGCAGTTGGTGGGGTTGCAGTTGTCTTTTTGGGATTGAGGATTTGGAAGCGTAAGGACGCAAAAGAGGCTAAAAGAGATGTTTACCGAAAAAAGGTCGCCGAGAATTTGAAATGAAAGCCGCAAGGGAGAAAAAATTGAAGAGCTAGCAGGTTATGCAAGACATAACGGCTGTATGTACTTTCTTTTTGTTGCAAAACACATGATCCTCTTTTTTCCAAATAGAGCATTGTGAAGCGGTATGTACTAGTTCTCTGTCGGTCCTGCACATATATCGAATCGAGTGATGATTCATGATACAACACAGATAGCGGTAGATCGATATTGAAATGAGGGAAATTGAACAGATTTTCTTCCTGAAGAGGTTTAACGGAATAAATATGTAATGTGCGGCGGCTGCAGTGTTACCTAGATTCGAATTTAAGCTCAATTGGCCTAATGTAAAGTGAGCTCCGAACGAGCGAGAACCCGTGAACCTGTGAAGTTGCACCGCATGCTGCAGGGACAATGAGTGTTTTCCTTTTTTCTTTCAAGCCAAAAAAGCAAGGCAAAAAAGAAAAACGAAACCAGATTTCGCTTGACTCTAACCCCCCACTTCCCCGTATTTTTCAAAGGACCCCCAAGCCCCCACTTTCAGGGTTTTGTTTTCAAACACATGGGAAGTCCACAAACTGCGCCTGTGTGATGTGTTCAAAAACACCACGTCCGACATCACGACGACGAACAACCGACAGAAAAAAAATATCAACCATACCCGGTGTGCGCACAAATCAAAAGCATCTGCTTTGGCGCCCTGCGAACACCGGCAGTAGTATCCTCTTCGGGACCGGGCGTCATTTCGATTAAGGCGTCCTAATGTACGTTTCGCCAGGTAGGACGAGTAGTCTCGAGGCTACGTCCATGTGTGTACATTATTGACCGCCGATATGCTGCCTGATCAAATTAAAAATGTGCAGTAGATTATGCAGGGCTAGCATTTTTCTCAGTAGGCAGTTAGTAGTGATGTTGCTGAGGGCAAATCAAAGGCGCTCCCAGCACAACCGTGTCTCTGGTTACTCCGAATGATGTCGGTTCTGCAATTTCGATCGTGAATCCGACTTTCCGCGATGCATACGTTCTGAACCATACATTCATTGTTATACGCAACCTATCGGTGGAAGGGGAGAAGCTCAGAGGAGGGTTAAACGCCTTGCTGAAAGTGTATGATAGCGTTATCTTTCCAGTGTGGTTGCCACCGATTGTGATCACTGTGTAACTGAACTGAGGTCGTAAATTCAAGCATATAAATGTGTTTTTTATCGATTTGGTATATATCAACCTCAATATGGAATGTTGATCTTCTCCCAAAACTTCGATTCCAGGACCAGGGTTCATTCTGAGGTAGTTTGAAAAGCTCGAGAGCACGAGAGTTACAGACAAAGCTCACAACGCTTCTGCCCCCCCCCCTTTACCAAGCCCTAGAGCTCGAATAAAGCCCTCCAAATATGTATTAGTTCCGGCTCCATTATTCGTTCCCAGCCCAATCCATCGTATCTTGTGATACAACACCCAGACCTCCTCTCTGGAGTAAGACAAGCGGATGATGGATGACCCTTCCGATTTCTCCCTACCCTATTCATAATTATTCACCAATTGACGAATATCATCTTCAGGCCAAAATTGAACTGCAATATGTAGTTCTCTCGAAACGAACACATTTCACGTGGACAATTGGGTCTTGTTTCAAACTTCCTCGAGGTAAAGAAAACGAGAGAAAAAACGATGGTTTCTTTCCAATTGGAGGTCGGCTCGTTTTATGTGAAAAAAGATATTACTCCCTCCGATTTACGAGCTTATGGAGGCAAAATATGATCTGGACGTGGGTATGGTATTTATACAGGCCCGCTAATCAAATCAGAAGGTGCATTGTGAAAGGAAAAAGCAAAACAGTGTTCAACGTGGGTTTTCTCACGATCAGAAAGAGATGAAAATGTGACCGTTACGGCTGCACTTTTCCTGGTTCGACGTTAATCGGAAGGTGCCAATTAAGCACCAGTAAGTAGACGTCGACTCGGTTTACAATCATTGGAGTTCGCTTGTATGCCGAGTCACCTTACCCCAACCTCCATTAATGACGATCTTAGATCGACTCGCAGGCGCACCTGGGTGTCATGGCGCCACGATTGCGTTATTAACTAACCTAATCAGTGGCCCCCGGTACTTGCTGGCGGTTTTCAGGCGTGCATCTTGATGGTGGTGGGGTTGCTGTGTCGTAAAATTAGAATCTGTTTTCTTACTCCAGCATGCCAGTTACATGCAGTCTCGAACTGGAACTGAAGCTGGAACCACTTGAACACTCTCCCGATAGGGACCAAAGCTGCTGGCCCCGCAAGGCTGGCGGTGATGATGATGGACAAGAGAAGGAGGGAGTAGAAGACGACGATGATGTTGTTTGGCATTCCCTAACCTAGCTGGGAGGGGGTGCGTGGGGGTTGTAAGGAGGGGGAGGGGCATTGTTCTTTAGTTCTAGGCCATGTGTACTTCTTATCCCATCAGTAGGTAGTCACAGCCACTTTTGAAACTAGCTGTTTTTTTTCCTCCCCCTTCCCATCCTTATGACGAGAATTTCGGCATCTAGAGATGCATGGAACGAGCGTCAGCGTAAATCAGAGACAGTCTGATCTCACCTCCTCAGTAAGGAGGTTCCCTTTATCGACGTTCCTTGCTGCTCGTTCGTTCGCCGAAGATATTTCATCTTTATTTATCTTCGTCCCATATCTCCCTCCCCCGATCACCCGCTGACAAAGGCAGCAAACGATTCTTGGTGGTTTTGAATATTACTGTATACTTATTGTATCGATCTTGTGTTTACGTTTACTCCTTTTCAACAACCTGCAGCTCAAAGATCAAGAAGACAGCGGAGGACAATGCCATTCTCACACCACAGCCATTCCGGGCAGTTTTGTCAACATGCCAGAAATACGTTGGAGGAAATGATACAGGCAGCTATCGCGAAGGGGATGATAGTATTTTCATTAACTGAACATATGCCGAGAGATTGTTTGGAAGATCTGTACCCGGAGGAGGTGTGTTCTTTTTTTTCTTTGCGGATCTTGGGGATTTTCTCCTGATCCAAAAACCTTGATCTGGAAAGAACCAATGTGGCGTTCTCCAAGCCCCAAGCGTAGATTGTGGTGTGCTGACCGGTGTATCGGGTCGATGGTAGATTGAGGCTCACCTAAATCCGTTTGAGCTCTTCAGAGCCTTTGCCGACTATTATGACACTGCTCTCCGCCTCCGGTCTCGATATCAACACATGATCGAGCTCCCCATCGGCTTTGAAGTTGACTACATCAGAGAATCCTCAATCACCCTTATCAATCATCTTCAGAACCTTTACAAATTTGACTTCTTTATCGGCTCGGTTCATCATGTGAATACTATCCCGATTGACTTCGATAAGCCCATGTATCAGAGGGCCATCGAGGCAGCTGGAGGAACCGAGAGAGATCTATTTGAGGCATATTTTGATGCACAGTATGAGATGCTGAAGGCACTCAAGCCCGCGGTGATCGGTCACTTTGATCTTATCAGATTGTTCTGTAGCGATCCAGATAAGAAATTGGCCGATTACGGCGGAGATGTTGTGAGGAAAGTTGAGAGGAACGTGGACTTTATCTGTAGCTACGGTGGAATTACAGAGTTGAATTCGTCAAGCATCAGAAAAGGTTGGAAAGAGCCATATCCTAAGAAAGATGTGTGCGAGGTTGGTCTTCTTCAAGCTTAACATGAATCTATGTTTACTGATATCAATCTCTATAGATCATCATTGCCAAAGGTGGAAGATTCACCTTTTCGGATGACAGCCACGCCGTGGATCAAGTCGGGTTAAACTATCACCGGGTCCTAGACTATGTCGAAGACATTGGATTGACAGAGGTGCATTATTTGATGAAACTCCCCATGGGTCAGACTCGCATCAACGTGCTGGATGCCTGCGTTGTGAAAACTCTCACACTAGAAGAGCTGAAAGGACACCAGTTTTGGCAGTCATGAGCTCTTGATGGGCTATGGAGAGTACCATGGTCACCTCTTATTCTCGTTTTTCCTCCTCTCTTCATTTTTTCACTTTAGATCGTTACTGTTTTTGTTATTTCTGGTTTTGTTACGGCGTTGTCGGTTGTTTTTTCTGCTTCTGTATTACCATGATTCATGAAAGCAACCCCCAACCATTCTTTCAATACTGCTCTGTTGGATTTTTGTCTTGCGAGGTTTCTAAACTCATATACACCCGAGAGTTGTCAGTTTTTCATCAAGTCTCATACATTAAGCTGAAGCAAATGAGTTGACAAGCTTGATTTCGTGGCATCCGAAATGTATACGTAGGTTGCCCATGGGGAACTTACAGAAATCTAAACTGCAATCCTTATTCGCTTTGTATACATTGATAAAGTTGGCTTGTCTGTACGTATTCTCCGATAGTTATCTGGTCTAACCATCTATCAGCCCATGAGATAGGAGGTAATCTGTGGCAAAACCGCAGCCCCAAACCCTCTTTGGAGAGGTATATCGTACATACGTCGCTCGGGCCTCGTAAGTGACTTATTGAAGTATTGCTTTTTGAATGAATGAAGCATCATCATGCACATCGCAGATCGCCTGTTTCGGATTAGCCGTAGTCGCACAAGAAAGATCAGCACATCGGCCCCACTTCAGCCTTATCGATTACCACCCCCCATGCTTGACTGAAACCTTTGCCGAAGAAGATATGCATAGCGGTGTTGTACCAGGGTACTTTGTTGTCTGAAGGCTGGTAAGTTGCGGGGAAGGTTTCTGGCAGGGCGTTGCTTGATTAGTTGGTACTCCTTAGGGTATCTTGACAAAAGCAACAAGTGCGGCAGATTTTTTGGTATATGACCAGGCTCTAGCCCGGCCTTTGTCTAGAATAAACACACTGCGCTCAAATGATAACCACGTGAAGCTTTCGGGATATCACATCTGCTCCGCGGGGCGTGGTTCCAGCTACTCGAGTTCACGGAGAGCTAGCTGTTAGTACATGTAGATGGTCGTCTGTATCCACCCAACTACCGTCTGTATGCTTTCCCCCCCCTTTTCTCTCTGACTAGGCTACCCCATTCGATAACTCCCGAGAGACTTTCTTTCGGCGGCTGGTAGATTGTTCGAGGTGGTATTATAGCTCTATATTGTATCTAAGGTTTCAGGCGGGGGAGGGGGAGGGGAGCAAGTCCAGGCCTATAGCTAATGTTAGATGCGCATCACGAACTGATTCCGATCATGCAACATCTCAGCTGGCTCTGATAAGAAGTGGATCGAATATTGCAGTATGTATGGTTTGGGTCGATGAGGTTGACGCAGAACGGGTAGGGATGGTTTTGTGGACCTATGCGAAGCAACACTGATGGTTCAAATAGTAGTTGGCATAATGTGGCACGAAGCTTGGTACGTGGTATCGGTGACTTCCCTGGTTAGCTCGATTATCGATGAGATCTGGATTGGACGTGCGGTTAAATGTTTACGCTTTGACTTTTTATTTCCTATGCCAACGACCGACCTGAAACTGTTCCAATAGTGTCTTCACACACCTACGGCAGCTGTGTTTGCATCGATTCTAAATACTCACTAGCCCGGGTTATTCTTATCGGACCAGAGGAAGTGGCCCAATGCTTTACCATACCGTTATCTTTGTAGGAAGCCGCAGGGCCAGAAGCCTTCATCCTGCGAGTGATTTATTGTGAAGAAGTGTAACTGAAGTGGCGAATGGTCGATCTTGAACCTAAAATCCCCTCAGTATCACAGTAAACATTCACCAACAGAAGGATGGCTTGGCAAGAGAGGGTACACCAAAACATCCTACGCCTGCAGCAAGAAGCCCAATTCTCACCCAACCCTAGTGCCAAGCCGTACCTCGACTGGTACATATACTTATAGGTTTAGGAAAAGTGGTCATATGTATATCTGACTACCCGTCGAGATTTGATGCAGGTACAGTGCAGCTTCAACCGTGGAACTCCAGGACCTGTCACCTGAAACATGCAACCATCCCGGAAGGCTACATAAATGACTCAAATAACAGCCGTTTGACGGAACTATGATTTGACATGCTGTTTTTAAAAGCTTAGATATAAACTTTCATCTCGCCAATTCTGCCTGTTAAAAAGGAGTCATTATCAGCACTCGTGTATCAGATGTCAAGTCTACTAGGGGTGCATGCATTTTGGAGAGCCAGCTGTCATGCCGGTGTCAGATTCTTGTATCTGGACAACCTAGGCTCGTCCCCAACCCCTGCTTCCATCCTCCCAGTAAGCAGCTTGCTGCTAAGCAGGGGATAGGTACGAGACTTGCATTATATAATACACACGCATGTGCTGAATTATGCAACTCTTTCCCTCAAAAGCCCAACACGTCGTCCATGCATTGCACATATTATAAGATACATGTATCTTGTCGAAAAGAACTACACATACATCGCTCTTAAGATTCATTTTTAACGCGCTTCTAGTTGTGAGCTAAAAATAATCTAGCTTTATACACCATTATGCATTATAGCCTAATGTATTCGAATTCATCTTTCCGGGATCCCAGAATAAATATCATAGCGGTCAGGCTCTGGATGACTTATTACGTGCCATCATTATTCATGTCACTTATAGCTGAGTTGTTCACGTGACGTGTCTCTCGAGGCAGAGCCTCGATTCGTCACCTATTAATTACATGTATTGCGTTAGCTTTGATGGAGGGAATAGACGGTAAGAGGAAAAGGACGTAACTGATAGCGCTCCAATTAGAAGTCATCCTCACATCTCTTTCTCCTACATTTTGAATTTCTAGTTTTCATGACGACTAGAACACTACTGAGGCTTCTCTGTGCTGTGATACGCTGAAAATTTAAACACGGATGAAGATATACATGTACTTCGGTATCAGGGATAAGTGAGAAGACACCACGATGCCAAGATTGCGTGAAGGGTGTCTTCTCACTTACCCCTACCCCCGAAGTATATGGGGGCTAGGTTAATGTAGTCGTCCGCGCCCGGCCCGCTATTCCGTGTTCCTCGATCGATAGACCCGGGGAGTAATCCGACATATGCATGGATGGCCATGGGCGATTACAACGTATGGGTCTTTCCAAGCTCTAATTTCTAACCACTTCCTTGAAGGTATGCTTATATCTAGTAGATATTTGACTTTAGGAGCAGATATGCACGCGGTATACATACCAATTATATAGATATGCGCGCAGTTTTCGAAATTTTGTATGAATGTGAGAGTACGTGCTGGTAAAAGGGAAGAAATTTGATAGTCTCAATACTATAACTTTTAACGATATATATTAATATGGTAATCCACGTAGTGCCTCCTAGTACCATAATTATAAACAAGTCTGATCTAAAACCATCATGAATATTGTTATTAAAAAATAATGAGTGGCGGATATATGTTGCGGGATGAAATATTCACGCTCCCTCCAATGTGGGTACCGATATCTATAGAGTGAAATTAGTAGATTGAACGACTTTTATAGCTGGCACTGGAGCCAGAGTACTCAGCTTATTCCCACTAGGCTCTTCAACCTACACTTGATTTTGTCTAATCTTAGGTTAATTTTACAACGATCCAATCACCTATGTACTAGCTAGATGGTATCCTCAATTATGTTAGAGTCCATGCAGTACTTAAAGGCAAGTATATGAAAAATTTAAGTAGATGAGCTATCTTATAGTTCTATAAGTATCATGGGAGGTTTGATAACTCTAATATTATTAAAACTAACATGAACATCGAGACGAACTTGTAATATAATAACTATCAACGCCACCTCCGAGCTTTGCTTTCTTTCTTTCTTAGTTCAGAACAGATTAAATCCTACCATCAAGCTATTTAGTATTTAGCTTACATATACTTTTAAAAGTTCATACATGTATTTATGTATACACCCCCAGGTGGTCGACCATTCTTGTAACTTCCTAGATCCTAACATATTCGATCTAAATCTCCTCGCTCAAGAGTTCGTTTAATTCCCTTAAGGTTTCCGAATTTTAATCAGATTTCTTTTGTATAAGGCCTTATTGTGGTTCTCCACCACCTTCCACTCCTTCATCTTAGCCGAAAGGCTTCATTACTCAGTCAATCAACCAAGCAAGTAAGCTTCTCCTGTTTCACTTTTCCGAGTGATTATTCATGATCAATTTGTCAGCCAGCTCTCAAGTTACACAAAGCCTAGTTCAGGCGCCAGCTTCTTGTACACCACCTCAATAACCCTAGCTTACAGCTGGCCACAACCCCTCCAAAGAAACAACAAACATGAACCCCGAGCTTGAGAGGGTCTGGCCGTGGATCCGCGACTGCGCTTACGACGTCGGATTCACTAAGGGCAATGTCTTCGTCGGCCAAGCCATGTTTATCGAGAATTTCACGGCCTCATTCACGGCCGCGTTAAACAGAATGATCGACAATGGGTTGATCCAGGAGTTACAAAAAGAACGTATAAAAAGAGTCTCGAAGGGCGAAAATGGCGGAGAGGCGGTAGCAGGGGTAACGGAAATTATTCCCCTCAGAAGCTTTACATTGGGCTCTCTGCCAGCAGAAGCAGAAACACCTAAGTGTTCCTGCAGTGGTGTGAAAAAGAGCGGGAGGTAGCTCTTACCACATCCATCACTCTCTATTTCAGTATAGATTTCTATAATTGTGCCTAACCTAGCTCTTTACATATGTCCCAGCGACTCACCAACAGTACGGCGTTATGACTTCAGTGAAGTAAACCTGGAACTTCCAGAAATTTGCGAAGCCCCAGCACATACGTTCTTTTTCCAACATCAAGTGTTGACATCCGCCCAGACCACTCTTGAATCTGCATGCTATAGGTTTACCAAGAAGAATTATCCATCGATTCTCACACGCAACAAATGGCGGTGCCCCGAGGCTGGCGAGCTCACAGCGTGGACAAAAGAGTTGATACGAGCGTTCGAAGCTGATCCTGGACCTGCTACCAAAGCCTTACATAGCCCGACAAATTTTCCAAAAGCGCTAAGAGACCTTGCTGAGTTGAGGCATACCACGGTTCATCGACTTGTGGTTTCGGGTGAAAAATTATTGGGTTTGCTCGAGAACGCCTTCAATGCCGTCAAAATGTTCAAAGACAACAAGGCCATAAACGCCATTGCTCTACTTTTTCATGGCCACGGGGATTGCCTAATTTTGGGTCAGAAAATAATGTATTCTAGGGCTGAAATGTTGGAAGAGTTACGAACCGAAATAAAGCGTGCTAAAAGAGTGTTGGGAAAATGCGAGTGGCAAGTAAAAAAGACTTCGGCGTGCGAGAATAGAGTTTTAAAGTGGGGGGAACGAGGCGATACGGCGTACGAGAACTTTTTGGAAGACCAACTGGATTGGATGTGTAAGGGAAGCTCAAGAAAGCCCTTGGAATTTATGGTTTCGGAATTTTGGGAAGAAATGTTGGATGAACAAGTGGTGCAGTAAGTCCCAATGCCCTTTGAATAAACGTCTGTGGAGATTTATATCCACCAATATGGGAATATTGATACTCATGGCCGATATTCTAAAGGCCGCCTGTCCCCGAAGATGATGAAGTTGGGTGGTAATTCCACGACCAATGAGTTATATCGTTGAACTCGACTCACAAAACGCCCTTAAGGGGCTTACCCCACTCCGATCCCCCGACAACACATATAGTCTCCATTTCATAACGTATCTGGACCGGACATGGCCTGGATGTGGGCATAACAACCAGGTTTTCACTTTAGTACATGTAGTATGCAGACGACCCAATCCAGCGCAAGCCAGGATCCGTGGAAACGCTACGAGCTTACAAATAAGGGAAAAGAACAACAGTGAAAATCATCAGCCGCGTATTTAGCTAAATTATTCAATGATGGTTATGTCAATAATCGGTTTACATGCCACGAGAAATTCTCGCCATATTTCAGGACAATATATTTAGGTGTACCACATTTGCAAAGTACATCTACATGAGATTAACGAAAGAAAGATATATAACAGCACTGGCAAAGACTCACTCAAAGTCTTCGGACCCCGTGATTCTTATCCTTAGCCCTCCCACCATGCGCTAGAAAACAGCCTACACGGGACCCAGGATTTTGCATCCTTGCGAGTATGTAGAGGGTGATTGAAATCACTTATACGGCATCTAGTCAATCATCTTATCATTTCGAATCAATAGCGTACAGGAACTAAATAACGCAACTTCTACAGAAATAAAGGCAACAGTCGGAGAGCCAGTACAGTATCTATTATAGCTCCCCAAAGTGATCCGTCTATTACGGGTCCGTGTTTGTCTATCGGGGTGATTTCCTCGCTACATATTTGATTATAGGACCCACATCGTCTAAAGTAATCAATAAATCAGCATCGATATCAACCATCAACATTAAAATCACCTGGAATTAATTTGTCATCCATTTTTGCTCCGTTTCGGTCACCAGATATCACTCGGCTCATCACAACAATCCAAACGCAATGCCTCTAGCTGGCCGCAAGTAAATTGGGGTGAGAGCTACAAGTACGTTCTATAAATCAGATCATGAAAAGATTGGAAGACCTAATACTTTGATTTGTAGTACATTGGAGCTGAATAAACCTTTCACTAGTCTACCTTCACTAAGATCTCTGTTGATATTTACTCATGATCATATTAATGACTATATCCACTACATGTAGTTTCTCCTATCTTTAAACATTGTAACAACTACGGCAGCCTATCTGTGAAAAAAGAAAAAGAAAAGTAACTTTCCTAGATCTAGTATATTTCACGCATTCATCTTTATGCTCCAGTGGGCTCCACGTATAGTATACTTATATGTATCAAAACACACATTTCCAACCAAGAGCATTACGGAGAATGGGGAAGAGTATACCTCTAAACAATGGAGATCCAGACCTGAAAGAATGGTCGGGGAGGAAGCAGGATCCAACCACCCTATGATTATTTACTACAGCATGTTTTCAGCAGGAGTACAGGAAAGCACTTTCAAGTAAAAAGATGATTTCTGTAATGTCCCAGGTCTCAAAATGAAACAGAACATTCACGATAACGCACAACCAAAGTGCCAGCAAAAAATTCGCTTGATTCATGAACTATAAGTCATTCAACCAATACAGAGCTTTCAATTCCAGAATTCATAAATTAAATGTTGGCCTTTGACTTGAAAGCATTGATCAAGCCATTGGTGGAGCCATCGTGGCTCGACACTGGGCCGGGGGTATCCAACTCCGCACCAATTTTCTCTGTTTCTTTGAGTCAGTCCTGGGTGGGAAAGGACGAAAGAAATAGGTTAGAAAAAACTCACTTGCAAGAACCTTGCCCAACTCAACACCCCACTGGTCAAAGGAGTTGATATTCCAAACTGCACCTTCAGTAAAGGTGAGGTGTTCGTAGTACGCAATGAGGGCACCAAGAGTGGCCGGAGTGATCTTTTGCGCAAGAATCGAGGTGGTAGGGCGGTTTCCGAGGAAGACCTTGTGGGGCTTCAATGCGTCGGATGCACCTTCTGCTGCTACCTCTTCGGGGGTCTTTCCTACCATCAGGGCCTCGGACTGGGCAAAAAAGTTGGAGGCAAGCATCCTATATTGATAGTTAGATTCGTACATATCACACCGGAATAGGATGTATTACTTCTGGTGAATACCGCCCTCAACCGGGTTGTGGCTCTCAGCGGCCATCAGGAAGTCTGTGGGGATAAGCTTGGTGCCTTGGTGAAGTAATTGGAAGAAAGAGTGTTGTGCGTTGGTGGCTGGCTCTCCGAAAAGGATTGGGCCCGTGGTGTACTTGACGTACTCTCCAGTACGGGTAATCGCCTTTCCGTTGGACTCCATGGAGAGCTGCTGGAGGTATGCTGGAAAGCGGTGGAGGTACTGATCGAATCTGAATTTAAACATGTGAGAATAATCCTATGGACACAAGGAACTTCTACCAAGTCGAGATTTAAGACTTACGGGGCAACCAAGTGTGTCTGAGCGGAGAAGAAATCGCTGTACCAGACACTCAAAAGACCACCGAGAACAGGAATGTTCTGCTCCAAAGGAGTATCGGTGAAGTGGTTGTCCATGGCATGGGCACCAGCAAGGAACTCATGGAAACGCTCGTAACCAATGTAAAGAGCGACGCTCAATCCAATAGCAGACCAAACTGAGTATCTACCACCAACCCACGATTCGAAACCAAACATATTCTTGGTATCAATGCCGAACTTACTAACCTCGGAAGCATTGGTGGATAAAGCTACAAAGTGCTTCGCGATTGCTGTAGAATCACCACCAATTGCAGGTTGGGAAAGGAACCATTTCTTGGCAGTGTTGGCATTGGTGCATGTCTCGGCGGTGGTGAAGGTCTTTGAGGCAACGAGGAAGAGCGTAGTTTCCGGATCGCATGCGCGGAGAGCTTCCGCGACGTGAGTTCCGTCGATGTTGGAGACGAAGTGAAGTGTTAGGTTTCGGTCAGAATAAGGCTTAAGGGCCTCGGTTACCATTACGGGACCCCTGCAAAGAGCTTATTAGCAAAAGAAATCATTGGTGTTTCGAATGAGGGGATGTCGCACAAATCCGATCCACCAATACCGATATTGACAATTGTGTTAATCTGCTTTCCAGTGTGACCCTTCCATTCACCACTTCTCACTTGCTCTGAAAATTCTTTCATGTGGGTAAGGACAGATTCAACATCCTCCACAACGCTCTTTCCCTCGACCTTCATTTCCTTCTTTGAGGTGTTCCTCAGGGCAACATGGTAGACTGCTCTGTCCTCAGTAAAGTTGATCTTCTCGCCCCTGAACATCTCATCACGAAGCTTCTCAACACCAGCTTCCTTGGCGAGCTGGACGAGTAGCTTCAAAGTCTCGTCGTTCAGAAAGTTCTTTGAGAAATCGAACAGAATTTCTGAGCCGTCCGCATCGTTCTTGAATGTCCGGGAAAACTTCTCAAAACGGTTTGGGTCCTGGGCGAAAAGATCTTTCAGGACAAAGGCTTTAGCAGCTACGGAGTGCTCCTGGAGCTGTTCCCAAGCTTTGAGGTCGGATGCTTGGGAGAAAGACATTATGGGCTTCTGAAATTGAGTCAATGGTGAGAAAGATATTTCTGCTAATGTATCCGACAGGAGATAAAATGCAATTAACGAATACAAAAAGAGTTTCGAGCTCCCGTAGCGGGGTAGGAGGGGCATCGTGATTGGCGGGGTGCGGGGTAAACAAATTGCCAGGGATAGGGAAACATTCGAGCAACGCAAAAACAGCAGCAATGAAGGTTATTTTATACCTTGGGTATCGATTATGCGGAGAGAGCTATGTGAATTATCTCTACACAGGAGTGACGCTTCAGTGATTCCTTTGAAGTCGAACGAAATGCGACACGATGATGAAGACTTGGTGGTTGGTATTGATTGATGAAGAAACGGCGAGGTTGTGACGTCGGCGACAAATCCGACCCTTATTATAACATCAGCCATTCCTATTATCCCGCCTTCGGCAGACATCGTTGAAGAGATGTCCGCGGATAAATTCCCAGTTACATCTGCGCGATTTTTAGCGTGCGAAACGCGGGGAGTTTTCAAACATTCGAGCCCTATCCGGAAAAAGTCCAGTGTCTAGTAGTACCACAGATCTTTCAAAATCAGGTCTAGGTACCGCAGTATCTCGTCTACATCACCGAGCAGCTAGCCACTAAAAAGCCGGTTCTTCCCACGAGCTTAATCCCATTTCTCTCCTTATTTAACCCTCCCCCACCTCTGATATGCGGATTATAATTTTACTATTGAGAATTCAGGCATCACTCGATTTGGTAATATGTTTCACGGCCGCATAAATTGATAAAACCTTCGACGTTACGTAGTCCGAATATTCGTGAGCTAAAACACCGAGAGTCGATCGGTAACAGTCGATGAACTTTCTGATGATTGCGTGCTCACATCTCATCGCCTAGAACAGGCGAAAAATATTTTCTCGGTCATCTCATCCCCGATTTAACGAGCTTGGGCTTGTGAAATACATGCGTGCAAATCAGCCCATAGAAAGTAGAGATAACTGGAGCCACTCATCCCCCAACAAACAAAGATCTCCTCTAACCCCATCAATCTCTTCAACGCCTGTAGTTTACCTATCTTCACTTCCCGCCTTCTTGCTCTTTTCCTTTTCCTTCCTCGCCCCCTTTTTCCTTGTCTGAAAACGTAAACCTAGGCACTAATGTGAAGTGTTCCTGCAGTTCTTCCCTTGAACGATCGAATGGGTAGGGGCACTAATCACTCACGCAATCAGCAAATCGGTACAAATCACATAAAGAACCACTCAGACCCAACCTTCTTATTTGGACACATCACAAGACCTCTTCCCTCACTGATCAAGTACTGAAACAGATCTCCAAAACATAACGGGCAAAACAGCCCTGTCGCCAGCCCATCTTTGTCTCTATCAACTTCCATTCCTAACGGCCAATCTCTCTCGGCATCATGAGGTTTACTTTCGACGGTGGCAGGAGATCTGGTTTCGGTAGCGGGAGATTTAGTTTCGGCGTTTGTCGTCGGGGGAACGCTACTCGAAGGTTTGGCCGTGACCGGTTTCCTGTATTCAGGACGCTTCGGAAGCAATAAGATTGACTTCTGGGAAGCCCGATCCGCCATTTCTGAGATATGAGACGTTAGTATAAAATACAGCTCGCTGAAGTCTTAGATTAGCGCACGGACCATGCTGGGACGCGGAGCCTCAAGGCTTGGCATGTGTCTCTGAAATATCACTCGTCTTTTAGTGTATCTATGAGACCTACATGTACAGTCGCCCGCCGTTGTAGCGAACGCTTGTATACCGAATATTTGATGTACCGAACCACTTGGGCTGGCTTTTTTTTTTCTCCCCGGCAAAGAGTTTGGTCTGCTGTACCGAATAATCTGCTATACTGAGCGGAAAGTTGCTCAATATGCACGTTCGTTATAGCGGCGACTGTAGTTAACACTACATGATGTAACCCAGAGATAAACGTCATCTCAACAATTGATTAGGATACCCGTTCTGGTAATTGGCAAGCTTTAAAAGTGTTCTAAGTCAAAACTGACGACAGATATATTGGTTAATGATCAAATTCTACCGTAATATATAAGCCACTCTGATCTTTATGTAAAGATTCTTTAGAGATTGAGGTTTTGTTGCTACAAGGTATTTGTATGCTTGGCGGAACCTAGAAGGATTTATGCCTTTGTAGTTAGATGAACTCCAACTAGACCTAGCCATAGGTTATACAGCCACAGAAATATATTTGACTGTAGAAATCCTTTGGCTAGAGGATAGATTCTCGGAATGAATTCATTTTAGCATACCACAAAGTCAGCTCGTGGCCTAGCCTAAGTTTTTTTGCTAATTAAGTACTATTGGCTTCTAGAATATACGTATGAGATTCCCCACATGACAGAGTGTGTATGCGCTTAAATAATTCGAGCTAAAGTCCCCAACCGAGTGTGCGAGAAAGGGCACTTAACCGATTGGCCAACACCACGACGTCCACACAGAAGTTCTGGCTTGCCCAAAGACGCAACTTGAGCTGTGAGCAATGAAAACCCTTGAAAAAAACGTTGCTTGTGCAAGATAGTATTGTGAAAACATTAAAAAGAGCTAGGCATCATAGGCACATTCTTGAAATTATCACTCCTCGATCGTACGACGTCCGCCTTCCAAATTATAATCAAGGTCTCGGGCGTTCACAGCTGCGGCTCCAATTGAGGTTGGCGACTGACATCATCCTTTACCCTATCTTTCTATCATGCCGGGTGTGAACATTGAAGTGCAACTAAACCGGCTGTACTTTCTTGTTGTCTTGAGTAACTGCGTGGCCGGAGGGCTGAAATCTCTGTCAAACAGAATTACTGGACTAGCTAGGTTTGGATGGGAATCTATGCTCATGATATGCGTCCAGGATGGTGGTACAATGCAAGTATTGATACGACAATCGTTTGATAACCCTGTATAATTGAATCAGTGGCTAACCATAACTTGTAATGAATGGCAATTGCGTGCTGCAGGTCATAAAGGTACGGCATTATATGCAGAGATCTAAAATCATACTAGGTCAGCCATCAATGCTGTACCTACGTCTAGACCTAGAGGGAGTTTCAGTAATTTTCCCTGCCAGTAACAAGAATTGTAGTCATGTGCTCTTAATACATAGCCTACTGAGACGGATGGATTAGTAGACTTATGTATGTTACGATGCGGCGTTTTCAGCGGGTCATACTGCCAGGATAAAAACGGTGAGTGAAACAAACAGGGTGGAATTAAAATGAAATCGATTTCCGGACTTGCAATGGCCGCTTTATCGAGGAAGATTATTGGGAGAAGTTTATGCCAATGCCAGCTTGGTTACCTAGAGAAAACTTGGAAGAATTAGTATGTAATTTTTTTTTCTGACTATTCACTCGGTTGCTTTTTCTTGAGAAACTGGATCGTTATCAGCCTCCTAAACCTCTGAACTGATAATCATTATCTCAAGTCATAACAATTAAGAACTTCGACTAATTCGTTCCGATTATTACGCATATACTCGGGCACTTACACATATGAGTCAATTTCAAATATCTCGGTGTTTGTTTTCCAATCAGACATCATATTTGAAATTAGTAATTATGGCCAATTAGATTTTACTAAGTTCCTGCGGAAGGTCGATCAGCACATCCATTCACAGCACGCGCAGTACAAGATTGGTCCTTGATATATCACTCTGATTTCAGACCTGCATCAAATTACTGTCCCACAGGATTACGTTTACTCCCAGGGGCACCTACACGATGATAAGTTATTGTACTTAATTCTACTGCGATATTTCGAGTCATTGCTGTCGACCTCAAATTAACATTTAGTAGGTAACCCCTAACCCTAAACAGTCTTGAAATATCACTCGATATCATACGCGCCTAAGCGCGCTCATCCAAAAATAATCTTTTTATTACAGTCAGTTGGTAAGGCTTGCTCTTTTACCAAAATAGGACGGGGATCAAGGACTTGCACCTGTCAAGATCGAAAAATGGCAATCATCGCCACTGCACCGGCGAACAGGAAATCGCGCCTTGCACCCTCATGTGTAATTCAGTAAAGGTTAATATTTGGCCGGACTTCCAGAATACTGCCGAATCATAATATGCAGGAGTTCCTTGCCGCGGCCGATCGTGCGCAGCAAATCGGTCTCCGATGGAAGCGGCCTAGAAAAGGCACAAGGCACAAAGCTATTGAAACAAATGGAAGCACTTTATGCATAAAACCCTATGAGTTGGAAATCCCCTAAACGAGGAAAATTCGGACGAACAGCCAGGGCTACAACCGTGACTCAAGTCAATGCTGGGGCCTTATGAGTATACTAGGTACATGTATGTACATGTAGTAGTACTTTGTGTTCCTAGATTATATCCTACATGGGACGATTATCAAAAACCTGGAGAAGTTCTTATATTATTATGCAAGGCTGAAATAACCTTATCTCACTAGGCTTGCTTAGATAGTGATAGTCACCATTTTGTTTGACGGACGATTACATCTCTAAAGAACGGCAGTCGATCCCTCGGGTTTTCCCCGCTTTGATCCACAAGCACAACTTCATATCAATTCCCAACCTCACAAAGTAGGAAACAATAGCGGAATCTCTATGCGAGAAGAGTGACAGCTTCCGAAAACCCGGGGGCATCATCGTCAGCATTGTCGGCATTGACTTCCAGGGTACACCCCCAATATCAATTCCAGTACAGTTACTTGACTTACGCATAAACGCATAGAAAGATACATAGTCGCTGCGACTTTCCAGACTTCGCACCATATGGTAGATCTCTGGTCCTTACACTTGCACCATGTCTAACACATCATGAGGCTTCTAACCATTTTACATACTTCTTCGATGCTTCGAGACACAAGGCATATTCTTGGCTCAATTCTCAACTTCAAAGGTTGATTGATTGACCCACGTGCACACACAATTGCATAATACCACCTGGAGACAATTGTGTAATTGTTTTTTGGGCTCTGGTAGATCTTTCTATGATTATACATTCTCATAACCATTATGCGCGCACCTCATCTCGCAGCACATAGAGTACAGTACAGTAGAGTCTATATCTACTGTATGTAGTACCTACATAGTTGCACGACATCCAGTGGACGACGATATGACGAGTGCTATGAGGCGGACGATGACAGGCTGAGCGGGAATCAAAAATATAAAAGAGCAGCCCCGCATGCAACCTAAGGAACCGAATCCAAAATACATATTCCCCACACCTCACTCACTCACGAGCCGCGAAACCCCACCTCCTGCTTGCTTGCTTGCGTGCCTTCCTCAGTCGCGTTTCCCGACTCAGTTCTGCAGCCTGCAATGCACTAGTAGTTCCTTAGGTCATGGTTTCGGGGCTGGCTGGCTGGGGAGACAATTGGTATTCGTATAGTGCTTCGTTTCGCAGAATTTGTATTAGTTTGGCTGGCTGATGATTTGTTTTTATCCCCGAAAAAACGGGAATGCTGCGTGCGTGGATGGATGTTCCCTTCGTGTCGCGGCTTAATGGAGGAGCTCGAAGAGTACCTACATAGGAGGAGTAGGAGTAGGAGGAGGCTGAGCGAAGTGTCGGGGATTTTTTTCCACGTCATGTCGCACCGCCTCAGGTGTCGGATTTCCCGGCGCCGCTCGTTCTCTTGCGAGTCCAGCAGTTAGAAACGCTTTGTCTGTGATCATTTACCTCTATGCGCCACCGATAAAAAATATTCATCTTGATGAACCGAGGTACCCATAAGAGGCTGGTAGCATTATCAAGTCAGGCGGAATGATTACACCAGCTGTGTGAATGGGGAAATTCATTATGGCTGGCTGATGATGGATGGCTGCGGAAACAAGTTCCTGACGACAGCCAAAGTTTGTCCCGGGGTCAGCTGGTACCGGTAATGAAGGGAAGGGGAGGGAACCACCCGGTACCGGTTTCGTTCATTGTTGTAATATGGAACGCTTTCATTACACTTAGAGCATTATGTACCCCTCACCAAGAGAAGCGAGGGAATCAGGAATCAAGAAATGATATGATATTTATCGAGGACTGGACGTCTCGTTCTTCTTCATACGCAAAAAAAGCATGTAAACCACCCCGCTGATAGAAACCGTAATCCGTACACATAAATACACAATATCACAACCGAACATAAAAGAAAAATCACGCAACGAGAAGAGAGTAAAAAAACAAAGTAACAAAAGAAATTCAGGCCTCTAATGAGAGGAGAAGGATCGTAAAACGAAGAAATAAAATAAATATACCGGCCGCCTCAAAAGAATAATACCGCGGGGTGGGGGAAAAAAAAAGTAAAAGAAGAAGTAGTAGAAGAAGTAGAGAGATATCCTATAACCCAACAAAATGCAAAAATGCTTCCCTAGTAATCCAATATAATCCTCGGAACAAATGAGACTATAGTACCGAAATAGCCATTAGAAATGACGGATACTTCTCTCCCCTCGCTCCCCGTCCAGGCTTCAACCCGGGAGTAAATAAAAAGCAAAAAAGCATCCTCTAATATACCAAACACCGCCCCACTCGAACACTCCCTTATGACGCCGTTGCCCTAATCACGGCTTTACCCTAGGTATTGCAGCATTTCGCTAAATCATAGGAATATTGCGCAGAGAGAAAATGAATTCTCGAAAAAGATGATAAAAAAACAAGAGAAAAACGCCAGCCTCCCAAAAAAATATGCACACACATGACGCGATATATGTACTCGAGAGCCGAAACGAGGGCGCGATTTTGTTTTTATAAATCGTCGTCGTCGTCGTTTTTGTTCTCCAGGATTAGGCATCCCTCTCGATATCATCGGAGGGACGCCGGATAAAGTTTAGGCGGTCCTTGTCCTTGCTGGCATTGGACTTCGACTACTTTGTGTCGATTGGCTGCGCGATATCGTAGGTCTTCGGTTAAACACTTCATCGATGAGTCGCCTAGGGCCAACATATTCCATCTTCATTTTCAGCGGACTGCTGACCATGGGTATGGGGAGAACCATATGAACCGTCTTTTTCTTGTGAAATTTTCGCTTGATGCAATCATCCACAAGAGCAGTCAGACCAGTCGCAACGATGACGCTAAATTGTAATAAACTCAATTAGTATATATGCATTTACGCATTGAGGGTGGGATGAGAAAATAGTAAAAATGTAGATCAATGACGGAGTGGGGTGAAAACTTACTCAGCGACATCGGCTAAACAGTTGATCACAGGATCTTGAACTGAGTCCCTGAAGATGAACGATGAAGGGGGTATAAATCCACCCTTCGCCTCCTCCGCTTTAGCGCGAGCAGGTGACAAATGGTCAGGTACGATGTAGGCGACAACGTTATTGGTTCCGTTGTTGACAAGGTGATAATTGACCTCCTCGCCACCGCCGATCGACCTGATAATAACCCTTTTCCACGAATAACTCTTTCCCCAATACTCGAAATCGTATTTCTTTGATGCCTTGCCTCCTCTCCTTGTGAGATCTACATGAGCGTAATTGGAGAATTCCAATGTGCAGACATTCGAGACACTTGAAGCCTGAGTTGGGTGAGCTCCGGCCGCACTCAACGATGACTCCTTCGCTTGATGATCATCCTCCTCTTCGTCCAATGATGACGAGTATCCACTATCCTGCCTGTTCAACTTGAATTGCTCCGCCTCCCCTTTCCCACGGAAGCTCTCAAAAGCTCTACTCAGCGAGCGTTGGAGTTTTGGTCGTACTGGGGCGGGCTTGACAACTTTTCGCTTGATGTGAGCAACCTCGCGTCCGCAATCCCGGCCATAGCGTCTCAGTGAAAAGTCGCGGGCCTTCAAGTCGTACATTCGTAGGTGGAAAAGTGTTAGGTTCTTTGGCGCCTCACCGGATGAAGAAACGTTTGTGTCGACCCTTAGATTCATGTTGCCATCAATCGTTGAGTCGTCATGCTGGATATTGAGACGTCTAGTCGAGGGGAAGAGCTCTGCAAACTCTGAAGGAATCGCCGGGATCGCTTGAGTCTGGATGGGCTCTTTTGGAGCGTTATAAGTATGGTGTCCATTCTCATAGTATGGGTAATCCTCCTCCACAAAATCGTCAAAAGACGCAACGGTACTGCAGTAAGTATCCACAGTGTCGCGAGGGTTTGAGTGGGAGTAGTCGGGGTGATTGTCGTAGGATTCTGAAGGAGAACCAAACTTTGATTCTGCTGATGAGTAGTGTAACGACGGCACTGAACTGGGCACGGTACTTCGAGACGAGCTGCTGCTATCCCGGGTACTCATATCACTGTCACTGTCGTCGTAACAACGGGGGGAATTTGATGAACTCATTTTTGAGTTGTTGGGAAGTGATGTGATGCTATGTTGAAGGTGTTGTTGTGTTGCTGTGTTAGTTGTAGTTGTGGTTGTTGTTGTTGAGTAGTTGTATTGTAGTAGTAGTAGTAGTAGTTGACTTGAAATCGTAGAAATGGATTAAAAGAATCTGGAAAAGGTACGGAACGATGGATGATATATAATTATACCGACGAATGTGGCAAAGGGTTGATTCCGGCTGAGTGATTCAAATTTCCGGAAAGAACAGGAAACACGGAGAAAAAAAGGACGCAAGATGTATGGATGGCCGGGTGGGGGAGGGAAAAAGTAGTACGGGGATAAGTAATGTAATATGTAGTGGATAATAGTGGTAGTAAAAAAAAAGAATGCTGCTGCTGCTACTGTTGCTGCTGCTAAACAAATCGGATGAGAGGAAGAGAATGCAAATGGGGTGAATGGGAAATAGAATTATCCTATGTGAACTGTCATGGATTTCCTTTGCTGTGAACCCTTCTTCATAAAAAAAAAAGCGAGAGATGTCGAGAAGAATGGACACGCCACTGTTCGGGATAATATCACCACGTCTGTCGCTAATTTGCTTGCTTGCTTTGGAATTGTCTTGAAGACGTTAATGGGGGGGGGAGCAGCGAGTGAGTGAGTGAGTAGTAGTAACAGCAGTAGCAGTAAGTAACGACGACGCAGCAGGAGGGAGTGTGATGTTTATTAGTCTATTATGAGCGGTTGAGTCCATAATCGATCATGGCCATACTTGGATGCGAGACCCGGGGGCACCATCCTAGGCCCAGCCAGCCATGTATGGGGGTGAGTTACTTCAAGTGCATCCAAGGACCTACCCTCTTACCTTTCTTGCCTCAGACTGATCTAAGCGGGTCTTTTGGGGGTGTGTGTAGCAAAGCGCGAGATTGGAACTCGACTGAATCTGGGCAAATTGTCTGCGGGCAAGAGTCCTTTTCCAGGTGAGGGGGTAGGAGAGGGGGTGGGATTTGCCAGTCGCCCTCGGCCACACCCACCTCTCTTCCCACACCTCCATTACAGGTCCCCCTACCCCCGTGCCCGTGCCATGCGCGGCGGCTGTGTCCATTCATATTTGGAGGTAAGCAGTACATCACCTACCATAATCTACTTACATATCGCTGGATATGATTATTTTGCATTTATTGATCAAACCCTAGACGAGCGCCTTGTTGTCAGCTATTCGCCCACATAGAGAGTGGATGAAGGGGAGTGGAATGAAATATGTAATCCACATGAATTGGAGTCAAGAGAAATAGAGAGTAGGTGTCCTGCCTGATGCTACTACTACATACATACAATAAGTCTACTAGACTACGAGTTACTGCTTCCTGCACAGCTTGCTTCTGCCGACACGGGTCCTATCCCTGTTGCGCGACGAGCGCAGCAGCAGAAGCAAGACGCCCTGGTTGGTTGGTACATATCGTGGTCTGTACCCTCTAATTCGTGAGTGATGAGCTCACCGTGATAGCCCTTTTCCACGTAAAGTTGTCCCTTGAGAACTTGCTGCTGTTCACCGACCAAGTACATTTCAGCAAACTCCCCTCTGGTCCTCCCCCCTACCCACCACTATCGTCGCCTCGATCAGCACAGCTAGATAGAAAAGGCCTGTGAATTACAGAACCAGAGACCCGACGAACCATCGTGAGGTTCGTTCACTCGTCTACCTACTGCAACTAAAAAAATAAAAACTAAAATTTGAGAGAGTCAAGACCCGAACTGCTGCTTCTTGCTGCGTTCTCCCTCAAAACTTTCCTCTGGCCTGAAACGTACCTTCCAAATTCCCCCCCCCCCCCCCCTCTCACAGAAGGAAGAGGGTTTTGCCACTGAGTATGTATTGAGCGCGCGACGCCCTCGGGAATCTCCTTAATTTTCTATTTCTCTGCATCTTTATTTTATTTTTCTAATCCTTTCTTTCCCACCTCCTCGCCCCGGGTTCATTCATCTACACTTCCCCGGAAGAACTTAGGCTAGGGGCGTTTAACACTTCGCGTCCCAATCAATTGATAGGCCCCCAATTGTTTGGAAGGCGGCTACCAATGATTGAAGGGTATGATTAATTTTTCCAAATAAAAAAGGAATTTGTGGTGGTGGTGGGTGTGGCATAACAACCTCTGGGCTACAAAAAAAGGCAGCAAACGGTGTTACATACTGAGAGACACCACACATGGCTGATGGTTCGTTCCTCTTTGCAAAAAAAAAATTCCGAATGCGTGCCCCCCTGCACGCTTGGACTTATCAGGACCAACGCAGCCGAGAATCGAATTCGTGGGTGTTATCGCGAGGCCTTCCGTTGGTCCCATAGAACACCACACACAACACACAGCTGGTGGAAGCTAAGACAGGGTTACGATCGTGAGTAGGTAGCGGTGAGCGAGGACTCAACCACACAGCTCACAGCAAGTACCTAACTCCTACATACCTGCTCTGCCTAGAAGTACAGACGACAGTCAGTACCCTAACAGCTACTACCGACACCGGCCTACCTTGGCTATCCGCACGAGGGAATGCTCTGGCTAGGTACACAGCTTTCCCGTGCAAATACATAAGAGTAGCAGCATACAATAAAAGAGCCAACCAACCAGCTACAAGCCAGCAAGGCAACAAGGCGGAGATGTCTACCTGCTCTAGTCTCCTTTTATTTCATCCGTCCATTCCTCCTCCTACATAACTCATCTTTAAAATCCCCGGGAAAGACAAACACCGGGAAATTGTTAAAAGAAAAAACAAAATATAAGGAACAATAAATAACATTCTTCTTGGATGGATGGTTATTTTCTTCAAGATAAAGTCACCATCCAGCGGCCAACCAGGAATATGGGCCTTGTGACAGAACAAGGGAGGCAGTTTACAGACATCACTATTGTTCTCGCCTGTCCTGCTGCTGCCCGGCGCCAAAGCACAAAAGAGCCGCCCACACCCCACTCTAAATTCAACCTGTCACGATACTCCTTTGGGGGGGGGGGGGGGTGTAGCATGTTTCGCTGTTAGAACCTACAGGCTATTACTATTTCTAAAGAATTGTCTCCCCGTACCCCCCATACTTTGTTCGTCTCCACAAGAACCGGTACCTGGCCCGTGCGTTCCAGTCCTAATAAACACACCTTACTTTACTCACACCACCAGTCTACTCTAGCTGTGCCAGCGGAACCACAAGCTTAGGGTTTTCTGGGTTGGGTGCGGTCTAATCTCAAGGCTAACCCAGGCTTGGGAGACTACCTGACGTGGTCAATCATGTCTCTGATCTCACGAAGTTTAAAAAAATAAAAAAATAAAAAAATAAAAAAAAGACATGAATCGTGACTTGGCCAGCAACTCATTTATTTTGGGGGTACACTCGTGTTTGTTTCCCGTTTAAATTTCAACTACATATCATGGTGGCCCGCACGCTGTACTCCCACTAAAGGACCGCTCTGGATGGATTGCTGGATAATGATCCGCGAACCTATGAACCTATGAACAGCTCGAAACATAATCAAAAGGAGGGATGAAGGGGAAACAAACCCAAGATGTGGGGGGGCGCGTGGGCTGCTGCGTGTAATTCGCTTCGAGAATTCGACACATGAATAGTTTGGTTGGCCGGTTGGCTGGTCGGGTTGGGGTTGATTTGCACGCTAGATGTTGTAGATCTCCCAGAAACGGTACCTACGGCGCTCTTTTCCAGGGAGGGAGGGCCCCCAAATAAATTTTCCTCACGCTTCTCGCGAAAAGCTCGAGAAACAAAAACCGTAGGGTGGTGATGTGATGATGGATGTGATGTGACGCGATGTGATGAGGGGTAAGAAAAGTAAGACGAGCCATGAGGCAGGCAGGCAGGCAAGGAAGCATGGGAAGGGAAGGGTAAGTATAAACGCCCGGGGAAACCTTTATTTTTATTTTTATTGATCTTTTTTTTCCCCAGAAATGTAGATTAAACCAGGCCTTGTGAAACGTGATGACCAAAGGATCGAGCAGAGAGGGTGGCTTGTGAACAAATTGTATCACACACACCACGTTTCGAGGCTGGGAGTTTGTGGCACACTGGACGTCTGGAACGAGAGCGAGCTGCACAACAGGTGAGACCTCTGACCTGGAACCTCATGTATCTGCTCGAGAGAAGGCAACTCTACGTATGTACCTTGTACCACTGGGCTGCTGCTGCTGCTGCTGCTCACAAGGCCTGTCTATCTGCGGCCTAGTCCGGGTAGTTAATAAGATCTCCCGCTAATTCCAGAAAGTGCAGTTCAGCATGTTCTTTCCCAAAAATCTATTGTACGGGTCGTACCGGTACTGTGCCTACATCAGATGTATATGTGTAGGGAGGGAGATATATGACGGTCGTCTAATACTCTAATCAAAATGTAGAGGTACCTATAGTACTACTACATCCCTTGGACCTAGCTAGCTAGCTACTCCCCAGCTCGACTCCTGGTCATGCAAACAAACTGTAATCGCGGAGGGCCACTTCCCTGCCCTATCTATGTACCACTTCGCCAGAGTAGATATTTGCTCTACATTCTAGTACTCCAGCTGCACTGTGTGTTTGTCTGTCAGCTAACAGCATCTAAGAGTAGCTCAAGTGCAACAATATAATGTACCTCTACATGTGTATGTATGTGGGCAGCTAGAGTAGGAGGTACTCTACCTACTACACGCCTCCCCCCCCCCCCCCCCAAGACCCCACGAATGACGAATAAGAATGTGCCGGCTGCTCACATATGCAAAAGCCGGGTTTGCCTTAGAATATTGAGCCTCTAGTCTCCTTCGCCAGGTCTCTAAACCTCTCTCCACCACTACATTATCCTCTCCACCGACCTACATATCCCATATCCACTCCTATCCACCTCCATAGGCAGAATCAAAAAAAGGGATCTTCTCGAGTATCTACTCAACTACTTTGACTCTACCCGGATCACCCCCATCATCATCACCTTCCCACCCGGCCCCCGGCCCCCATCTACTTTACCTACCCATCATTCCGGTTCCTGATCAGCAGCGCAAAGAAGAAAAAAGTACCGGACCGACAGGATCAAATCACCTTTTCCTTTTCTTTTTTTCTTCCAGGGAAGATAGAGAACACTTTTTTCACCCCCCCCCCCCCACGGAATGATCGTCGTCGCCGAAACCCGGCCGCTGTACATTCCGAAGGTGCCGAATTAACCATCTCCTGCTTCTTCTTTTTCGCAAAGGTAAAAAAAAACGAAAACGAAAATGAAAAAAGAAAATGAAAGAGGCCCACCAAACTAAAGGACGAAGAAAGCAGAAAAGAAAAGAAAAGAAAAATAAAATAACACATACAGAATTAAACCTAACAAGCCTGCTTGGTAGCTCACTAACTACAGTAGCTACAACTAGCTGCTCTAGCAGCAGAGAGTATGTGGCCGATTGTGTGCAGACTCCAAAACTGAGCTAGAAGTGATGTGACGAGAATGCAACCTGTGATACTTTGACATATGGCGCCGCGCTCGTTGGGTGGAGGGGACCGGAGGAGGGTCGAGGGATTCATTCAATTGAGTAGAGAGGTAGATAGGTACTTTGAGCACATGTACCGGTACCTACACAACCCAGCTAGAGTAGCTGGCTAGATACAAGCTAGCTAGCTGGTTTGCGCCGGTGCTGTGCTGCGTTGTAGAGTGGAGACTTGTCATTTCATTACGCGGAGTTTTGAATTCTCTTTGGTGGAGAGGGAAAGCTGGGAAAGTGTAGGTATGGTATGGTATGGCATGTAGGGGCACTCGAGTCCTCTGGTCTCTCTGGAATTGCTCTTGTGCTCTGCCCTGCTCTACCATAGGTAGAGAGCACTCAAAATATCCATCGTACATACCCGGGGAATACACTTATCCGCATCATATCCACCAGCAGCTCCAGCCAAGCTTTCTTTCACTGGCTCCCTCCTCTGCACGTGGAGAGAGAGAAGGAAAAAAAAAAATGCAATTATGTACCAGCTAAACATGTACCTCTACAAAATTTTCTTTCTTTCTTTTCCTGCGCTGCTCCGACTTCTAAATCCCGCCCAGATCTTGGTAGCTACTCTACTCTAGTAGTGCACCCTCCCTCCCTCCTCTCCCCCAAAAAAAACCTTGACCAAAACCCTGACCCTGGAAGACACTGATCTGCGCGTTGACGTCGGGTATTCCCACCCCCGATGATGACGACACGACCTCATTGGATAGAGGGGCATCCAACCGCATTGCTACAGGTCCTTCCTGCTTACTTACCTACATTGCTATTCACACCTACTTTACCTACTCGCTGACCAGCTTTTTTTTCTCCATGATCATCGTCGCCGTCGTGGGCTCTGGTCCAATCCTTCCCTCCCTCCTTCTCCCTCCTCGTCCTGCCCGGGAAACATGAAAAAGTGATGCGAGGTCAGATCCAGGCCTGAGCTTTTTGGGTTCTGACGGAGCTCGGAGGTCATCGCATTGGGGGCCGAACGCAAAAGTTCGCAGGACTGGAGAGAGGAGGAGGAGACTTTTCACACTCTCCAGATCATCGTAGTGAGTGGAGTGTGTGGACCTACATGTTTAGCTAGCAGCTGGCTGGTTGAGGGGAGGCCCGGCGTTTGGTGCATACATACATACCATACTTGGGCCTGCATACATACATAGGTGTATGGATACCTACTTATGTATGTATATGTGAGTATTTGTAGGGCACATGTAGCAGGATGTCTAGCCATGAAACGAGCCACCGTCATCGCGCCTGCTGCCATCCCGCCTTCCTTCCTGCCTGCCGAGGCGCCTCTCTCGGCCCCCGGACGGGCTGACTGACGCGTGCGAGCGAGCGACCCGACCCCGGCTGACCGAGTCCGACTCGACGCACTCGGTCGGAGCAGCGTAGCCGGGTGATCAGATCAGATCTGCGCCGCGCGCGCCGTACCTACCTACCGTATGGCGGCCGACCACATGTTCGTGATCGTGGGCTGACCCTCTCCCTCCCTAGCCCCCTCTCTCGGGACTGGCTGCTGCCCGAGCCACTACCAACTGCGGTGTGTGAGATCTTCATCTTGTTTTTTTTTGTTTTTTTTTATGGTTACCGGTTTTCACGCGAGACGAGCGAGTAGGCGACGGCGCTGTGTGCGCGGGGCGGCTTTTGATATCGCAATTGTATGTATTTTTTATTATTATTTATTATTATTATCGGCGTGGAGCTCCGGGACCACACGTGCACACACGGGTAGCGTAGGGTACGGTAGGGTATATTCGTATGTAGAGCTAGCTGAGTAGCACAGTGGGGGAGGGAAATCATAAGAATTACCCCACAAAACACCCAACTGCTCGGAACCGAGCGAAGGATGGATGATGGAACGGGGGCCGGGGGCCCAGTGCGTAGTGTACGCTAGCTAGCTAGATGGGAAAAACAAAAGAGAAGCACATGTACCTACTCTACGAGTCTACACACAAAAAACACGAGATTTTTTCTATTTTCCTTTTTTACTTGCGGATCTTTGGATCCCAGGTAGAGGAAAGCCTGGGATTGTTGGATGTGAGGGGTGATGTGCGGGGGTTTTCTCAGTGGTTTACAATTATAGCTTACGAACCACTGCTCTTCTTCTTCTTGCTACCCAGCTAGCTAGTACGCCCCAGACATCTCTGTCGAGCCAGAGAAAAGAGCCAGAGGCATAACTCTCCCTAATTCCCCATGGCCCATCCATGGGCCATCAAGGTTAATACGCCACGATCATGCCACGATTGCACCGACACTCACTCATCCACTCACTCACTCACAGTTCACTCACTCACTACACTCAGGTGACGCGTCATGGAGGTGCGATATGTGGCGATAGGCCAGAGGCTGGAGAGCTCAGAGGTAGGTAGGGTGCGGGAATCACGGATTGTCACTCGTTTGGCAGGGTGGTTGATCATGGGATGAAACCGGTGAGGGTGACTTGCGTGAGGCTGGCAAACTGGCTAGCTAGGCTGGATGTGAGTGAGTGAGTGAGTGAGTGAGGGCTCTTGTGACAGTCAGAGGGGGGGAGAGGACTGTGATGGCGGAATCGCGTTTACCCGGTGGTATAGTACGTGCGGTATTTTGCCTACTTGTGTAGTGCTGGTGAAGGAAGGGTCAAGGAGGAAGGAGGAAGGAGGAGGAGTTGAAACGAAACGAAACAGGCTAGTAGTTACAAGTTACAAGCTAAGCAGTCCAAGGCTAGTACTCTACTGCTCTCTCTCTCTCTCTTGCAGTGACATGTAATATAATGTCATAGTACTCTAGTCGTAGTGCTCTCATCATCATCATCATATGCATCATCATTTATCATCAATAATGAACTGTATATTTCCTGCCTGTGTTTCTGTTTCTGTTTCTGTTTCTTTCTTCTTGCAAACCAGAAGTAATTTATCGCGCGATATCTTGTTCTATTATAGTCTTCCCCCCCCTACTAGCTTGCCCTCACCCTCACCCTCACCCTCACCCGCTGTTGTTGCTTGCTAGATCTCCATCGGCGCAATTGAATCGCACAGGCTAAATCAGGTGAATCGAAACGTTCACTCTCAACATACGAGATCACACCGCACCACCGCTCGCTCGCTGAGTAAGTAGGCACAATTTACAAACAAGGAGACAAAGCGCAGAAACGTCACACCTATCGGCGTTAGATTATAGCCAGATCGCAGCCTTGGTTTGTGTGGTTGTTGCTTGATGGCCCCCGGCCCCCGGTGGTGAAGTGAAGTGAAGTCGCCCACCCGGTCGGTGGTGGGTGCTTGGTGATCGATCTCGATCGGGCTTAAGCTTATACGTTACGTTAATTGCGAAACGTACCTTAGAAACAGACTCTGCGATTGTAACCCATATCCTATCCTACCCTGCCCTATCGTATATATGCGCGCGCACAGTATTTTCAGTTTTAGTTTGGGGTCCGACGTCGGCGCTATTTTGAGTGCTCGCTCGCTCGCTCGCTAAACCGCAATTCCCTCCCCTCGACGTACGTAGAGTACTCTTGACTTTTTTCTCGTCTCCTCTATAACCTAGTACCCACAGTACCTACATACCATGCCCTGCCCTGCCCTGGCCTGGTCTGTAGGCTACATGAGGTACCGTATCTATCGATATCGCAACCATGTAGGTACTAGGTATAATTAACAGCTAGCAGCACTGTATCGATATCGATTTATCGATAATCGATATCTGCCCCCTCCAGACACTGCAATTCGATACCACCACCACCACCACCACTACCACTCGTCCTGCTTCTCCGGCTCCTCGTGCGCGGAATGCTCGATCTACCGTACCCCCCCCTTCTCCCTTCGCACGCACCCACCGGGCCAGTAGCTAACTAGGTCTGTAGGTAGGTACAGTAAAGCAAGCAAGCAGCTTTCCTTGTGATGATCATTAAGCTGATGCTGCCGCTCGCGGATCCAGCGGTAGATCTGTTTTTTTTTTCCATATTATTATTATTATTTCCACCTTACCTACCACCACCACCACCACCATCCACCACCATCCACCACCATCCCATCCTATCCTATCGATATAGCTGTTCTGATCTGTTCTGTTCTATTTCCACTCCCCCCCCCCCCCCCCCCCAAACCCACCCATACCAAAAACCAATCCATACCTACTCACCGTTCGCACCATACCCACACACCGTACCGTACCTGACACCTGTAATCCCTCACTGAACGCCCGAAATCGCCCACGCCCATGCCCATGCCGTCCATCGCCATCTGTGTTTTGCAGTGATGAACAACACCTCCCTACCCACCTCTTCCTTCTTCCCTGCCTTCTTCCCAACCTCCCCTGTCTGCCTGTGTGTGTGCAAATCTCGTGGCGAGAAATCCAACCTAACCCTAACCCTGGGATAAAAAGAAGGGGAAAACATTCCGGGGATGCTGACTGGCTGGGCTGGACTGGGTAAATTACAGCTACACATACATAAGTGCTCAGCCCAAAGTGGGTTTTTTTGGGTTGTTGGCTAGCTTGTTTGAGAAAGGAGAAATTGATATGGAGCGATAGAAGAGTAGGAAGGAGGGGCAGGAGGGGCGAGAGGGATCGGGCTGGCTGCGAACTGGTGGGGCGCACAGATGTTGTACGTACCTAGCTAGGGTTGAGTGAGAAATTGTAGATAGGTACATAGATAGGATAGGATAGCTAGACGTTCTCCACCCCTCCCTCCACAGAGCCGCGTTGTCTGTCTGTCTGGCTGGCCATGGGTTGGAGTGGCAGCATGCTAGCTAGCTTATCGGCGCCGAGTGAGAGGACGTGCAACTGCGCGAAAAAGCGCACCGTGGCCGATGGGGCCCGATGCGAATTCTGGAAAGAACGGGCGGGGCTGAAGGAGGGGTGAGAAGGGTGGGGAGGGATTGGTGGGCAATTTACAGAGAGGGGGAGAGAGGGGTGGTGGAATTGAGCAGTGAGGTAGGTGTGTTTGTGTTTAGTGGAACATTTGCATGCTGTTTGTTGTCGCCGTCGATGTCGATGTTAGCTGTGGTTTGGTTTGTGGTGAGGTTTGGGGGTTGTACTCCCGGATTGCGTAGTGGGATAGATAGCTAGGATGGCTGGCTGACTGGGTGGTAGTCTGGATAGCTGTCTGTCTCTCTGTGTCTGTGTCTGTCTGTATCTCATGTATGTCCTGTCTCTCCGTCTCGTGACCCGCAGACCACAGTAGTGTCCTACGTCCCACCGCCGCTCGCTCGGCCCCTGAAATTCGAAATGAAAAGTGCCCCCAAGGCCAAACGTGTACGTCAAGGCAGATAAACACGAGAGGAGAGCTCGAGTAAAGAAAGTATTGCAAACAGAACCTGTCACTGTCGCGCTCCTAGTGGAGTGGCATATCAAATAATTAAAGAATTTGAATTTTTCACGCACACACATACTCACACTCGCACAGGTACACATCAACTATGAAACAGTAGCTGATGCTAGCTAGCTAGCAAGCTAGCTGTCTGTCTGTCTGTCTGTCTGTCTGCCCTCAACTAAATTTTTCTTCCCAGCTTATGCAGCGCACGTGCGCAATTAGTGCATATTGTTACAATTGCGTGCGAAGCTTATAACTATAATTATATATATATATATCTAGCTATGTCATAAGGGCATATATTACAATACTAGCGCTTTCCACAAGTGAATGTTTCACCGTGTTCCAGCTGCGACGGCAATCTCGAGTAAGATTTCTTAAGAACATGTGGAGAGCTCATGTCTGTACCCGCCGCGCAGGATGTACATGTAGTTATCGATAACAGCGGTACGGTATGTACGGTTATACGGTACCTTACTGTGTTACCAGTTAAAACCTGACCCTTAGTTACCCCGAGTGACCACCTGTGAAGGAGGCTCTCTCTTTAACTAGGAGGAGGGGAGAGCCCTAACCCTGTAACCCCCCCACCACCACCACCACCACCACCACCACCACCACACCCCTCAATATTTTGCTTCTGTCTAGCTGCTAGGTACATACATACGTGCTATCGAAGGAGGGTCCTGAAACCCGTATACGCACCGCACCCGCACACACACGGAGATACTGCTGATGCTCAAGCAAATGGCGAAAACGACCATACCGTCGGCCCTCAAGTTTGAGCTTACAGCCCGCTGCTCTGTCGGTCCCCCTTTTCTGTCTCTTCTTTTTTTTTTTTCTGCACCTAGCTACATACATGTAGATAGCTCGCCAGAGACACACGCATACACATGTGTAGATTATAGCTAATAACAGCGCGGTGATATTAAATGTAGACCACAAGAGCCCGAGCCTCGATCCTACAGCTCCCCCACGGCACGGTCCAGACGCCGCTGTTCATGCCTGTCGCAACCCAGGGCTCGCTGAAGGGCCTGACCCCGGAGCAGCTAGAAGCTACGGGATGCCGCCTCTGCCTAAACAACACCTACCACCTCGGCCTCCGTCCCGGGCAGGAGGTGCTCGACACCATCAAGGGTGCGCACGCGCTGCAGTCATGGCCCCATAACATCCTCACCGGTGCGCACCCCCGTCTCCGCCCCTCGCCGTAGTAGCAGTACCAGTAGCTGACACTCTCTTCCATCTAGACAGCGGCGGGTTTCGCTCCCCTCCCCTCCCCAGCAGAGAAGTTGCACGTAGGGAGCATTAATACTGACTGACTGGCTAGGTTCCAAATGGTGTCTCTCCTCGACCTGGCCACCGTCACCGAGCGCGGCGTCGAGTTCCTCTCCCCGCATGACGGCACGCCCATGCTCCTGACCCCGAGCACTCCATCGCGCTGCAGCACAGCATCGGCTCCGACATCATCATGCAGCTCGACGACGTGATCGCCACGACGTCGGCCGACACTGAGCGTATGCGCGAGGCCATGCTGCGGTCTGTGCGCTGGTTGGATAGGTGTATTGAGGAGCACTCGAAGCCGGATCCAATGGCGGCCGTAGAGGGACAGACGTATGCGAGTAGGCAGAACCTGTTCTGTATCATACAGGGAGGGCTGGATCTGGAGATGAGGAGGGAGTGTTGTGAGGAGATGGTGAAGAGGGGGACGCCGGGGATTGCGATTGGTGGATTGAGTGGTGGGGAGGAGAAGGAGAGTTATTGTAAAGTGTAGGTATTTTTTTGTTACCTTTTTGGGGGGGACAGTGGCGAGGATTGATTGGGAGGGGGTGCTGATGGAGATTTGAGGGTAGGGTGAAGGCGTGTACGGAGATGCTGCCGGAGGGGAAGCCGAGATATGTCATGGGCGTGGTAGGTCCCTCCTTTCCTCTTGTACCGTTTGAGAGCGGCGGTTGATGGTGGAAGAAGGGATATCCGGAGGACCTGATAGTCTCCGTCGCACTGGGTGCCGACATGTTTGACTGCGTCTGGGGCACCCGCACAGCTGTGAGTCTCCCTGTCCAACTTTTTATCTACAAGGGGAGGAGAAGAAGACATCTGGACTATGTGAGGGGTCAATGATACCCGTGACCGGAAAAACGGAGGCCGCTATAGCAAGGGTGTTTATAGATACGCCACCCACAAAAGGCTATAGGTCTGGAAACTCCGGGGGTCAATGATCTGATCACCAGTTTTCGATTCACACTTTTGGAGGGGTGACATCTATACATCCCACTCGAAGAAGCGGCCTCCCTTTCCAGTCACCGGCATTATTAACCCCCCCCCACGTATCCCCTTTTATAAAACACCCCCTCCCCCACTCCATAAATCTCCCCAACTCAACTCTAACCACCCACTACAGCGCTTCGGCAACGCCATAACCTCCTCCGGCGTCCTCAACCTCCGCTCCTCAACCTACGCCACCGACTTCACCCCCATCGACCCGCACTGCCAATGCCCCGTCTGCCGCCCGCTCGACTCGCCCGCGCCCCCGCTCCTCAACTCATCCATCTGCCCGCCCTCATACGCATCCGAGGGCGAAACATACACAGCCAAGGGCATGGGAATCACAAAGGCATACATCCACCACCTTGTGGCGAAGGAGACGGTGGGCGCGCATCTGCTCACGATGCATAATGTGGCGTGGCTGCTGGCGCTGATGGCCCGCGCGAGGGAGGCGGTGGTGGAGGACCGGTTTCCGGCGTTTGTGAAGGGGTTTTTTGAGGAGTGGTATCAGGGTGATAGGGGGCGGTATCCGGGCTGGGCGGTGGAGGCGTTGAGGGGGGTGGGGGTGGATTTGTTGGAGTAGTAGAGAGGGGGGGCGGGGTGGCGGGGTGGCGGGGTGGAAAAATAGATAGATACATTACTAATGTCTGTAGAAATGCCGTCCTGTTGTTTTGGCGTGTTTTGGTTTTGCGTTGATGTGTTCCGACCCGGTATAGAGTGCGTGGTGATATGGGTAGATCTAGATACAAGTGCCGGGGGCGGCGCAGCGCATGGAGAATCATGCGTGCTGACTCGTGTGTGCGGGTGAGAGTGAGATCTGATGATGTTGAAATCATGCACCACCAATAGAAGGATTATGCGCGAAATTAGGAATCGAGCTCTAGAAGATCAATGCTGGGCTAAAGTAAGCCTGAATTAAATACTTCAATTCACTCCGGCTTGCGATATGGTAGGCATGAAAGTGATGATGATCGAGAATACTACATGTAGCTAGATGGCGCTGTTATTTTATCGTGATGAATGAGAATGATATTCAGTATATTCACATGTAAGAAAGAGATAGAAGGAGGAAGACGAGGATGCAGCCAATTCATCCAAGAATAGGGCAGCGAGGCAGGACAGCAAGACAGGACAACAAACCCTCTTTACAGGCGGACCTACATATGAGCAGCCAACGACTATGTATTTCAACTGGTGAGGGCTTGAGCAGTAGATATTGAATGAGGACTTATTTAATTGCCCCATGGATAGCGGTTGTTGTTTTATATATTGGGGTCGTTTTTTTTTTCTTTTCTTTTCTTTTCGTTTTTTAGAGTAATGTTTACGCTGTCTTTTTCGTGTCTTCCGGTCATGGGCGGTGCAAGATCATGAGGTGTCATGGGGTTACAAGGCGATTATACATAGAATAGATCTAGTTAGCTTATGATATTTTTTTTTTGGCTGTTAGACCCAACCGAGTGATTTGTGGTGACTGGAATAAATAACTCATAACCGAAATGGTGTTGATACAAAGTGCATCTTATAGGTTTGTCCATAGGTGAGCTTTTATTAGTATGGATCACTATGAGAGGCTATATCTATTATTTTGGAGACCTGATTTTCGGGTGTCCTACTTGAATTGAAACCAAGCTGCTTGAGCATAAGTGTAACACTGGCAATACTGCACATATATTGCTGTATTCACAAAAATACGAGTGAAAAAAAAGCTGTAAAAGCCTATGTATGTATAGGTGACCTTCTACAGATATGTCTACAGGAGTATTGATATAGACAGCCTACGCCGGAACCCGTACATTTACAGTGTGTGGTGAATAATAGATATACGGGGTACCGGGCTTTATTTCCAATGCACAGTGGTAACCGGTAGTAGAATTGATTTTTATTACTATTACTTCTACCCCAGCATACTCCTCTTCCTCCCCCTCATCCTCACATCCTGCAGCCTCCTCAGCACCGTCTTCCCCCCCTTCCAGCTCCTCCCATAAGCGCTCAACACATCCTCAAACAGCTTCTCCGCCTTCGGATGCGTACTACTGAACGCCCTCTCCAGCACATACAGATCCACGGCCTTATCCTCCTCCTGCGTGCTGACCTGGCCCAGCCCAAAATCAATCAACACAACCTCGCCCGCGCCGCCCTCCTGCTCTTCCACCCCCCCAACCTTCCGGACCATCAGGTTACTGGTCGTCAAGTCCCCATGGACAATATCCGCCTTATGCAGTCTCCCGACGGCCTCTCCCACACGAACCATCATGGCGTCCACCTTGCCCTCGCCCCCCGGCGATGCCAGGATCGCATCCAGCACCTGCCGAACACTGGACCCGTCGATCCACTCCATGAAGATGGAGCCATTCGCCTCGTCGACGAAGTAGACCGCCGGCACGGGGATGCCGAGGCCGCGCGCGCGGACGAGGAGGCGGGCTTCGGAGAGGACTCGGTGCTTGGTTAGGCGTGCGTCGAGCGTTGGGTGGCGGTAGGTCTTGCGGGGGCGGTGCTTGAGTAGTGCGGGGAGCGTGGGGACGAGGAAGGTCGTGCGGTAGACGAGTGCTTCGGCGCCTTGGGATATTAGTGTTTTTGGAGTGGCATCGGACGGGTCGGGGGGTGGGGCTGTCATCGTGAGTTTTGGTGGGCGAGGGTAGGAGGAGATGGTGAGGTTTGGTGGGGTCGGTGGGTCACGTGCGTGTCCCGCTGGAGCTCTTGGCGGGGAAATGATAGTTTGTGCAGTATTTATTGCGACTGCGAGTGATGCGTTGAGACTCTGTATATGTTGGGGTAGCTTGGTATCGTGGGTCAGGAAAAGTCAGATATTTGAAGTGATGCCTATGTATGCTTATCCCTCGTGGTTGCGTCAATGAAGCTCTTTCATTGCACTGATTTAGTAGCAAGTTTATCCATGCCCATGGTGGCTGTTTAACAAATACTAGTTTCACAAATATCCGTTTATCCAAACACAAATCAATGTGACTTTAATTCGGTCATAAAGAAAAGCGAAATAAGAAACCACAACTTCCCAGTACCCAGTCACCTAATGAAAGTAATAAAACACAACGCCTCTCATTATATCAACCAGGACTCCTACTACCAATAACGAGAAGCAGGTATGCAATAACCAAAAAAACGATGGAACCAAGAAAATCATCAACCAAGAAAAATATGTAGGAAAAGAAGTCCCCACCACGAATGTAATTATAACTAAATCTACACACGTAAAGAAGTCTGATACTATTTCCTGGGCCAACTTGCTGCCCCTACATCCTTACCGATCCATCGAGGGGTTTCGCCCGTGTTTTCTTCATGATATTAAATCCAAAACTTATTTTGGGGGGGGGGGGGGTCGATGATCGTGGATCGGTTATATGTATTAAATCCGAGAACTGTGCGTAGAGCACTTTTTCCTTTTCGATCTAACTCAGAGATGTCCGCGCCTTTTTCGATGAGAAGCTCGGCCACAGATTGATAATTGTTCCAGAGAGCTAGGTGTAGAGGACTATTTCCGTATTCATCTACCCCAGAGATGTCCGCGCCTTTTTCGATGAGAAGCTCGGCCACAGATCGATAATTGTTCCCGAGAGCTAGGTGTAGAGCACTATTTCCGTATTGATCTAATCCAGAGATATCCGCACCTTTTTCGATGAGAAGCTCGGCCACAGATTGATAATTGTTCCCGAGAGCTAGGTGTAGAGCACTATTTCCGTATTGATCTACTCCAGAGATGTCCGCGCCTTTTTCGATGAGAAGCTCGGCCACAGATGGGTCATAATCTTTGTTCCAGAGAGCTAGGTGTAGAGGACTATTTCCGTATTCATCTACCCCAGAGATGTCCGCGCCTTTTTCGATGAGAAGCTTGGCCATAGATAGGCCAAACCTATTCCTGAGAGCTAGATGTAGCGTGCTGTCACCATGATTATCCAATGCTAAGATATCGGCGCCTTGTTCGAGAAAAAGCTTAATTATCTCTAGACTAGTATGCTTAATAGCCAAGTGTAGTATATCCCCCCATGCGGATTTGAAGCGGAGATGTTGACACCTTTTTTGAGGAGGTTCTCGATTGAATCTAGAGTAATTTTCTGTACCCGGTGAGGATTAATGTTGCGTGTTCCCCCATTTTCGAGAAGATACCGTGATAGTTCTAAGTGATCTTTCCTAGCGGCAATGTCTAAAGCATTGTATCCATTGTTGTCTATCATTGAGAAATCGGCTACTCTATTTTCAACTAATATTTGGACGATGTTTTCGTTTAGTCTCGAAACAGCAAGGTGTAGAGGGGTTTGTCCGAAATTATCTTGGGCCGAAGCTTCAATAGGAGTTAAACAGATAATAGTTGCCGAGTAGCCTCCTCGTTTCCCCGGTGAGCAGCTATGTGGAGCGCTGTACGCCCACTATTAGTCTTCGAAGAAGCACTCGTTCCTTTTTCAAGTAAAAGTCGAACTACTCCAACGCCCCTCAGGGAACTAGGATCGGATGTTTTGGGACTGGGGTTGGTATTGAGATCGCCGATAGTTGCATAATGAAGTGCCGTATACCCAAGGTAGTCGCAGGCTGATATGTCGGCTCCATTGCAGAGTAAAACTCGAACAACTTCTTCATAGCCTTTGAGTGCTGCTAGATGTAACGCGGTCTTTCCGTGGTGATTATGAATTGATGTATCGATTCCCTTCTGAATAAGTAATTCAGTCACAAGTTCTTGACCCTCGGACGCCGCGACGTGGAGAGCAGTCTGCTTATGACTATCCAGAACTGAAATACTGCTCCCACCGGCCAATAGCATCTCGATGACTTTACGATGTCCAAGAGCTGCTGCTACGTGCAGTGGTTGTTGTTGTTTTGGGAAACTATCATAGGCTGTGTGTTTTCCAGAGTTTTCGGGAAAATTTTTGGCCTGTAAGTAAGAGGATACGTTGCCCGGTGATGTTACGAATTTGTGAATGATATCATTTGATAGCTCCTCGTTACATACCACCAGATGGCCGGTCAAATAACGCACTGAATAATCAAAGAATTGGCATGATTTGTATCGAGCTCTAACCTCATCATTCGACATGCAGGCACCCTCAGTGAACACATCAAATAAGAGATAGGTAACACAATTATTGACGACTTGGTAGCTTGAGTGTAGTGGGGAGATGACGCATGTCCTGATGAAATATTCCTTAACTGTATAATGGGCTAGCCGGATAGTTCGGCTGCTTTCGTCGATAATGACTAGGCCAACACAAACTCCGAGAAGAGTAACCCTATCTGGGAAATCTCCGTCGTCTAGAACAAATGAATTCTCTCGAATAGATACTGCGATTTGTATCTCTTCTATAGTAAGGGTTCGCCGAGAATTGACTAACCATACGAAGATTTTCAAGGCCAAGGAAAGGCAAGAACCACCTTGCCTACGGATACTCTCCATGGCCCTGTTATATGTTGGATCTAAAGGTCTTTCCCCGGTAGGAGAATTCTTAAGTCTTTCCAGCGCTATCATAATTTGGTTTTTTGTCGTTTGCTCGCAAATATGCTTAATGTGAAAATGAACCAACAAAAACCTAGACCTGTTAGAATGATAAGCAAAAACGGCGTGAGTATACTACTTGCATCCCTTGAGAACAGTCTACAAGCTCAGACATAATCCTCCTTTCAAGATTGCGATTTCCTTGACAAAGGCGTTTTGCACGCGGGTTGTTGCTAATTTTCTCCTTGATATAAAGACGTATATCTTCCTCCCTTGCCAAAATATCTATTTTTACCGCATTTCGAAGTGATTCTTGGACATCTTCGGGGTAGGGCCTACTGGTTATGAATATATTCATCCTGTCTCTTGACATGGAATGAAATAATTCAAGGAGTTCATTCCGTTGGCTATTTTCATCGTACTCGTCTAGGGCGTCGAAAACAAAATAGGTTTGGGGAAAAGAACGTGTAACTTCGAGTAAGGTCGAATATATCTCCTCAATATTAGGTCTCCTCCCTTCGTGCTGATATTTTGCGTGGAGTGTCTCGATCCCAGCATGAAGGCTTGGTAACTGATACGCTAGCTGTTTTATGAGGCTGGTAATGACATTTTCGGGGCTCTGTTGATCAAGATTCTGGTAATCGAAATATATGTAGGCCACGCCGTAGCCCTCTGATGCTGTCTGAGATTTTAGATGATCAATCACTGCAGAACTGATTTTGGCCATAATTGTCAGCTCTAGTCATTGAAGAACGGTCATAATCCTATATATTATCTAGCAAACAGAATAAATTATACCTTAGGAATGTTTTTCCGGCACCCGCTATTAGGGATATCTCTTTTAGCATTGGGCACGATAATTTCATGAAATTTGGTTACCTACGGATACCATGGCCCCAAAGCAACCGCCCTTGACTTTGACACATACGCCAGCCCACATACTCGGGCGTTTGTAAAATCCATTGAGCTGTATTCGGTTGCCTACGTTTTCTGATTTCGTCGTGCTTACCGTGAAAGTGTTCTGGTGATAACCAATCCAGCACACACTTACGTTTCTCAGCTGATAAACAACTACTAGTTAGGCATCCACCGACATGGAAACCAGACGAGACCCTAACACTTACCACATTGTTGAGTATCTATATCTTTAATGGCACTATTAGTGCGACCTAAATTTAAATCTCTCCTAATATCTTGAACAACAAAATTCGTGTCTCGAACGGTGGAACTGGTCCCCTCTGCAAGTGTTCGGATATTGTTTAGTGTAAGACTCGTGTTCTCGACAATGTTCTGGACAGCTTCAACAGATAGGTTTGTGCCCTGGACTAAGTTGCTGATATCTCGAACACCTATAATTGTATTCTGTGTAAGTTTTTCAATTAGTTGGATGTTGAGTTCTGTTTTCTGGACGCTTTTCGTGAGGTCATTTGAAAGCGATCTTTACGGTTCAGTTAGTATTCATTGAAAATTCTCTTTCTCGAATTAAGCCTTACATTTGATCAGCACTCAAAGCAAATATGAATAATGATTTATACCGTTCGATTCTCGATATATGTTGCATTGTTTCCGCCTCTTGTAAAGGCCATTTTAGTCTTTCCACGGACCCTCTAAACCCTGTCTTACTCGCAGATTCAAGCTTTGATATGACCGCATTTAACTCCGTAGCAATTCCATGCAATGGGCCATTATTATGGCTGAGTGAGTGCAGTACGTGTAACTTTTGGGTACTCTGGTCTGCTATATGTTGAACCGAAATCAGGACTTTTCCAAGGGTTCCTAGCTCGCATACAAGATCTCCTAGGTCCTTTGGCGCTCGTCTTACCCCGCGAAGATATTCGTAACTCAGGGTGGTCGCTTTTCTGACCAGCTCCACGATAGCGATAATGCTTGCCGTAAAACCAACAATCTCAGCCATGTTGTATGTCGATATTTGTCTGGTGCGATATGCTGAGTTTTATGGTTGTAGAGTGAATATAAAGATGATGACTCTCAGCCTTGTCTGACGCGCCCAGACCTGTTTTGAACTTCCCTGCACGCCCGATCAAAAACATTACTACTTCCAACTACCTAGGCTTCTAGTAGATTAAATACCTGGAAGTTTGGCCTGATGGCTAAGGGATAAAATAGGTAAATATCTATATAAAATGTAGCTAGCTATAGCCCAGGAGCTATAGAAAATTCTTATACCTGATATCCGGGTATGTGTTTACCTAAATACCTAGGCGTGCAGTAAAAACACTGGGTATAATATCCTGTAAAACAATTTGTTGTTCTTTATGCTGTGATGAATCGAATTTTGTTCATGGGTTGCGCTTCAAAAAACGTACTACTATATAAATATCACTCGATTTCTCCTAAAACGCAATTGATTATATGCTGCTGTAGTCACAAAAGAACGGATCATGTCTATGGCTTCAACTGACACAGACAACAAAGGTTACTACCTCTGTCTGATACTTATAAGCTTGTAATTGAATGAAGAAATTTTTTTTTATAAAGCCCTATATTTCGTACATTGATAAGGGTGAGTAAAGAAAATTTAATAAGCTTTGATTCTTTCTACGGCTTAATACAGTAAAGTATTTATACAATAGTGATAACATGTAATCAGACTCAACAATTTTTATTACCATAACGCCCGTAACACAGTAGGAAAAATAATTATCGTACCGAGACAACGTAATAAAACATTTCGAACTTTGACAGGAGACCAATGATGTGGCGAAAGAATCGTTGCAGTAGCACAGACGTTTACAGAAACTCTCCATCTTCCCTCCTCTTCCCAAATACCACCCCAACAACCTTTCCTGCTTGTCGAACCTTCACCCAACCATCTACTCCTTCCCTCTCCGCGATAAGCCTAACTGCCATCTCCGCCTGCTCAGAACTAACGGGATTCCTAACGCTTTCTCTGATTCCCTCCACTACCGACTTCATTGTCATATTGCTTCCTCTGCCAGCAAGCCCCTTTAGAATTGGCTCAATGTCAGGAATACGTTGACGGGCTGCATCACGCTCCTGCTCCTCCTTTGAAGGTGCTTTGGCTGCCTCAAGAGCAGCGGCTTCAGCTTTGGCACGAATACGTGAGAGTAGGGAGTCGCCACGGACGACAGGTGCACCGACAGTTTTGGCTTTGACGGGGGATGATAAGAGTGCGGGTTTACTGCGCTTCAGAAGATCGTCAAGGCGCTGTTGACCCTTTGAGTGAAGAACCTTTGATATTGTTTTGGCTCTGTGATGGGCATGTATCTTTGCCAGAGGAATTGTGAGGACTGGGGCGAGAGGGGCCGGAGTGGCGTTTCCCTCTTCACCTTCTTCGCTCTCTTCTCCCTCTTCTTTTATTTCGGACTTGGCCTCATCCTCCTCGGTTCTGAGCCTATCCCCATCTTCCTTAGAGTTGGTCTCCTTATCCTCGACATTGGGACTGACCTCAGTGCCTTCGTCTTTGGACAAGGGCTCGATGAATGAAGATGGCGGTGTGGGAAGGGCGGTTTGAGCTTTGTTCGACTCGTCGAGGAAGGATTGGGTCCGTGATAGGAAGTCTTTCTTCAAGATATCGGTGTTTGTGAGTTTACGAGCCTTGGTCTTCTCAACAAAATCGATACAGATCTTATTTGAGCCATAATCAATCAACTTCAATCCACCCTCCGTATTAAAGTGCTCTTCTGAACCTTCCGCTCCAGGAGAGTAGTGTGAAAGGTACACAATCCTCCGTACATCCTCCAGTGTGATGTTGCGACGGCATAGCCTCTCGACATGTAACTTGATAGCAGAGAATACCGGCGGTTGTATGCTATTGCTGTGATGGGCTCTATGTAGTAGAAGCGCGGTGAGAAGAGAGCTATGGAGTGATTGCAAAAGTATCAAATCCGGGGGGAGTTTGGTGGGCGTTGCGGATGCAGATGTAGGGGGATCATCCGGAAGCGCTGAACTTGAGGCAGCAGGCGGAGGAGGGAAATCCGTACTTTCAAGAGGACTTATTTCCCGCTTTTTTGCAGGTGTAGAGATATAATCATCAAGCAATGTCCGCTTCCGTTTACCACCTCCAGGAGTGGCAGCGGGTGGAGACGGCGACCTGTGGGCTTTTGACTTCTTTGCAGAACCGATAACTTTTGCGGGTTGAGGTTTGGTTGGTTTGGCTTTAGCTGGCGTAACCTCAGTTGACTCAGCTTTTGCCTGCTCAATTTCGGCCAGTTCAACTTTGGCCAGTTCAACTTTGGCCTGCTTAAATTTGGCCTGCTTAACTTTGGCCGGTGAGGGTTTTACTGATTCAACCGGTGGTGCCAAGTCAACTTTTGTAGGTTCCTCGCGCTTGACAACGACATCTTCGTCGCCATCCTGCCTAATCTCAAAAGCAGGAACAGAGGCGACGGTATCCTTCGTTTGCTCCTTTTTCTTTGTCTCTGTGATGCTTCCAGCCTTCCCTGCCAGTTTCCCGGGCCTTGGAATGTTCTTCCCGACGGTTGAGAACGAGTGGAGTGTCTGTGTCTTCACGGCTGCCGCAGCGGCAACTTTGCGTTTCAGAGGCATTGTTATAGTTGATAATACTCTGTACACACTGTTTGTTGACTGAGCTACCAAAGCAGCGAGAAGTATTGTACAGGAATATTATACAGGTCTTGTTTTGGCGGGTTTTTTCTTTTCTTCCTGGGTATGGTGCGGCAGCGAGGGAGGAGGATGAAGAAGAAGAAAGGGAAGGGGATGGAATGAGGAAGGCTTTGTTGTTACCCCGTTGCCTAGGCTACGGATTCCGAAGTGACACGCGCAAAGTAGAAAAGTTGGACGTGTTTCTTAAAATTTGAAGTGGAAAGATGCTTTCTTAAGGCGTGCTTACATTTCAGGGGTTTTGTATTAAATGAACACTAAGAGTTACATGTACTATATCTTTATAAAAAGAATGACAATAATCTTGATATGTTGCCTTCATTAGAGATAGAATTTGATCATTCGCCGAGAAGATATGCTCTGCATACTACGTAAAGCTTAAAAAGATTCTATTTTGACACCTTAGCGTTACAACTGAGTACCTTCTTAATACAATACCATATCAGTGAAGGGTAATAAGAGCACTAGCTGGACTGACAGAGGCAGACTGAACTCATAGTTGAAATTCTTCTTCAATAACAATCAGCTGGGGCTGTAAATGTATAAAAATTAATCTATGGAATAAAACGGGTATTAAATAATTTAATGATAGCAGAGTTCCGTATCAATTGTTAATATTATTCCTGCGTGAGTTACTATTTCCGCTACCACTTCAAGATATTGTCAAGCCCATATGCTTTGACTGCTATCAGATGGATTGATTGATGACTAAGACTCCCACAAACCCGCAGGCCCGAAAGCCGCCTGGAACGGCAACGGTAGGAGACGCTGAATGACGCCCTCTAAGGAAGGCGCGTGTGTGCATAAACTTGCATAAACTAGGTAAGTCTCAAGACGAAACCCCCCCTCCATCCGAAATCGCTCTCCATTGCTCCCCTCCTCTCTTCTCCTCTGTTTAACGCTTGTACCTAGAATACCTACAAGCCTCTTCACCTCTCTTCTAAATTTACCTCTAAAATCATGTTCGCTGCTCGCTCTGCCTCCCGGAGCCTCTTTGCTGCTCGGCCACTGGTTCAGTCAAGAGCCGCCCTGGTAAGAGTTTTTTTATTATTTGCTTTTTCGTTGAAACATATCGAAATTCAACACGGAAAACTTTTCTGACTGAAACGAAACAATATAGTTCCGAAGAGCATATGCCACTGAGCAGAAGAAGATCGCCGAATTCAAAGGGAAGAAAAATGCAGCTGTTCGTAACCCCCACTTTTCCCGCAGGATACTTGTAGTAGTAGTGCTACATCAACACATCGCCGCCGGGAACAACGAACGAAGCGGGTTTCCCGGAAGATGCTTTGATGGGTGTGCTAGTAGGCGATAGAGTCAAGTTCATGAGTTGATACGGCTTGTAGGGAAACTACACAGTAACCTTCATTGAGGGTGACGGTATCGGCCCCGAGATTTCCAAGTCAGTCAAGAGCATTTTTGCTGCTGCTAGGGTATGCTCTACGAATCCTGCAGTTTTCTTCACTTTCCTGTCCTGCCCCATCTTGTGAAACCTTTATCGCTATTCCGAGTGATAAGCCCATACCCCACCTCATTTTCATGATGTCAGCGGCTGATACAGCGCACAGGCCCCTATCGAGTGGGAATCCGTCGATGTGACCCCAATTTTGGTAGACGGAAGAACTGCGATCCCCGATGCTGCGATCCAGTCCGTCAGGAAGAACTTGGTCGCCCTCAAGGGACCCCTAGCTGTGTGTTTCCTGAAGCTAGCGTTTAGTGTAGTAAGACATTTTAAAAGCTAACCCCATCTCAGACCCCCATCGGAAAGGGTCACGTATCACTCAACTTGACTCTTCGTCGTACCTTCAACCTTTTTGCCAACGTCCGTCCTTGCCGCTCTATCGCCGGTTACAAGACTGCGTATGATGATGTCAACACTATCCTCATCCGTGAGAACACCGAGGGAGAGTACTCCGGTATCGAGCACGTCGTTGTCGACGGTGTCGTTCAGTCCATCAAGTTGATCACCAGGGAGGCTTCCGAGAGGGTTCTGCGATTCGCTTTCCAGCACGCCCAGATGATTGGAAGGAAGAAGGTCCGAGCTGTTCACAAAGCCACCATCATGAAGATGAGTGATGGTTTGTTCCTGAACACCGCAAACGAGATCGCTAAGGAGTTCCCGGATATTGAATTCGATGCTGAGTTGCTGGACAACGCTTGCTTGAAGGTAAGTTAAGCTCCTTGAGCTATCGAACAAATGGGAGCCTGATAAGAACTATGAATAGATGACTACCAACCCCGATCTCTACTCCGACATTCTCCTTGTTATGCCTAACTTGTACGGAGACATTCTCTCTGATCTCTGCGCTGGTCTCATCGGTGGTCTTGGTTTGACCCCCTCCGGAAACATCGGAGACGAGTGCTCCATCTTCGAGGCTGTCCACGGTTCTGCACCTGATATTGCTGGAAAGGACCTTGCCAACCCCACTGCGCTTCTCCTGTCTTCAGTCATGATGTTGCAGCACATGGGACTCTCAGAGCATGCCGAGAAGATCCAGAAGGCCATCTTCGCAACCCTTGCTGAGGGCAAGTCCTTGACTGGAGATCTGGGCGGAAAGTCAACAAATACCCAGTACGCCGAGGCTGTCATCAGCAAGTTGTAAACACCTTTTCTTTTTTCAGCATAGAATTGAGAGGGTCAGTTAGAGGGAATTTGAGGGTTAATGGTTGAGAGATCATGCGCCCATGGGCTTGAGATAGATGGGTACAATAGTAGTTAGATGTCTTCCTGGAGGGTTGGATTTTTTTTAAAAAAAGACTCGTTTTGTTTCCCACTGCCCCCCCCCCCCCCCCTTTCCCATTCCCCCATTTCCTTTTTTGCGGTCTTCATGGCGATGTCGGGGGTGGTGGTGTGAGGTGTATGATGGGAATATATCCGCGGTTTTTCTCTTTCTTTCAAACATGACCTGAGTTTAATCGGATGCGGAAGGGATCTACGGGATCGTGCACGTGCCGCGGAGAGATGCGCCCTGGATTCATGTCTTATCACTCGCGTGAGATTTAGGTGACAATGCAGACATCCACCTACAACCTGAAGTCTCATACTTCCCACTCCTATTCGTCTAACAATCCTATACTACATGTAGTCAGTAATGTTGCCTGTGGCGCCCGAGTGACACTCCATGACCCAAACGAAACATCTCACAGGATAAACGAAGCAATCACGAAAGAGTACCACTGTAGATAGGCTAGGGACAGTCTATATAGTGGGCTGAGGATTTGGACCATATGGCCCTGTTTGCACATAGAAACCTGGTTCTAATGCAACGGCTCTAGGCACCGCCCTCAACCGTCAGCAAGGTGCGTGTTCATATCCCTTGCAATAATCATTGACTGTAGATTCCGTCATGTCCTATCCCATTCCCTTACACTATTAAAAGTTGTCACTACCTAGACTCACATTCACACACCAAACACCCATAACCTGGTCAGCTGGTCAGCTGGTAAGCTTATTAGACATGCATATATGCCACGTTGGTATTCTCTACACTCCCATTTTTCCCTCTCCGCTGCCTAACTCTCCGTCTTCCTAGCTTCTCCCCTTTCTCACACACTCCACACACCCATCAAAGAGCGCAACAAAATATAAACCCACCTCTTTCTATACAAAAAGACAACTTTCCTGGTCGCGGCTTACAATATTACACTGATACCCTACCATACCTAGACACCCTCTATGATCAAGGACTAAAAGAAGCAAGAAGAAGCAAAAAAAGAGAAGAAAACAAGAAGAAAGGGGGAAATTCTATTTTACAAGTATAAAAGCGACCACATGTAGAGTAAAATGACCCTACACATGCTTACACGCACCTTCACCGTCCAAAAAAAGAACATTTAAAAACACATTCAACAGAAGAAAAGGAAAAACACCAGCAAAATCCTATGGGGAAAAAAAAAGAGCCAGAAGAAAAAACAGGTACTAGAAGAAAGCTAACCTAAACCTAACCTAACCCAAGATAATTTTTGTACTCAGCCCCTCCAGAAACCCCGCAAGATCCTCTTTCCTTACCTCCACGACCGTCGCCTCAAAGGCATCGATCCTAATGCGCGCCTGGGTTGTGCTCGCCACCTCCTGGAACGCAATTCCGAACTTATTTCTTCCCCTCCTTCGCTCCTCCTCTTCATCATCCTCGTCATCCTCCTCTTCCTCTTCTTCCTCCTCTTCTTCCTCCTCCTCATCGCCGTCCTTCGCCGGCTTCTTCCCCTTGTCTTTCTCTTTCTCCTTCTCTTTTTTATTCTTCTTAGCACCTCCCGAGACTCTCCCGCCGGGGATTGTGCCAACGACGATATAGACTCCACGGCGCTCATTCAACGATGCGACCACAAGGGGAAGATGTTTTTTCCGCTCCTGCTCGCGCTCCTGCTCCAAGATTGCATCGCCGAGCCACAGTGCGAGCTTCGATACTGCATTCGGATGTGTAAAGATTGCAACGTCGGGGCCCTCCTTGACGACCGCAAGACGGTATGCACGCAGCAGGCGGATCTGACGCTTTTCGATGAGTGCTGTTCCCGTGCGCAGGATTGCGCGGTGCAGGTCCATTGCTGTTGGGAGCGCTAGTTTAAGGGCTTCTATGCTGCGGCGGGTTAGCTGACTTGGTATATTTGAGCCTGGGAGGGGGTGTTATACTCTTCCAGTGCGTCGTAGGCGCCCCAGAAGTTTTCGATCCACGTCTCGGATTCTCTGTTCTCCTCTCGGCGGCCCTCGGCCTCGGTTTCGATGGATTCGCCGTCGCCGAGACGGACTGCTGAAAGACCCTTTTTGCCGATTTCGAGGAGACCGCCAATGACGTATGCGACGTCTACGGCGCTCAAGCAGCCGCTCCAACCCCAACAGCGGACGAAGCCTTCTCGGACTACACCCTCGAGGCCGTATAGTGGCGCATATTTTTCTAGACGGTCACGGAGTGTGCGCTTTAGGTCCATATCCATGTGTGTGTAGCTCTGCTTGCACTGGTTGAGGGAGAATCCCATCTTCGCCAACAGCTTATGCAGGCGCTTCCGCCCGTGTTCTGACCAAATGTGTAGTTTAGTCCCCAGGAAGCTTGAATGCAGCATTGAGTCGTATAATGACCAATGCCGAATTAGCATGAACCGGAACTCGGGGGACATCCGTATCGCCTTATCGTCTGGTGATCGTGCTGTGGTCTGCAGTGAGTTATTGGTCGCACTGCTGGAACTGCCGCCAAAGCCGCCGGCGCTGCTGACCTCTGGGGGATTGAGACGTCGGACCTCGTCTCGGAGGACACTGCGGATCTGCTCTTCACGGGAACTGACCCAGCCCATATCTGATGACTTTTTCGGCGGCCCGGATGAAATACCGTGGCCGTAGATCTCGCCGGAGGAGACGCCGACAATTGCTAACCAGAGAAGATCGTTATCTTCGCGGCCAAGATCGGAGGCAAGGGAGTACAGAAGGCCGGAGATTGGTTCGCCGTACCAGGTACCTTGGGAGTAGTAGTTTGTGATTTTGGATTCGTGCTGGGTTCGGAGCTTTCGTAATTTTCGGCGGAGGTGCTTTGCGGTGGGCTGTGGACGGCGCGGTAGCTGCTGCGAAGGTGATGATAATGGGGAGTGGGATCGTGCGGGTGGAGGAGACGAGGCCATAGCTGTAGTAGGTACTGTAGTCGCCGAGAGGAGCGTATATGACTGTAGGAGCGGTGTTGAAGCGCCGGAAGATTCCTAGGGTCAATGATCAGTAGCTAGAAATCGTAAAAGTCGTAGACCTGTAAAATTCCAAATGCCATAAATACCTCATCATTACTACCCCGGCGTCTTCTCCGGACTCTCGAACTCCCATCGTCGTCCGAGACATCCTCAGGCTCATCCGAGCTCTTCCTCTTGCGCACATTCCCTTTGGCCCCGGCCAGCATCCCCGCATCCAGCAGGGCTCCACCCCCATCATCCTCATCCGTGCTGTGTGCGCTCGCATCCTCATCCTCCTCCCCTTCCTCCTCCTCCTCATCTTCACTCTCGCTCTCACTATCGGCCTCCGGCATCTCGACCAGCGCCTTGAATGCCACCCCCTCCACCCCGAGGTCCTCCTCGATATCCCCGTCGTCCCAGCACTTTACCCCGCCCAACTCACCAACACCATGCCTACCCCCCTTTACCTTCCCATCGCCCATAAAGACATTGTACAGATTCCACGGGCGGCGTCCGTCAACCACCCAGCACTCTACCGCCGCACCCAGGTCCAGGAATGCCGCAATATCCACGAGACCACCGAGGCCCAGACAGATCACAAATCGCAAGTCTTCATTATCGCGGACGAGGGTATCGTTGAGCCGCTCGAGCTCCTGGTACCCCGACACTGGGTGTATCTTGTGCGGGATGTAGTCGCGCTTGAGGAGGTGGGTGAGGATGCGTGTGGCGCAGAGGGAGTCGATGTCGAGGGCGCAGAGGATCAGGATAGACGGGTTGGTCGAGTGAGCGTGCGATTTGAGATGTGCATAGGCCGAGGCGAGGAGTGAGCGGGGGATGAACATCGTGGGGTAGTGCTGTGGCGGTGGGTTTTTCGACGGGCGACTGGTGGTTTTTCGGCGGCGACTTTTGGACGGCCCGGGGGTGTGAGGGGGTACGGTATTCGAGGTGTTGAACGCGTCCGACGCGTTGTATTAAGTGGTCTGAAAAAGAGTGGGCGGGATCCTGGCTTGTGCAACAACTTCAATGGATGGATTCGGCAGTGAATATCTCCTAACCTCCTAAGGATATCTAGGGAACGTTAATGGTGGGCGTAAAGAGAAAAGAGAGAGCGTGTGTGTGTGCAAGGTAAGAGCGATAATCATCCAATACGTTCGTTACGTAGAGTTAGGAGCAGTACTGAGATAGGAGCAGTGGCCGACTTCTGCTGCAAAGAGAGAGGGAGAGAAAAGAGAGGAGAGAGAAGAGAGACCCAGTGAGAGGGTTGGGGAGACGTGTAGAATGCAAATCACATCCCTGACTGACCTGACCGACCGACTGTCCCAGCCAGCCACTTCTCTCGTCCCCTGTCTTCCCCTGCTAGAGCGCGTACAGCACTTTACTTACATATGCAGGAGAGATTGCTTCTAGAAAATTACATTTCCGTCTAGGAACTCATATGAAATCTCCATTGCTAACGGTGCCTATATATATGAGTGAGTATCTGGAAAAACCTCAACTCAAGAATCCTTTCTTCAATTCCAAAAAAAAACAATCGTCCCGAGCGCACAGACCAATGATTGCACAATCCCGTCCTTTGTTCTCGGTAGCGATCAAGTTGCGGCTATAATCCATTGGGAACCCTAACCCACAGACGCACCCGACTCGGAAGAGTTCTCTTTCATGTCGAACTGTAGTTGGCTGTATTTGGGGTATAGTGAGAATAGTATTGGCCAGGGGTATTGTGTTGGGTGGAAGTGATATTCCATGGTCGAAGAAGTCCAGTGATATGCTATGAGGCCAGCCAACTATTTTCTCTTCTATGTTACCCTGGATCAATTCCATTTCAGGCTTGTGAATATATATCGAATACCGATTCCATCCTGCAATCTCGGTGTCTGTTACTAGGATTAGAAATTAAAAGAAAGTCTATTTTTCTCAAGTATTGGTACTCACTGCAAAATCTATGCCGGGTGTGAAATCCAGATGAAATCCCATGGGCACAGAAAACAACCAGCCATCATGTGCTGGGAGAAGTCATTGGTCCAATTATGATTAAACCTGGACAGGACAAAGCAATCCAGTCCCTTCCACTCAACCTGGGGGAGGGAGTAGCAGCTACTGCCAGGGGTGATTTAGAATGTTGTATGATATGACTTGCTGTCAAGTCCATGTCAGATATCCATTGAAATCCATCTTCGTGGATGAACAACATTGAGCTTTCCTCCCGGCCGTGTTGGTGCTGATTTGAATATCTCTGCCCAGCGCAGATGGGTCTTTGCTCCTTATGTCATCTGCAACCAGTCATCTATCATGAGAATCAGATCAATATTCAGGAAATCTGACAAAGAATAGGAGTAACTTAATTATACTTTACCTAGGAATAATATTAGCCACTGACGTTTTCTCTCTATTCTTCATTACCACGTCCGCACTATTTGGGGAGAAGCAGGCAGTAGGAATTGACAGAGCCAACAACCGGGTAACATTCCATCAAGAGTGCAAAATCAGAAGAAATAATCCTAAGCTGGGTAACAGCGGACTCGGGGAACTGGTAGCGGCGCAAGCTGCACGAATATTCACCACTCCACCAATCCATCTGCTCCCTCTTCGGCCATGATTACTACACCAGATCTATTATACTGCCTACAAGGTCTCTGGACATTTCATCACCAAGTCCTCTACCCCTTATTCCCCTCCGGAGACCGTAGCTCGAAACCCCATGACACAATGCGTAGTAGAGGACGAGGGGGCGGGGGCCCGACAACTTCGAACCTTACCAACACTCTATAATAACCCCACCAACAACCCCACTAACCCTACTACCAATACCTCAGTAGTTTGGCCCTACCAGTATTACTAGCTAATCTACCACACCGCCTCTCCACGGCAAAAAACCGAGTGAGACCCTGTGAGTATTCTTGACAATCGAGTGATAATTGATGAATCGAGTGATACCTTATGATTAATGGCGTGTGAGCATACATCTAGACAGGTAGATACGATCTGCGTTTACAGGATGTATGCGAGTGGGTGTTAACTTAGTAACTGGAATAGAGAGAATCGGCGAAGTGGATCCACCATAAGCATCTCAAGCATCATGGTTATAGTTCCTGATTCCACTAGCTTCGGCCTTGCTCATCACACGTCGAACGAGAGTGCATATCTCCGGGGGTGATAGATACAGTAAATATCAATCTGACCAGAACCTCATTTACTTCTGACATGATCTGGCGAATATTTGTGCGCAAGCCGCCTTCTCAGTTCTGATTTCACCCAAGCTCGAGATCTAGAGATACGAATATAAGTATTTATTCTGAGAATTTATTAACTACAATTGTATATAATATATATACACTACCTCGACTCCAATTACTACATGTCAACATAATCAACCCATGATACCAACCTTAACACCCGAAACAAACGAAAGAAAATACAGAGTGCTGACTCATACAATTACATCAAACTCTTTCCAGTGCTATCATGACTTCGGCTTCTTGGGAACCTCATAAAACCCAACCTCACCCGCGGGCGATATCACACGACACTTCAATCTCTTCTCCTTCGGTGGTACTGAGTGGTCCAAGTCCGAATTCCTCAACACATGGAAGATGGAGATGAAAGAAGAGCTGGTATCAATCTTTTCACGATTTAGTACAAGCGCATGTAGGCCGAGCACTGCAATAATCGCCGCAATACTCAGTGCAATTGAGTATGTAAGAACAAGCTCGAATGGCCTGTACCGATACACACTCTTCCACTCGACCGAAGTGCAGATCGAGCTTGTGTTGGCGGAGTAGTGGAGGATGGTATCCGAAAGTAAGGAGGCTGTCATCTTGTGCACCATGTTTTCAATGGCCGGCCCCAAGGGATGCATTGTTCTGTCAAAATTGACCAGTGGTGTCGCGCTTGCTAGGGTGGTCGCGTTTTCAGCAGGTTTCCGCTTGTAGCTGCCTTCGGTGACGCTGTTCGTGATGTCCCAGCCACGCTCTCCTTGGAATAACGAAATGAGAACGTCGGCGAGTGACCAGTTGGGCGCATATGCATAATCAAGGTGAGCGTCTTCGATGTTGTAAAGTTTCTCAGTAGCAACTACTGTGGGCTCCAGGAAATTGTGCCCGCTCATGGTCTCGTTTATCGTGTAGTGTGAAACGGAGGCTTGACATGAATAAGCGTGTTTTTTGCGGCATGCAATACGTGTGTCTGGAGCTGCCGGGGTGGTGTATAGGACCCAGAAGCTAGTGAGCGAGTTGTTCCAGCGCTGAGAATGGAATATTGGAAGATATGTGGTTGTGCTATCATTTCCTGGGGATTCGCAGTCTGCGAGAAGATTCTTATGCGGCTCAGTCCATTTGCCAATCGTATCCGGATCTATTTCGGTGCAGTTAACGGACGGTCCAAGAAACTCAATCGAATAGGTACAGTTTGGGCCGCAATGTTCTCTGACTGTCGAGCCGTACGGTACGCTGCTATCTTTTGCTGTGGTTTTCCCCGAGAATGCTGATGTCACAAAGTATTTCATGCCTTGTGAACTTTGGCGCAGATATCCTGAACTGGAGTTGAGATAGAGCATGTGTAAGTACGGCACATCTGTACGGTTCAATCGCATCGAATGTGGGTCTGTGTCGTAGCCAAATTTAAGAGAGTTGACCGTGCAATTAGTGCTTGAAAAGCGTGGTTCCATGACCACTGAAATCGTACTTGGCGTAGACAGCGTTGCAAGCGGTGCGTATAACCACCCCGCCGCAGCCAAGAGAGTTGCAATCTTTGCAAGTTTCACCATATCGAAATGAAGAAAGTGGCCTGGGTTAGAGGTGACACCGAAGATAGCATCAATACTCTTCAACGAAAACGACCGTTTACTGAGGGTATGCCATAACCATTGATCTCTGGACAAACCGCACAGGACCGCCAGAGAGTTGCCCAATATGTAGGCAAGACCTGTACCGATTCTGATAGTCCACTTCTGCTTCATCGCAAGTTCTCCGTCTAGACTTGAGTAGAAAATGTGATGACCGACACCGCTCATGAGGCCGACGAGAAAAAGGATGAGAATGACAGCGGGTTTATTCCATCCGACGCCGTGTATGACAGCAGTTTGGGACTCGGTAGGCTCGGTAGGCTCGGTAGGCTCAGATGCTGCTGGTGAAGGCTGGTCATTTTGACTTTGAATTGACCCCAACGGTCGTTTTTCGACGTCTGGAGACATAGGGGCTATAGTTTCGTCCGACATTGTTTATGGCGGGGTTGTTCCTGCCACGACGTAGATGGGGAAATATGTCTGCTATGTATGGGAGTGAGGATTTGTTAAAGCATAGATAAACTCTTATATAAATGAGGAATCCAGCTGAAAATATGTAACGTAATTACCCATCTGATCGCGCCTGTATGCGACGAATCCAACCAGCAGACCCGAAAACTTTCCCAAGGCAGGGGGGTCATGTTCTTGAATCTCACTTTTATAGGAGCATTAGTTCAGCCATGTCTGAGTGTGGCATGTCAAAAGGTTAGAATGAACGGCGTTGCTGCTGAAAAAGCATGATTGACAGACCAATGAATTGTTGGTCCAGAGCTCACATCCATGCAGGAGAGTTGGTTCTTTTTGCGATTTATCTAACCTGGATGAAAGTCTCGGCCAACGCCGTGCATGTAGGTGCATAAATTCTTTGCACTTTAAAGTAGATCTCCAACTCAGAATCAATAGCCTTGGGCACCGGAAAATAGATGTGCGGCTGGAGTACCGCCAAAACTCGAAAAATTGGCTATCTCCGTCCAGGGACTACTGCTTGAATAATTGGTTGGATGGCATCGATCTACATCAGAAGTTTCCCATACAAGTAATTCTGATCTAGCCAATTTTTCGAGTTATGGCGGTATTGCATTGTAGGCTGTAGATAGGCATCGAGCTAGGCGCTTGTACTGGGAACATTTGGTGATCTGCAATTACTGTGTGTGACCTTGCCAAGAATGTGGCTGAATTCGTGTTGTTCATGCCCTACTCAATCTGGCTTGCCCCGCTGTTTCAATGAAAACCATACGCCGACAGGTATCTAAGACACGGCTGTTTGCGGACTGCATACACTTGTACAGAGTTTTCAGTCCGTGCAGCTACTATATAATAAGGGGTAATGGCATCGGGACGTCAGGACTCAGGACTAGACCCGCAGTTACATACCCCCACCAAGCTACTCCATGAGTTTCGATGAGACCTGGAACAGCTAACTTTGGATAATGGCTCGCATCAAACTCCTGCTCAGAACTTAGAGACAGTTTAGAGGGCATAGCTTGTTACTCCTATTGGTGCTGAGAGCCTTTAAAAGCACCATGATATAACTTGAGGGTCAGTATATAGGGGCTACAAGTTCCAGAACCGAAACTTGAGTGAACTCTACCATTGACAGGTGCTGTGCTCTGTTTTTCATGTATGTCGAATATGCATTGTATCAATAATCGGTAAAATCTCTGTGCTCGTACCGGATTTGACAATCCTGCGTGTATCTACGTGTACTGAGTGTATTAGTCCGTTAGAAAGACATCTGATATCTGGTGATTTGCCGATAGGGTTGGGTGTTTTGGTTCTCAGGAAGATGGTGCTTTGTGATAATGACCATCTACAACACATACTTGTCAGTGCTACATAATGATAACTTATATTATCGCGCATCTAAATACTGTGCGACACGCATGTCCAAATACTGCGTGACACAGTTCAAAATTAACTACACATATTCGTTCACTATCGACATGCGAGCCAGCGCAGGTCAATCTAAACTCAGCACCCCCATCTCTTCGTCTACAAGCTTAATGAACTTCTTGCTCCCGTTCTCTGGGAAGTGTGTGAACTCAGCCTTCTCAGCCTTATAAATGGCATTCTGTAGATCCCTATATATGATTGAGCTCATATACGATGGATGTATGACGGGCGAGGAAGGAGATACATACTCAACATGACCCTCGATGAGATAGCCCTGCCTTTCGAGCTCTTCAGAGAGCTCTTTTTGGTGGTTATCCATTAAGCTTTCATTGGGAACCACGATCAAGATTTTTTGATAGCGTAATGCATCTAATATTGATCCCGAACCTATGCGCCACGATCATCAGCATATTGTCCTAAGATCTTCCCCTTGAACTCACCAGCATGTGAGATGACCAAATCAGCCGCTGCAATCTCCTCTCTTATACTCTCAGCAAAATCAAATCCACTGACACTAACGCTGTGTCTTGATCCAATAGTCGCAGAGAGACGTTGCTCGAAAACCTGCCGGCCTGTGCCAAATTGTATGCGAAGGTCCGTGTATCCTAGTGAACTAAGCGTAGCGATCACTGTGGAGGATAGGGAGGCCGCGATAAGATCATCAAATGGTGCAGTAGCACCAACCGTCACGAAGGCAACTTTTGAAGGACGTGGTGTCATGATGGTTAGGACCAGTGGAGGTATTGATCTGAATGTTTGGTTGAGGTGAGGTCGGTCCCGAGGGAATGGAGACGGATGCCAAGAGATCTAAGGGTTAGTAACCAGAGGCTTAATCCAACCGTGCTTGTATTTAATTATACTTGATGCGGGAAAGGAAATATCAAGTCGCACTAATCATTCTGGGACTCTTCGGTCTCAAGTACCGGGGTTTTTAGGTGTTAAAAATTCTCGACCTGAGTACGTGCGCATGTAGGTACATGCACACCACCCACAGCCACATACGTACATCATATACTTAAGGAGTTCCTACGGCATCTCATCATTTTTATTTTACCAACATCAAGTTAACTTCTAGTTTTCTCCTTATTATTCAAGTTTAGGCGTGAGAATGCTCTTTTAAACATTTACTCATGAGTATTCTGGACTTTTTGTAGTATAGTTCTTGGTGTAAATAGTCTAACTATAAGTACTCGCTCTCCTCCATAAGAACCTGAAAATGCAGAAGAATAATTTGTATGGGTAACTACAATTCTCCATACAAATTATCCCTGTCTCTGTAACTTGCATGTTATGGGGGAGATCGAGCGAATAGTAGGCCATGGAATTCTTGACGAAATTAAGTACATGCACTTATACCTTATCCAGCCGGATAGGGCCAAGGCAATTTATGAGTCAGTAGAGAGAATTGATTTCTCTAGAACCGGGATTTTTTATTTGGGCAGGCGTCATGCCATTGCTCACCGTGTTTCAACATAATATAAGTGCTATGTATATAGAACACGCCATCGAGTCGAAGTATTAGTTGATTAAACACAAGGCAGTATCACTACTCTTTGCATTTCTCAATACTAGGGCTAAAAAGCCTTGAAGTATCAGATTTTAGAATACGAATGTCATATATATATTAAATTGTCGACCCGGAAACTTCATCGGAAGTACCCCGCGAGGCCAGACAGTCGCAATCCTCAACAGAAAGTGAATTTAAGAAACAGAGTAACTCTTCTCGATTTTTTTTCGGGGGGGGGGGGGGGGGATAGCTTTATTGGTTCTTCACTAAGAGAAGAGCTAGAGGCGCTTGAGTGGTTAGGCGACTGGCTGGCCTCGCGTGGTAATTCTTGCTGGAATAGAAGACAAAAAGCTGACTAATAAGTCTGTTTTACCATTGTTTATTTCACTTCCTAGAACACTCTCTAGTACTCGTAGGTTCATGACGTTTCCGAACACGACTGCTATTGCATGCCATACAAAAAAGCGCCAAATCCACCTTTTTGTATGTCATGCAATATTGGTCGTGTTCGGAAACGTCATGAATCTACGAGTAGTCTGAAGGAGAAGTTCTACTACTATAAATAGATACATGTAGTCATGACGAAGTAGATCATCCGCCATAAGATACAAGTGCTTTTCTTGGTGGCTCTCCAGCGGAAAGATGACTAAGCAGCAACTGGGCGCCTTAGTACCTACATGTATATGCATATATGTGCCTACTTTGTATCCTCTGGGGTCGGGGTTGAATAAATAAACCCGATAGAGTAATAAACTCATCGATCGGGCATATTTCGTCCAAATTTTTAGACTCATCCCTGTTGGCCTACGTACTCACTGAGTAAAGCATACTTCTCCATGCATGTGGTTGTGCATGATATGAAGCCGCAGCATGCAGTATTGCATAGACAGCTGTCATTTGAAGAGCTAGAGGATTGGGCCTCGAGCTCCACTTTGCGCGAAAAAACACAGGACCGCATCCCACCCAGCCTCACCTTCGCCATCGATTCATACTCATCGTTCCTTCGTGGCAATGTTGGGCGCTATTGCGCAGGCGAGAATTTAAGTGACTCTAACTTCGTTGTCCAGCTTACCAGCACATACTTATTCGTGGTCATATGAACGAAGGTATGTATGTATGAAGTAAGACTATCTGTCTGTACCATTCTAAATAGCTTCATGATTTATTACGGTCGGACTGATGCTCATCAATAGTTTCGTCAAGGCAGCGGGCCCAAAGAAAGTCAAAGAATCGACAAACTATGGCGGAGCGCGATGCCCAACCTCAACATAAATCCGAGAATTGGACTCTCGTGGAGTCCACTGCTGGGCGGGGTCGAGGCTCCGCGCTCTCGAGGGATTTGGAAGAGCCTCGGAAAAGTAAGCAGGGGGACATGGAACTATTTATCTTCAAAAGAACAAGGCAACCAATAAGCTTAGAGCGGTCAAGACGTTGCAACAGGAGTATCTGGAAGAAAGGCCCGGAGCAGGTTATTTACGGGAACTTCAGGTGTTAACGGTTGTGAGTGAGGTGAGTACCTAAATAAGTTTTGTGAGATGGTTAATAAGCTGTAGTTCTGATCGAATCCTGATAGCGTCCAGATCTGTTTGCAGTTTACTCTCGAGGCTATAAGGATAGTTCGAAGGATCTTGTCCCCCTTTCCACGGAGTTTTATCGGGATGGTGATTTGGAGGATTATCTCGAGGACCAAGGGGCATTGGGAGACGAGTCTGCTAAAAGGATTACCAAGAACCTTCTGGAGGCGCTTAGATTTCTACATGAGAAGGGAATAAGTCATCGCGATGTGAAGCCGGAGGTTCGGGTCCCTCCCTGAGCAAACTAAGACTAAGATTACGATATAAGGTCGGTTTTGATGATTTGCTAAAATGATGTAGAACGTCCTTATAGTATCTAAAGTTCCGCTGAATGTCAAACTCACCAACTTCGCAATATCAGTATTCTCAAAGCCATCAGGTGGCAGTGCAATAAACGTTCGACAAGGAACCTTGGCTTATATGGCACCGGAACTTTTTGGAATGTTTGGGAGGGAAATCGGATGCACAAATCCCGCAGACATTTGGGCATTGGGCTGCCTCTTATTCAAAATGTTCACACTAAAAACACCATTCATGGAACGACAGGCAGAGGATATGAGATCTACGAAGATTTCCACTTCGTCTGGTATCCTAGCTTCGTCTAAACCTATACCTACAGATATGAAACTATTGGTAGATTTCTGCAAGGGAGTAATACCTCTTCCAAGGGATTATTTGCAGTCCAAAGCGAGCAAAGAAGCCGTGCTATTCTTGAAGAAGCTGTTAGTGGCAGACCCAAGACGCCGAATCTCTGCCGCGGCTGCGCTAAAATCTTGGTGGATGATCGATTTGCAAACAGCTTCAGAAACTGGTCAGATTGGGGCGGTGAAGCAGCTACTTCAGAAAGGCGAAAGAGCTGACGCTGGAACGGCGATAGTATTGGCTGCAAGAAATGGACACATTGAGGCGGTAAAATTACTTCTAATCCACGGCCGCGGGGCTAGTGTTGGCGGTCAAAAAGCGCTTCAACTGGCAGCTGAGAATGGCCACGCAGATGTAGTCAGACTACTCATAGAGAATGGACACCGAAAGAATTGCCAACGAACGCTCCAACTAGCAGTAAAGAACGGACATGCTGAAGTGGTGGGGCTGCTCTTAGGAAGTGGGTTCGATGCTAACCCTTTGTATTATGGGCCCCTAATGCTTCAAGAAGCAGCGGGAAGTGGGCATCTCGAAGTCGTAAGAGAGCTTTTGAGAAATGGGGCGGAGGTCAATCCAACACCAGGAGAGCCTTATGAGCAAACAGCATTACAAGCAGCAGCAAGAAACGGACACCGTAAAGTTGCAAAGTTACTATTAAACGCTGGAGCTGACGTCAATGCCAAACCGGGAAAGCTCTATGGTCAAACGGCCCTTCAAGCGGCATTAGAAACGGGGCACTTGAGAATGGGGAAATTGCTACTAGTGAACGGAGCCGATCCTAATATCTGTTACCATGGGCCTACGACTTTGACAGCAGCAGCCGGAAGTGGACTCTACGACTGGGTGAAGTTGTTGTTAGATTATCGGGCTGAAGCCAATGTCAAACCAGGCGAGCGCAACGGAAAAACGGCGCTACAGGTAGCTTCAGAATTAGGGTACATAGACATAATCACATTACTCTTAGCCTACGGAGCCAATGCCAATTTTCGATATCATGGACCCACGGCACTTCAGTTAGCAGCTGAGAATGGTCATTTTGAGGTTGTCAGGGAACTTTTGGCGAAGGGAGCTGAAGTCAATGCCAAGCCAAGCAAACCCTTTGGAAGAACGGCATTTCAAGGGGCAGTGGAAGGTGGACATCTTTTGACAGCGAACCTACTCCTTGAAGAAGGGGCTGATATCAACGCCTGGTATTCTGGGTTCACAACACTGCGTTTTGTAGCAGGAAATGGGAATGCCAAAGCTGTGTCATTTCTCCTGACACATGGAGTCGATATCCACGCTAAACCAGGCAAGAAGTCTAAAAAATCACCGCTACAAGCAGCCGTGAAAAATGGTCACTTTTCGGTAGTTAAATTACTTCTCGAGGGTGGACATGTTACGCGTGGTCAACATACTTTGAGATTGGCGGCGAAGAAAGGGAGGGTCGATATTGTAAGATTTCTCCTGGATACGAACGTCGACGGAAAGCCCAGACATCGTGGGCATGCATTAGAAACGGCAGCGGCAAACGGTCATCTTGGAGTTGTACAGATACTATTGGCAAATATCAAGGCATCTGATGAACCATGGAAGAGTTATGGAAAACTCGCATTGGATGCGGCTATCGAACACAACCATGCTGGAGTTAAGAGGTTGCTACTAGATAGTGGATTCACACCTAGTCGGAGGATCACAGAGTCTTGAGACCTGCCACCTTGAGGCGTTCCAACTGGTACAATTGGGTAAGTCCTCGAGTATCAAATTCCTATACGATAGTATTCAAGGTCTAATATTCCTAAACCCTGTTATGTAGTAAAATCTTATAAAATCTGATCAGTTTTCTATATTATGATAAAGTTATCAACCACATATTAATTTGCGATACGTCACAAATTCCTTTAGTAATCAAATTTTTAGTAATTACAACGCTGAAAAAACCAGTAACTTTGAGTTGTTATCGGTAAATCAGAATGGTTCTGTTCAATTGTTGCGCTAGTTATAGTTGTTTTTGCGTC